ATTTGTCTGCTTCATTGCTGACAGCTATATTCGCTCAAGATCAGTTGGCCGGCCAGAAAAGATCAGCAACAGCGATCTCTGGGAGTGAACCAACCAGGAACCGATTGTGAAACAAATAGGCATGAAAAAATGGAGGTGGATTGGCCATACTCTGAGAAAACCAGCAAATGACATCACTAGGCAAGACATTGCTCGAGTGGAACCCGAAAGGGAAGCGACGAGTTGGTCGTCAGTTCGAGAGTGACTTGGAGGAGGTCATGTGAAGAGGAGATGAAAGCTTGTGGACAGACATGGAGCTAAGTGAAAACTCTAGCAGAGAACCGAACGCAATGGAGACGCCCGGCTGAAGCCCTATGTTCCTCAAGGAATTAAAGCAAATAATAATAAATTGCTGACATCAAGTAATTGTTTTCAAATGACTTGACACATCCGAAGTGTTAATGAAGTGAAGTTCCAAAGTAGTCTCAGATTGTATAAAAGGAAGTCTTCCACTTCATTGTCTACTGAAGCTGGTGTCCCTCAAGGCACTGTCCTTTATCCTTTTCTTTTTTCTTTCTTCTTGCATGACTTGCCTCACTGTGATAAAATAAACTTTGTGAAGGACGCTGATTGTTGAACAGTTTCAATGGCTGTTAACTCTCAGCTAGATTGTACTAAAATAAATAGCTTTCTGTCGGGAGTCAGTAAATGGTGTGAATCTAACGGGCTTAAACTGAATCCTTCTAAATGTCAAACTGTTAATTTCGGCTTAAGATGTAAAAGACAGTTGAAAGAAGTTGTCGATTCTCATGACAGTACTAAGATTGACGACAATGATACAGGAATTAAATCAGAAATCAAGTATCTTGGACTTATTCTCTCTTCTGATCTCTCCTCGTCTTCCCATGTCTTAGCAATCTCCAGTAAAATATTCGGCCTGTCATTTTACATTAAGAAGTTAAGACACTCGGGTATAACTCAAATCCTCCTCTTACAGTTCATAAACTCTTGCATCCTACCTATTCTTCTTTAAGTTCACCTTTCTTCTTTCCTGGATTTCTTAAAAAGGACTATGTCACAATTCGTAGAATGCTGAAGACTGTCAGTAGGGTGAGTGGTGTCCCAGTGGACCACATAGTTGACGTCGTTGTCGACAGGTACTTGACTTCGGGCAATAAATTTGCTAAAGGAATTTTGTCTGACTTGGAGCATCCACTTTACCCTCAGCTTTCACCTTGCATCTATCTCCACAGGTAGAACAAGAAGTAACTTCAGAAAGCTGTATGCTCTCACGTCTAAGTATAGAAATTCTATGATACCATACTTGGAACGTATTTTATGTGATGAAAATAGTGTCAGGCAAGAATTAACTAGCCTTTTTTCATCTAGTAAATAAACAATTTCCTCCATCCATCCTTATATACTTTCAAGTTTTACTTTTATTATTTCTATTATATTTATGGTCCTGTTGCCTCTTCGTTTGTTTTACTTTCATAATTGCAAACACCAATTTATCTCTATGACGGCTGTAATCTTTGTTTTTCCCCTCACCATATCATGTAAAGAGAACATTATATTCAATATTTTTCAACATGTTAAGATTTCTATACCGCATTGACAATAATGTGTGAAAAAAGCCCACGGCAATTTTCACTTGTACTATTATTAATATTACCTTAGCTGTTATCATTATTTCCATTTTATATGCTGCATGTTTTTGACATTACCTCTATTGTGAATGTGGAAAATTTTCCGTGTGATTAATTTTATTTATAATTTGAGGAAATTAGATGCAATATTGTGTGTGATTAATGCTGAAAATTCCATTCTGTATCACAAGTAATGTTTTTGGAATAAAGTAAATCACTATTATTATTATTGTAATCTTACAGTTCGTATGCTTCTTGGCCAGAATATCTTTACTTTTTGTCATAATCCAATATTTCTAAATACTAATACCTACTAAGTTGATTTATTTCAACTTGGTAGTTAATATAATTGAAAAATTTCCTTTTAATTGAAATTAAGTTTACAGATGACTTATACGTACTCTGATTAAGATATGACTGCGAATAATCCCACAAAAATAGGGTACTGATGTACTCAATTTAGTACATCATAACCATAAATAACATATGGCATCTAAAAGTCTAAGTAAAATTCTTAACAAAACAGGAATCAGGATATGATTTAAGCTCGCTTAGGGACAAGCTCTGTAGGCTAAAGGTGCCCCTGTTGACTCAATTAGACAAAATGACGTAATCGAAAATTAGCTTGCAATGACTGTGAAGTAAACTCGACATAAGTCAGATCTGTAGTCACAGTATCGGCATATAAGGATTTACTATAAAATTGTTTAAAGTATTGATTCAATCTGACTCAGTGCTCAAATTATTCCAGGAAATTTGTTTTATCTATGGTCTGCATATTTATAATCATATACGAATTTAGCTAAGTGTATAATGAATGACCTTACAGAGATGAATAGTTTAGGGGAAAGCTCAGCAATCATCACGCATAGTTACGCAATAGACTAGGACAGTTCTGAAACGTAATGTTGATAGTTGGTGAGAAAGGTTGATTACCGAATCTTTATTCATTAATTAAATTTTCGCCTAACATATACAATAAGCAATGATAATGCCAATATCAGAGATATGGAAAATATAATTATCGATAAAATCAAATGATAGGTAGTGAAAACAGAGTTATATTAACGAAGTTTGAAAGTCACCTGAATGCTTAGATACGATTTTGAGTAATAAATACACTTTCCTCGAAATGTCATGAGTAAATTTATACCATTTCACCGTGTGCTTTTAATCAAATAAATTTAGTCTACCACAGTGCCTAAGTTCTATTCTTATGTCAATTTACATCACTCTCGTCAGTTAAGGAGGCGAGACTGAGATAATGTGTTCTCTTTAGCATTTGACCTTAAGCGAAAGGATCAGGAAAATTAAGTCGCCTCAAACAGTTGTAGTTATGTTTCCTGAGCTGGATAGTTAATTTGCGAAGCTTTCATTCGCCTACTAGGCAATATCTTCAGTGCATACCTCAATTTGTTGAAGTGAGCTTTTAGATTTCTCCACGAGTTTATTAATCATCTCTCCTGGTGGGTGACCTTCAACATCCTGATTGGTTGTTTTCGTGTGTTTTCGCACCCTCTAGGCTACTTGTGGTATTAGTAATGATTGTTTCCTTGACTTCAACTCTGACCCTTTGTGTGAGATTTCCTTATCGATTGATAAATTTTGTCTATCTCAATGTGTCTATTGATTAACTATTTGCTGGAATACCTGGCTTCTACGAATTGCCTGGCATTCTTAGTGTTTCCTCTGTCTAATATTTGAACGTTGTTTGTATGCATTGAAATGAGGGAGTGGATATCATGTCTTTCGACGGCTAACTTATGTTCATTTATACGAAGATGAAGGGGAGGTCCACTTTGACCAATGTAGTGTTTTTCGCAGTCCTTGCAACTTATTTTGTAGATGATGTTGGTTTTAATCTTCTTTCGTTGTTGAGTCTTTTGGTTGACACAGGGCTGGCTGAGTGAAGTGATTTTGTTAACATGCATACATTAGGTGTGGTACTAGCCTTGTTCATGAGTAATTTGTTATAACTAACTATTTTCTACCAAATATTGATTATGACACATTGTGTAGAAGCTGAGAAGAACCGACGTGTTAGATGACTGACTAATGCTAATTAAAATGGTGTTGTGGTGAGTGTCACTGATAATGAAATATAAGTAGTATATCAATAAACGAATTCAAAAAAGTAACAACATCTTCTGGGACACTGGAGAAAGCAGTCGAAGACGAGAAGTGTGAGAAGAACGTTACAACACTGCTGTACAGAATCCAACAAGCTATCGAATGTGGTGATATTTGACCAATTTGCAAATGATGTGCAAATAAAGACTTAAATATAAGACATTTGTAAAAAAATTATATTTGTAAAATCTCGGCGATATTGAAATGAGTAATTCCAACATTTCGTTCGACAGTCTGGTCCAAACTTCTTCAAGGGAATTAATCGAAATTAACATAACAGAGGTTTATATATAAAAAGAGGAACATCTCTTGTTTTAAAAAAAACGTTGTTCAATCATGAGTCATAAAACAAGTATTAACAAGTATAATAAACAAAATCGCTCGAGTTGTGATCAAAATTTGACCTCAGACTTACAAATATTGATCTATCTTTGTTAAACACTTTAAACACAGTGTGCATATGTGTGTGTGTGCGCGCGGGTAAACAGTTGTAAAACAATGTCTTAACGTCTCCATAAGTAGATATAGACAGTCGGGAACTTTGACCAAGTATTATTAGTTAGTGATACATATCCACTCTTATTTATTAATCAGGATTTCCTATGCGTCATCTAACATTACACCTTCATGTCTGTTCAAACTGGTTAGTATCTAGAATTTTATGATTAGACGTATTTTCAAAATTATGGTGTTTAGGATTAGAGTTTAGTTGAACAACCCCGTCAAACTTATTACTTTTTCTTCTTTCTGAAAGTTGAGCTGCTTTATTCGACCTACTGAAGTTGTCAGGTGACTGGACAGCTACGAATTTAGGATACGCATTCTGCTGCAGACAACGGAGAGTGGAAACACGATGATTGTGCCAATTACATAGTTTCTTTGTTAATTTAATTCGATTACAAAATAAATCAAATGAACTGTAGTCAAGATTTGACAGAATAGTTCTTCCCACTCGGCGCCCAAATATTTTAGAACTATTCTGTCAAATCTTGACTACAGTTCATTTGACTTAAAGATAAGATATACCAAATTCATGTAACTACAATATATTTGTCATAATGAACATCGCCCTCGAGCGTCGCATTGGTCTTTTCTTCCTTACATTATTAGGAGACGACTAATTTCTACATGTTTTCATCAATATCCTTGATATGAATGCTTTTTTAACCGTTTCACATATAATTTACTTCACTTATTTTAAAAAAAATATACTCTAATATTTGTATTTATTTTATATTTCAGTTTTTACGTACACAATTTAAAAGATTATCGTCAAATAAAGCTCTGATACGACGTACAATTGCTCAATTATTAGTTATCACATGCCAATCATCTCGTGTACCGCTTACATTATTACGTTATCTATTGCACTTGATATTAGGTAAGCCTTTATGATATATATATATATATATACATATATATATATATATGCTCACCTTACCCAAATCAATTTTTAATATAATTTTCCAAGCTGATAGTATAACACCACGTTGTTAGGCAATTTTAGTTGGATATATGATTATGAGTGATCTAGAATTTGGACACATTTAATTCTGTATTGTATTTAAGTAACACCTAGCCAGCATGTTTTATATCATCAGCAACTGGCTTTTGCGCATTATTCTTGTTATTCTTTTTTCACTTCTTTTGAAGGCTTTAGACACAGAATGTAAACACACTTATACATGTAGCTATTGTTACCTGATTTGCAATTAATAGTGTTCTCTGAGCTGGTCGGTTTAGTTGCGGAGCTTTCGTCGTCTTTCTGGACGGCATCTTCAGCGTAGTATTTAACATAAAGTTAAATGATTTAAAAATCTCCATGAATGATGATACAATTGCGTCTCCTGGTGACCAACCATCTTTACATATGTATTGACCGTTTTCTATTGATTGGGATTTTAAACTTTCTGGTCACCTGATTTGCTTTTTATTAGTTGATATATTTCATCTATATTAACGTGTTTATTAATGGCATTTTCGTTTGAGTACCAGGCTTCTAGGAATTCCCTGGTACATTTGGTGTTTCCTCTGTTTAAGTTTTTGATATTATCTCAATCAAATTGATGTCCATAATTATCTGTATGCATTGATACGAAAGAATTTATATGATGTCTTTTCACGGTTGACTTGTGTTCTTGGATTCTTATTCGAAGGGGACGCCCACTTTGACTGATGTAATGTTTGTTACAGTTCATACAATTTATTTTGTAAATGGTGTTAATTTTATCTCCTTTTTCTATCGGATCTTTTGGTTTGCATAATATCGAATTAAGCGATTCGGCTGGTTTGTGTGCTACATCTATATCAAACGGTTTCATTATTCTAGCCGTTATTTCAGAGATATTTTTGATGTATGGTAGGATGAATTTATTTTTGGTCTTTGGTGATGGTTCTTTTTTGGTGCTTTGATTCGACTTTAAACACTTTCTGATGAAATTTTTTTGGGTAACCATTCTTCTTGAAGACCGTTTGTAAGTATTTTTCTTCCATTCTTTTCAACTCTGGTGTACTACAATGTGTTTGAACTCTTCTAAACAATGTCTGCACACAGTTTCTTTTGTGAGTACTTGGATTATTGCTAGAATTGTTGAGCAAATCAGGTGACCAGAAAGTTTAAAATCCCAATCAATAGAAAACGGTCAATACATATGTGAAGATGGTTGGTCACCAGGAGACGCAATTGTATCATCATTCATGGAGATTTTTAAATCATTTAACTTTATGTTAAATACTACGCTGAAGATGCCGTCCAGAAAGACGACGAAAGCTCCGCAACTAAACCGACCAGCTCAGAGAACACTATTAATTGCAAATCATCCACCTGAGTTACAAATCTTTTAGGTTATTGTTACCTGAGTTATTTTTCTCTCAATCTGTGGTGGTTGTTTATCCGCCGCATTTTAGATGAGGTCAGACTTAAAGTGTTGGAAAGGTAAGGCAATCGATTAGATTATGAATTTTCACTGATCATAATAGTTAGAATATGTGTTACTCACTCTAAGCCACTATCTTCCTTGATAAGTAATGTCAACCCATGTAAGATTAGGTTAGAAAAGACCTATATATATATATATATATATATGACACCACTGCGCGGAGTCATTGAATGTTCGTTTGATTTACATGGATGTGTTCAGGCTGCTTGGTTGATTTCCTCGGAATATTAAGAGTCAACGGTTAGCAACTCCTAGTGAAAGGACTAAATATCATACCGTCTGTCCCTGTATGTTTTCGATGTAGAACTTTGCACCGATGTGCAACAGTTCAAGTCGCCACACTCCATGTAGCACACAAAGCGAGAGAAAGTAGAAGAAATGCAAAATAGAGACAGTAGACAGAGGTGTGAGACAAAAGGAACAGTAATAACGAAGACCAATACAGTTGCATTGGAGTGGATGCATCTGCACCAGCTATTGACAAGGATTTTGAGCCATATCACTGATTGTTTCAATCCAATGGTTTTTACCGTCCCGAGGACACCACCTAACGTTACAACGGCGCCAGAGATGGCTGAAGTTCATGTCTGCCACCCTAGCCTTCATTATACTGTTGGAAATCTCATCCGTCACCCCTCCGCCAGCACTCACACAACTACCCAGATACACAAACGTATCAACAACCTCAAGTGGTTCACCTGCAAGAGTGAGTGCAGGTACAGGCTCCTGCCAATCTTGTAACAGTACTTTGCACTTAGACGGCCCAAAGTACATACCATACTTACAGACAGTGAATAAGTACTGGGGAATTGAAATTGTCATTATTATTTCAGTATACTATTACAACCTTATTACCTATGTAGGGTTGTGTATAATAATTGCAATTCATTAGCCATATCTAGCACATTCTACGTGGGTAAATAAGCTACACATATTTTTGAGAGGTATTATGTTGCCTTAATATATATTATATTTTTCACAATAATACATTACAAAATCTTGTTGTTGATACTGAATGTCTATTTGAGTTATTTTGAAGATACTTTTATGTAACATCTCTCTCTCTCTCTCAAGTAGAATTCTTTACCTTACTACTTGTTTTGCAGTGATGTCCTTTTTACGGAATGCTAGAAAGGGGGACTAAATGCATCTTGAGCTACTTTGTATACCTGAAAGATCGTTGGTTAGAGAAATTATAGGCGTAGATAATAAAAGTTTACACGGACCTTTCTCCAACAGTAATTATAGTATATGCATCATTGTATATCAAGTATTGTTGTATTGTGAAATATAGCCGTTTAAAGTAAAAGATTCAACGTATCTAGCAATATCTAACCAATACTGCTTCCTTTTGCACTATTCACATTTGAAACATAATTTGTGTGAATATTTCAAATATAAAAGATATTGATTATTATTATTGTTCCCTTGGGTTCCTAGTAGAACATAGGGCTTCAACTGCACGTCTCCACTCGCTTCTGTCTTCTGCTGTACTTTTCACCTGCATCTATCTTAGTCCATACTGTTTCAACTCCTCTTCACACGATCTCCTCCATGTCACCCCATGCACCGACGTCCCAGTCGCCGCTTCCCTTTCGGCCTGGTTCCACTCGAGCAATGGCCTGACGCGTGCGCGATGTCACCCAACGGCCTCCTGCTCAGTGAGTGTCCAATCCATCTCCGCTTTCTCCTGCATATTTGTTGGTTGGCGATTGGTACTTGCTTTGTTTGTTTGTTCCCATAGTTTCTTGTTGGTGATTCTGGTGATTCCGGCCCGGTCATCTGATCTTCAGTATAGAGCCAGCGAAGACAGTTGTTGTTGTTGTTGATAAAGCTCTGAGTTAGCCTGTTGGTTGGAAATATTCTTTGTGACCCGCCCGTCAAGTTTCTGATCCATATAGAAGAACCGACTCAACGTTGTTTGTATTGAAAATCCAACTGAATTTTGTTGTGGATGCTGGCTGAGTGACGAAGATTTCCAAATTGGTTTCAGGTTAATGAATGTGTTTCCCGCCTTCCCGATTCTCCATTTGACATCCTCTAATCGCATAAGATCTAAAGACTTTCATCTATAAAATGTGTCAGGAATACACAGCTGCTAACAACTCTACCAGCTACCTCGATCAACTAAAGGTAGGATGGGAAACCTTAGAGTGATGAAAAAACAGCACTCAACTCCAATTTGTGAAGTCGATAAAGGTTAGTCTATACTGCTTAGAAAAAAGTTGAGGCATTCACTATGAAGACAACTATCTGTCTAAAGGACCTAGTGTAATGTGAATGACAGGTTTGTGCTGCATACTTTTACATAATCCCGAAGATCTTATCTATACACAGAGAGGTATCATTTTATCTCGCTCGTCTCGTTTTCAGTGAGACTAATAATTTTAATTTGTCTATCTTCTGTGGGTTTTAATCCGCCACTCCACCCCACCCCCACTGATCTATTGATGTAGGGTGTAACAGATTTTGGACTAACAAGTGACAAGGTCAAGCCTTATTCTATTGTATTTATCCGCGTGACTACATTTGTTTTACTACATTAACTTATTCAAGTAAATTTTTTCATTATTTCAGCAATCAATATCATGCTTTCTTCTTGTGTAGTTAGTGAAGTGTTTTAAAACTTAATATCTAGTCTACTTTTCCCGCCGATGGAATTGGTTAGTTGGTGATCGCGCTAAATCACACATTGGTAGAAGTTAGAATTCATGGGCTGGCTACTGAATCGGATCCCAGTGACTGAATAACAGTGGGGTAAGACGGGGTTGCCCAATCTCTCCATTTCTCTTTAACTTTGCCATCGATGACATTCTGGAGTCAGCTCTGAAGGATGTGCGTGAAGGTGGTGTAGATCTGCTACCTGGAAATAGACTTTTCGACCTCGAGTATGCAGACGATATGATCTTACTGTGCGATAGCATGCAGGCTGCCCAAATCGCACTTAATCAGTTGGCGATCAGTGTCTGTAAGTATGGTATGTACTTTGGGCCGTCTAAGTGCAAAGTACTGTTACAAGATTGGCAGGAGCCTGTACCTGCACTCACTCTTGCAGGTGAACCACTTGAGGTTGTTGATACGTTTGTGTATCTGGGTAGTTGTGTGAGTGCTGGCGGAGGGGTGACGGATGAGATTTCCAACAGTATAATGAAGGCTAGGGTGGCAGACATGAACTTCAGCCATCTCTGGCGCCGTCGTGACGTTAGCCTGGCTGTCAAAGGTCGGGTATACAATGCCTTGGTTTGGGCTGTCTTGCTCTACGCCTGTGAAACCTGGCCTCTCCGAGTAGGCTGAGAATGTGCGGCGGCTCTGCGTGTTCGATCATCGCTGTCTCCGCAGGATTGCTTGTGTTCCTTTGCATCATCGCGTAAGTAATTCTGAGGTTCGGCGGCGTGTTTGAACACAGTGGAGATCACCATTCATTGAGTGTTGTCATCTGGTAACACCGGCTCCGGTGGCTTGGACATGTGCCTAGAATGTCATTCCAGAGGCTGTCGTACAAGTCTCTGTTCGCTAACCGTGGGACTGGATGGAAAAGGTGGAGGGGTGGTCAGTCCATAACGTGGTGTCGTGGGATGAAGCATGTTTGTGCTAGATTAGCATTGGTTGGTGTGTCACGACTCCCTGGTTGGGGTTCGCGAGACAGCTTGGAACGTTATCGGATATGGCCAGGAATCGTAATCAATGGCGAACGTGTTGCAGTTTCCTTCTTTCTTCCCTTCCCGATGATAGTTGAGGAATACTGTTTGAACTTGTTAAGTATGACGGTTTTCCTTCCAGATGAAGTTCTTTATCCGTTCTCTACTTATATACATATTTTTTATGTTTTCTCTCTTTTTTTCTTTTGATCTATGTTGTTTTATTATTATTGTGTGCCGCATCGTTCTTGGTGCCATATCGTACGAAGTTTTTTTGCGTTTCAATAAATAAATAATAAATAAACAGTGACTGAATGGTGTATGAACTTGTCTTGTAACCGGAAGGTCCTGGGTGCGAAACCCAGTGGGGGTACGTAATGTCGGTGGTTCCGAAAGTAGAGCGGGACAGGTGTCCAGTACTCCCAGTCGGCGGTTTTCCATGATTCTCTAACTGATATCCATCTGTGGATAAACAAATGTAGTACTTACAAACCAACTACTGGCAATATATAACTGAGTAAAATTCATTTAATTCTATTCTGTATAATGTATTGTTTTATTGTTATTATTATTTGTTTCTTTGTTTATACTAGCGGAAATGGAATCACTCAGTGTTGTTTCATCTACAGAACCAGTTAAAGTTGACTATGATTCATCAACACCGAACAATTTTATCACCTATTGGACAGGTTTATTTAATACAATACGCTATTTATCTATTGGTTGGGAACAACTTTCAAATAATATTACAAAGAATTCATCCTATCTAAATTTAAATCTACCTTCAACGTCATCAATTGATTTAAAATTTTTAAATAATATACATTCTAGGATATCTGGTACTGCTGATCCAGAAAGCCCAGAAATGCCTAATCCAGGTTTGTGTTAATTTTTTTTTTCAAGTATTGGTTTTATAGGGATTTTGTTTGATTGGTTGGAGACTCTGACGCACAGCTGATATCACTTGGTCGGCCTGCGAAATTTGGACTACCGATATCACACGTTGAAAATTCCATACTTTTACCAAAAATACGGTGTAGAATCAAGCTATAATAAAAAGAAACAACTCATCTCCAGTTTGTTCTATTTTCTGCCATCCTCTTCATTCGGGGCCACGATTGCCCATAATCTCTCTCCTCTTCCTTACACTATCTCCTCCATGTCACTCTCGCACCAACGACCCACTTGTTGCTTCGCATCTAGATTCCACTCTAGTGATGGCCTGCATTGAGCGCGATGTCATTCGATGGCCTCCTCAACGTACGCCCGATCCATCCACCTCCATTTTCTCCCACATATATGTTGAGCGGTTGGCTCTTGGTTGGTTGGTTTGTTCATACAGTTATTTGTTACTAATTTCTTTCGGCCGGCCATTCGGTCTTCAGTATGGAGCCACGGAAGACAACTGTTGATAAAAGTTTGTGACTTGGGAATCCTTTTCGTGACGCGCTGGTCAAGTTTCTCATCGTATAGAAGGACCGACTTGACATTGATGTTAAAAATCCTAATCTTGTTCTGTATGCAGCGGAGTGCAGTGCAGAAGATTTCCAAACTGATTTCAGGTTGATGAAGGCGTATCTTGCCTTTCCGATTCTGCCTGGCTGCCTTTGACATCTTCCTCCATTCTGACTGCCTGTAGTTGAAATGATTTGCAGATAGGTCAAAGAGGCCACCTCTGTTAAATCTGTCCGATTGATGATAATTGGTGCTGGTTGTTGCTGTTCATTGGTTGTCTTCATTCCCTCCGTTTTCTCTATGTTCACCAGGAGTCCTGTCATCGCTGCCTGAGTTTTCAGCCAGTTTGTTGGTTTTCGCCTGTAAGTCTTCGAGTTTGTGTGACATTAGATATCGATCATCCACGTGCGAAATGCAGGTCTTATACAGTCTCCTTATCACTGGTCCAGAGTATTCCTATCTGTCTGTTTGTCTGTCTGTTTTCGACATAGAACTTTGCACCGATGTGCAACAGTTCAAGTCGCCACATTCCCTCCGTGTAGCACCCAAAGCAAGACAAGAAAGTAGGAGAAATGCATAATAGAGACAGTAAACAGAAGTGTTAGACAAAGGAATAGTAATAACGAAGAACGATATAGTTTCATTGGAAATCATTAGTCAAAAGGAGTGGATCCATCTGCGCCAGCCATTGAGAACGATTTTGAGCCATGTCACCAATTGTTTCCAACCGTCGGTTTTTATCGTCAGGGGACACCAACCAGTCAGGAAGTCTACATCTTCCTACGTGACTGGCTTAAGCTAACTGTTGTAGATTTCATTGACTGATGAAGTCATGTTTTGGTTTGACCACCGCTAGCTTTTTTCCAGCTTGACCCTATGTCAGCTAACATTGTTCGTCGAGGATGGCGATGACTAAGCATGCGTAACACATGTCCTAACCATCTCAGTCGATGTAACTTCACAACCTCGTCGATTGTTTTCCCCTCCTTACCTAGCACTCGACTGAGGCCTAACCTCAATATTGCTCACCTTATTATACCACCTCACACGTGAGATAGAACGCAGACACCTGTGATCGAAGACAGCCAGCTAATCTTTTCACGTCTTCCACTAACAATGGCCAGGGCTCACAGCCGTATAGGAGGACGGAGCGGATTGATGAGCAGTACACCCGCCCTTTGGTCGATAGTCGGATATCACGTCTACACCAGAGACGGCATAAACTGGCATATGCGAAACTAGCCCTCTGTATCCGTGCTGAGATTTCGTCAGAGATCAACCCGTTGGCGTTGGCTGATAGTACTTCCCAAATAAATGAAGAGGACAACGTGCTCTACCACTTCACTTCCTATTTCTAAACTCGGAGTTAGTGTAGTCCAGTCCTGTAACATCGCAGGCGAAACATTCGTAGATTGCTGCTCAAGGTGTTTAGAAAACTCTGTCTTCTGTCACCGTCTTCACCTAGTAGGTGGACTATGTAGTCTGCATATTCTAATTCAACGAGATTATTCCTTGATGGTAACAAGTCAATCCCTGAGTCTCTGAAGTGAGTTAGGGTTAAGTCCATTAGTACATCTATGATGAAATTGAATAGAAATGGGGATAATGGGCATCCGTGACGGACACCACTAGTCGTCACCCCTTAAGATGACAACTCGTCGTAAGCCCTCACCTGGCTGCATGAGTACGAGTAGTGCCCTAATCAGTGCAATGCATTTTCTCGGGGTTCCCTTCACTTCCAAACATAGCCAGGGTACCTCTTGGTCGACAAAATCGAATGCCGCCTTTAGGTCAAGGAATGTAGTGATTGTTGGGCGCCGGTAGGAATGCCTATGTTCTAGAATCTGTCGGAGGGTGGTCTATACACCCTCTTCCTGGTCTAAATCCTGTCTGGTTCTCTCATGTTTGTTCCTCCCGTGGACTGCTTAGTCTACGCATTATTATTGACCCTGGAACTATAGGTACCATATTAGTCAAGCTAACCCCTCTGTGATTATCACAGGAAGACTTGTCTCCCTTCTTGTATATGGGGATAATCAGTGACTTACACCAACCTGACGGGACTTCCTCTGATTCCCAGACGTTGCCTAGTACCACAGCTAGTGCAGACAGTAAACTGTCTCCACTGTACTTTAATACCTCTGGAGTCATTCCATCAGGTCCTGCTGCTTTGCCTATCTCCTTGCTCCCACTCGTAGTCTGACGCATAATCCAGTTCACTACAGTTAAGAATATCATCGGTGATGAGAGGGCAGCCTTGTCTTATTGTATTAAAAACTTTAATAACTACTTGCTTATAATTCAGAGAGTTAAAAAGAAATTGATTTAGCTATCTATTCACTCCAATATAGGCAGTTGTATTAGTGAGAGATCAGTACATAATTGTGTAACTGACATCTTTTATCTGTTTAAAGCTTCCACTTTTCTTCTCAAGTAATTGTCTTTGTTGTTGTTGTTGTTTTTCCAATTCCTCCAGCAGACGATTCAACTGTTTTACAATCAAGTCAACTTGCTAAAGACACAATGGAATCATCAAGAAAATTACCTATGCATAAAATTAATTATTCAGAATTGGATAATCAAATGTGGTCAAAAACATTTTTCTTATGTTTACATCATGCATGCAATCAATCTAATCTGAATTCATTAATGTTACAGACAGCTGCTTTAGAGGCTTTTGTACAGCTGTTAACTGTTAGACGTCCACTCTTTTTATATCCATTTAATTGGCTTACAAATATTATTACATCAACCTCATCATCAACAACATCGTCAAGATCATCATCATCAATCCATCAAAGTTTTCATAGTGATAAAACTAGTAGTGAAGTACAAGGTGATAAAACAGTCAACAAATCACCGTCATCGTCAGTAACACCACATTTTCTCAATAAAAGTATGTTTCATTGCATGTATCATCTGTTTGATTATCAGTAATGTAGGTATATTTGTAGGAGGCTAGTATTCACCAATGTCTGTCAGAGGAAATTCAATTTTAAATAATCTTTAGGTCAAATTGTAAATTTGTATTTGAAATTGTCTGTGAAGTAACCTTGTTGGCAGCTATGACCAATGTTTGAACTAATGTCAACTGAAGAAATCATCCCAGTGCTGTATCTATCGTTTATGTGATAGAATTAGGCACTTACAGTGGTGCAAATAATTCTCACAGTCATGAAGACTGGTTTTATGGATTAAGCAACACTATATATATATATTAGTGCAAAAGTCCTCATTCTAGTATTACAGCATTTATACTGAATATAAATTTTTATCATCCTTTTTGGTGAATACACAAACTGACAACAATACTAAGTTAATTAAAACTGTTTTAATTCAACTATTTCGGGTCATTTAAGTGTTGGTTTGTAGGGATTTGATTGGTTACATGATTTCATCATGATCTGACATTGGTTAGAGAACCATTAGGAAACCTGGGAGTACTGGACAGCTGTTTCGTCAGCCTAGTTTGGGACTCCAGCAGGATCAAATACCATCGAAAAGAGCATAGAATGGCCGTTTTGGTCTGTACCTCAACTTCAACAGCCTTGACTGTTAAGTAACCCGACCGAAAGCTGCTACCTTGACGTGGTGGTCGGGCTTGAACACCTCAATGATCTATTCAAGCTATACTGGCTGAGACTTATGTCTCTTGAGGTTCTACCATGCCAGGCAGGTTGTTTGGATAGCGGTTAAACAAAAAGCAGCTACCCAACCCAACATCATGACCAATACAAAATCACAAAATTTCATGCCGGATCGGCCGTGGCCCGGATTAACAACGACCGCGCTTCCTGCTGCCGTGTCACAGGGCAGGAGTGATAAGTATGCTACTGAGGTACACCAAACAACGAACAAAAACAGGCCGCGTGTGACCGGCCTCAAGCAGTTGTCCCCTGGGCTCTGCGGTCACGCAACCAACTTCCACGGTGTGGGCAGCCGGGAAGTAACAATCACCCTCACAATCCGAAACGCACGCGAAACCTCTCTACTACTCTCTACTCTCTCTCTTATACTTTCTTCTCTTGCTTCGCGTGCTACACGGAGTGTGGCGACTTGAACTTCCGCACATTTGTGCAAAGTTCTATGTCGAAAACAGACAGACAGACAGACTGTTAAGTAAATTGGAAATTACTTCAACACTACGGAGTTCAGTACACCAAACCTTTTTCAAACTCATTCACAAGAGCGATATCATCACACCACATACCAATTAATTCACAACGGAAAACTCAACGATGCCTTTGAGTGAAGTGAGGACAGGAATAAGACAAAGGTGTCTACTATCACTGATATTGTTCTTGATTTTCATGAACTTGACCATGTGGCAGACTGTAGGAAATGAGAAAGCGAGATTACTGTGGGACGATAAGAAGACTCTAGAAGATCTGGAATTCACGGACAATTGTGCGTCTGATGTCATACAATCGCAAAGGCTTACAGGCGAAAACTAATAAGTTGGCGGAAGATTCAGGTAGCCAAGACAGAACTTCAAGTGAACATAGAGAACGTATGGGATGTTGATGATATGAAACCAAAAACATCAATAACATCAAACATCAATCACTCTCAACGTGATAGGTCACCTCTTTCACTTATTTGGGTAGCATCGTTCCAACCACAGGTATGTCATGGATGAGAATTTCCAACACTGTGTATCGGAAAGATGAAACAGACCTTCGTTTATCTGAAATCTGGAAATCTGTTGCACACACAAAGAAGACTGTTTAGTAACATCATGCACCATGCCCTCGGATGAAACCCAATTGGGAAACGACGAGTTAGACGTCCGAGGGAAATATGGGGGAAATCATGCACTGAAGAGATGGAAGCCTATGAACAACGTGCAGTCAGCTAAAAAGCACTGTAGAGGGTAGGATGAAATAATGTGATGCTGAAGCCCTATGTTTCACTGTGGACTCACCAGAATACTAATAATGTCCAGTACTCTCAGGTCTTCCAATGGTTCTCTAACTAATGTCAGCTCATGGGGAAATCCTGTAACCAATCAACTAAATCCCTACAAACCACCAATACTTGAATATCGATGAGATGGTCACTGGCGACTGGCCCTATTCAGGTAGGTAGTTACCTGGGGTTCTAGTGAGAAGTCGTGACCAGTAGGGTGCATCAGGTCGTGTGTGAAGACAAATACTCGCCGGTCGCGCTATATCGTGAATCGGCAGATGTTAGAACTCATGCGTCAGTGGCTCAATGGTCTACGAGCTCGCCTTGTAACCAGAATGTTCTTGGTTTCGAACCTCGTGGTGTGGGTGGGTACTGTGAAGAGTCCCAAACTAGGATGAAACAGCTGTTCCGTACTCCTAGGTTTTCCAGTGGTTCTCTAACCAATGTCAGCTCATGATGAAATCCTGTAATCAATATATATGTATAATAATACAATCATGCTTTCTTGTCTTTCTGTTAAAACTTTTCATTGTCGTCTTTATTATTTGGATCTTGTGTTGACCTATAGGAATTTTTTTTATAAAAAGAGATTGTCAGGAGCTGATATCAGCGGAAAGTGAATCATTTTAAGATAAGGAGTATCGAGTAGATGTTTGATGTACATAATAATTCAGAAAACACTTCGACAAATTTTTGGCGTGGTTGCAATTTGTGAAATGGATTTCAAATGCATAGAAATACAATCCTTGAATTATTCAAGTTACCTGATTGTCAAAATCGACGTAAATTAATAAAGCGGGAGTTTTGCCTATGATACCGCCGTATGTAAAATCAAGCATGAAATGCATAATCTCTATCAAGCATTGATAATGCTCCCTTGTTTGGTATTATGCATAAGTTGGTGATTGATGCTTGCGAATGAATTCTTAGTTATAAACATGTGTAGATTGTAAACTATTATATGCTCTTGTTTACTTTATTTACGCTTTGTAATTAAATAAAAAACAAACCATCTTATATTGATCGTGTAGTTTACTCATTGATTTCTTAAGACACTGATGTTGTCTACAAATTATGTTTGGTTCATGTAAGTTGAACAATAAGTCTACAGTAGTACTGACATTCTCTTAGGTTCCGAGTGGAACACACGGCTTCAACAGCATATCTCCTTTTCGCCCTGCTACCCGCTGGCTCCACGATCGTTCATAGACTCTCATTTCTTCTTCCCACGATCTTCTCTATGTCACCCTTGGACTCACACCCATCTCATCGTTACCCATTCATATTCCACTCGAGTGATAGCCTGGCTCCAGACGTTAATCAACGATCTCCATATTTTTATCTCAGGATACTAATGGGTAATAAGTTCTTATTTGGTTCATTGGCAGCCAGAGTTCCTTGTTATTATTCCTTTGTGGTCATCAGATCTTGAGTTTGGATTGAAGGCAACTGCTGATACAAGTCTGAAGCCTGTTCAAAATGCTGGTGGTGACGCGTACATTTAGTCTCTGAATTATATAGAAGTACTGACTGACTTGACATTAATATTGAGAGTTCGGACGTTGTTTCTTATGTTGACTGCAGCAGATTTTTTCAGATTGACTTCAAATCAATGAACGTTTCTCGCTTTTCCGATCCAGGCTTTGACATATATATATATATATATTCCTGCATTAGATCCATATTAGATTTATTCTCACCCTTTGATGCAATGCTTTTTTCGTAGTATTCTCATCTTTTAGGTTTCTACCTCTGTGTGGTGCTGTAGTGTATGGTAATTAGAATCTTAACAGAAAAGAAAGACCAGATTTGCAGTATAAAATGTGATGTTATCATTCTACTTCACATGTTCTCGTCAGCTGCTGCAAAATACCTGAAACTACAATGGTTATAAATAATGACATTTCATACTTCAGTGTCTGAAAGGTAATAGCGAAAAGATTATTAGATGAACGCATCCGGAATATAAGTACTAAAATTTTTATTTTAAGTCACCATCAATTTATATGCTATGAAACTATGAAAAAAGGGGATGAGAGAAGACAGAAAACAGGAAAATCTAATAAAGAGTGTTAGTTCGTACGTCAACATAGCATGTAGTGCTGTATAGTATCACCAGCTTAGCTTCAGGGAAACATCTTTTTATTGCTCCTTTCATCCTGTTGTCAATCTTTCAGAGCATATTTCAAGAAATTTATGCTTAAAAGGAAGCAGATATTTACAAAGTGCAATTACCAGACACCCACCCCGTGGATACGGATCATTTTGTCGAAATTTCTTAGTCCTTCAAAATATTAAACATACAAAGGACGGCGAATTTACTATGATTTACTGCTGAAGCAATTGAAATCAAGCGTCTCAGACCAAACTTATGCAAACTTATACCTTTCAAACATTGCAGTATGAAATGTCATTATTTATAACTATTGTAGTTTCAGGTAGTTTGCAGCAACTGATGGGAACCCGTGAAGTAGAATGATCGCATCACATTTTATCCTGCAAATCTGGTCTTTCTTTCTCTATCAAAATTTATCAGGGGAACCAAATGTATGAAATAATTAGGATAATTAGGTTGTTTTATGACGGTTCGTTCACCTGATGTAGATATATCCCTCTGCAACTCTGAGTCAGTTCAAAAGTCTTAGCTAATTAGAATTACCTCTTAGTCAGCAATTAACAGTTTCAAATGAACTGTAGTCAAGATTTGACAGAATAGTTCTATAATATTTGGGCGCCAAGTGAGAAGTAGACATTTGTAAAAAATTATATTTGTAAAATCTCAGCGATATTGAAATGAGTAATTCCAACGTTTCGTTCGGAAATCTGGTCCGAACGAAACGTTGGAATTACTCATTTCAATATCGCTGAGATTTTACAAATATAATTTTTTACAAATTAACAGTTTCATTAAGCATATTGCTCTTTTTCCCTGTGTGTTAACTATTACTACACATATTAATGTATAAAAATTAATAGCTATACTTAAATTCCTCATTCTTAACAATACTATTCAAATATATTATTTCATTCTATACTAATTTAAGTAATAATGTATGTCGTTTATCTTCCAATTACCCCCCACCCCCACTCCATATAGGTGAACTCAGTATTGATACCAGTATTCACAAAGAATCATATGATGTTGTCCCAAACGATTATTTATTAAGAACACTTTCTTCAGAGTCAATCAACACTAAAAGTCCTAGTTCTGATTTTCAATCTGTCGATAGTCGTGATACATTCCTTATTAGATCAGTATCCTCATCAAGTTTATCGTCATCTTTGAAGATGGATTCAAATGAGATGACATCCAATGAACAAGAGATTCGTAACCAGTTATCAGTGGTTCGTGCTAAATTAGCCAAAGATGAAGAAAAACTGGCAAACAATGGTGGGAATAGTGATGTTTTCAGTGATTTAGGTTATGATATCATTGATGATTCAGTGGGAAATATACAATCTGCTCAAATTGATGATAGTCTTGATTCACCTAGTAAGTCGTTTTTCTTGGTTTATCTGCAGTTCTGTTACATGGAAAAGGCATCCTGTCTCAGCCTCTGGGTCACACTTTCTATATGCGAACTGATGACAGTCAGTATCATACATTGTGTATTCATACTAGCTGTGAATTCCTATTGATAATTGTTGAAAATTTGTCATTATTTACTGTAGAAGTGATAAACCAGAGTATATCATTTATATTGTGTTATATAATGTTTGTCTGTCATTATTATGCCTAAGTTGTGTACATTGCAATCGATCAATAATTCTTTGTTCACCATATAAACCATACTGCTTAACCGACTAACTAGTTCAGTTACGTAACTTTTAACCAGAGAGTTAACAACAATCTAGATTTTGTCACGTTATATGATTATGTATCTATTTTAAGACTTTTAAAAATGTCGGCAGAGAATTACTTTTTGTAGTTCAATTACTCTCTGTGAAAATATTGTTGTGATAAGAATTTCAAGGAATATTTGGGTTAGGTTGTGTAGTCTTCTTGTTGACTACTACTAACTGACTGACTGACTGATTGGTTTCAACGTTTAACTTTGCACAGATGTTCATCAGTTCGAGTTGCCACACTCCCTCCTTGTAGCATACAAAGGAAGAGAACAGAGTAAACCGAGATTCAAAGGAGAGATAGTAAACAGAAGTGTCAGTGAGGAATAAGGGGATGCATCTGAGCCATCATTGAGAACGATTTTGAACCATACCACCAATTGTCTCCAGCCGTCATTGGTTCTTCCCATCCCGAGGGCACCAACCAGTCAGTCAGGCAGTCTACACCTTCCTACGTGGCTTAAACTAACTGTTGTGGATTTCATTGTCTGATGACTCCATGTTTTCGTTCGACCACCACTAACTCTTTTCCAACATGTTCCTAATATCATTCAGCTAACATAGCCCATAGAGGAAGCCGATGGCTAGGCATGCATGTATAACACATGTCCTAGCCGTCTGAATACATGTAACTTCACAGCCTCGTCAATCGATTTTCCCTCCTCACCTAGCACTCGACCAAAGCCAAACCTCAATGTAACTCATCGTACTACACCTACCGTCTAACACGGGAGATAGAACGCAGACAGCTAGCCGGCCTTTTCATGTCTTCCACTTTCAATGAACATGATTCACTAACAGCCATAAGGGAGGACGAAGCGGACTCCTGAGCAGTACACATATCGTCCTTTGTTCGACAGCTGGATACCACCTCTACTAAGCCAGAGATGGCGTAAGTTGGCAGCTATACGCCAAACGAGCCTTCTGTATCCGTTCTGAGATTTCGTCAGCAATCAATCCGTTGGGGGTTGGCTGATCCAACTTCCTAAATAAGTGAAGTGGTCAACATGCTCAGATCACCACTTCACTCCGTATTTCTAAGCTAGGAGTCAGTGTAATCCAGTCCTGTTGCATCATGTTACATTTCACGGGAGCGAATCGCATGTCAAACATTCGAAGATTAACTGCTGATCAAGTTGTTCAGAAGACTCTGAATTTTGTCAGCGTCTTCACCCAGGAGGATGACTATATTATCTGTATATTCTAAGTCAACGAGATTATTCCCTGGTAACAAGCCAATCCCTGAGTCTCTGAAGTCAGTTAGGCTTACGTGCATTCAAACATCTACGATGGATGCTTACCTGATGGACACCACTAGCTGTCAACACTTCAGGTGACGACTCTCAGTAGGCTGTCACATGGCTGCATGAGTTCGAGTAGAGTTCCTTAATCAGTGCAATGTATTTTCTCGACATTCCCTTGACAGCCAAACATCTCCATATTACCTCTCAGTTGACAGGATCGAATGCCACCTTCAGATAGGTCAAGAAATATGACGACTTTTGGACACCGACGGTAGGTATGCCTATGTTCAAGAATCTGTCGAAGGGTAAAGATGTGATCAACACACCCTCTTCCTGGTCTAAAGCCTGTCTGGTTCTCTCGTATTTGTGCCTCCCGAGCACCACTTAGTATACGCATGATTGTTGAGCTTGGAACTATAGAACTATAGATACCATATTGGTCAAGCTAATCCCTCTGTGATTATCACAGGAAAACTTGTTTCCCTTCTTATATACCGGGATAATCAACCAATCGGGACTTCTGATTTCCAGACACTGCTTAGTATCTCAGTTAATCCAAACAGTGAATTGTCTCCATCGTACTTAAATACCTCTGGAGTCATTCCATCAAGTCCTGCTGCTTTGCCTCGTTTCAGACTAGTGACAGCTTTAGTAACCTCAGTTAGTGACGGAGGACCTATGTCTATATCCCATTCACGGAGGTGTTGGATGTTCGGCAGGTTGAGTGTGGCTGTAGGCCAATTAAATCGCTCCTCAAAGTGTTCTTTCCAGCATTCCAGTCTTCTATCCTGGGAGCTAATTATAGTGCTTTTTTCCTCAGAGATTTTTTCACTTATGATTTGCCTTTTGCCACTTGTTTCCCTGATAAACCTAAATAGTTGTCTCCATTATGGATAATATTTTATTTTGATAATTCACACAGTGTTGTACAGTTATATTATATCAGTTAATATAACTGTACAACACTGTGTGAATTATCAAAATAAAATCTTATCCATAATGGAGTTATAATCTACCACAGTGCCCAAGTTTTATACTTATATAAATAGTTGTCTGGTGTTACCAGTCGCCGATGCCTTTTCCACCTCTTCCACATTTGTAGCCCACCACTGTTCACGGTCGTTGCAAAGACTTCTTCTTAGATTTCGTCTCTTTCGTCTGAGTACCTTTCGCTCCTCATCATAATCGGAGCTCACCGGAATCAGTCTTCTTGTGTCAATCAGTTCGGATGAGGTGGTAGAGATCCAATGGCTCTTACTAACTTTTGGTTTCAGCTTATCAACAGCTTTTACAGCTGTGTCTACAGCTAACTGTATGTTGTGCTGGGTCTCCTCAGGAGGAGTCTTTGACTGGTATATTTTCTTTTTTAAGAGGATACCCAGTAACCAGCATACAATCAACGTAAACCGGAAAGTTTCAATCACAGTCACTGGTGTGAATGTTTCTGCTATTTAAGGAATCACATTCACTCATTTTAACAATGACCACTTTTGTTCAAAATTCGGATTCTTTCCTACTAGCTTTCAAAATCAAAGTTGAATAGTGAAACGATCTAGATTTCCTTTTAACTACCAATCATTGACCCTCTCCGCGTTATGTCTGTGCAAAGTTCTAGGTTGAAACCAGTCAGTTGTTGAGTCAGTTCTCGTTATATTAAATCGGTTTACTTAATCTAAACTGTGGTTCCCTCGGTTAGTCTAATTGAGAGGTGATGTGACAGAAACTAGAAATACTTCACGGAATGTAATATCACGATATAACAGAGACCTAACACGTATGAAAGGAAACAGTGGTTAACGCAATGCTTAGAAAACCATTTCCACAGTTTGTTTACAATTGAGTGATCTTTATTATTATTTTTTCTTATATTTGAAACTATGCAATACATAACAATGTCTCGTTAGGAGTTCTACTCTTGTCCATAACTAATAACGTCTTGGACGACTGAATTGTAGCTTCTTTCCGTATCCATCCAAGGTCTTTCGATGAGCCGACATGTGCCAACACTTAGCACTAGTATTTCTCATCCTACCACAGATCAATAACTAACTGTCTCTGTTTGCCTCCTTCAATCAGCCTCAGAGCTGTAATCGTTAAGCTGTGTGTCTGCAAAATGCTCCAATAGGATTATGGTATATAATAAGGCACAAGATAAGTCTGTATGTCTGTTTTCGACATAGAACTTTGCACCGATGTGCAACAGTTCAAGTCGCCACATTCCCTCCGTGTAGCACACAAAGCAAGACAAGAAAGTAGAAGAAATGCATAACAGAGACAGTAAGCAGATTTGTGAGTCAAAGGAATAGTAATAACGAAGAACGATATAGTTTCACTGGAAATCATTAGTCAAAACGAGTAGATGCATCTGCACCAGCCATTGAGAACGATTTTGAACCATATCACCAATTGTTTCCAACCATTGGTTTTTACTCTCCCGAGGACCCCAACCAGGAAGTCTACACCTTCCTACGTGGATTAAACTAACTGTTGTGCATTTCATTGACTGATGAAGTCATGTTTTGGTTTGACCACCGCTAGCTCTTTTCCAGCTTGACCCTTTGTCGGCTAACATTCCGCGTCGAGGAAGGCGATGGCCACGCATACGTATCACATGTACTAACCATCTCAATCGGTGTAACTTCACAGCCTCGTTGATTGATTTCCCCTCATTACCTAGCACTCAACGGAAGCCTAACCTCAATATTGCTCACCTTATTATACCACCTCACACTGGAGATAGAACGCAGGCACCTATGACCAAAGACAGCTAATCTTTTCATGTCTTCCACTCTCAATGGCCAGGTCTCACCGACAGGCATGAAGGAGGACGGAGTGGACTGATGACCAGTACACCCGCCCTTTGGTCGATAGTCGAATATCTCGTCTACGCCAGAGACGGCATAAAATGGCAAATGCGAATCGAGCCCCCTGTGTCTGTGCTGAGATTTCGTCAGAGATCAACCTGTTGGCGTTGGCTGATGGTACTTCCCAAATAAGTAAAGCGGTCAACGTGCTCTACCACTTCACTTCCTATTTCTAATCTAGGAGTCGGTGTAGTCCAGTCTTTTAACATCATCTTACATTTGGCGGGAGCGAATCGTAGGCGAAACATTCGTAGATTGCAGCTCAAGTTGTTCAGAAGACTCTACATTTTGTCAGCGTCCTCGCCTAGGCGGATTATATCATCTGCACAAGATAAGTGATAAATTATGAATAGCATTTTACTGCCGAAGCGCTGCTAAGTAGGGGAACATAGCAAACGTGTAACTTCACCGAAGCGTTTCAGCGTCAAGTTTTATATGGAACATGCATTTATTGTAATTGATATATATATATATATATATATATATATATATATATATATATATATATATATATATATATATATATATATATATATATATATATATATATATATATATTGATATATATATCTGACATTAATTCCTCTTATGTGTTTCTTTTATAGATGGGAATGAGTCTATACATGATACTAAGCGAACGCCTGTCCATCAGACAAAAATCTCTCTCTTAAACTTAGCTGATCTTATTAACTGTCTTACAAATCATAATGAATCAATAAGTCTTGCGCAAATTGATTGGTTACTACCATTCCTTCTGCTATCATTTGATATGATGCCTAAAAATATGACAAATCAATACGAATGGCCAAAACCGTCAACTATGCCTCGGACTAGTTTACACCTACTTGTCATTAATTGTTTAACTAATTTAGCTCAACTTAATCCATTCATATTTTTTACACAATTAAATGTAAATCAATGTTGTTCAAATGATCAACAATTTAATCTTGAACAATGGCAATGGCCTACCGCAGGTAATTTCTGTGTATTACTTTATTTCATGAAAGACTGTAAACTGTTTCATGTAGCATACACAGTGGTGCAGTATTACTATTGTTATGAATATTAATTTTATAGTATTATTATTACTGATCGTGTTTGCTTGAGTTCCGAGTGGAATAAAAGGCTTCAACAGCACATCTACACTTTGTCCTGTTCTCTGCGGTCCTCCTCACCTGGCTCCTCTATTGCCTATAAACTCTCATCTCCTCCTCACATGATCTTGTTCATGTCACCCTCAGATGCCTCACCCGGCATATTATATTCCGGTCCCACTCGAGCGATGGCGTATCATGCGACATTATTCGGCGTTCTCCATCTCCATTTTCTTCGGGATATTTGTTGAGGAATAGGTTATCGATTGGTTCGTTCCCACAGTTTCTTGTTGCTAACTCTTTCTGGCTGGCTGGTTATTTGGTCTTCAGTGTAGAACTAGAGGGATGGGAAGCTGTTGACAAAAGTCTGTAGTGGCCCATCAGAAACGCGTTTCTCAAGTTCTTGTTCCAAACAGAAGAAGTGACTGATCTATCATTGGTTTTAAAAATCCGAATCTCATTCTTTATGTTGATTGAAGAAGATTTCCCAAGTGATGAAGTTGAGGCTTGTCTTTCCAATTTTGGTTTTGATATCCTCTCTAGTTCGGCGTACCTGTATTCAGAGAATCAATGCTTCCTAGATAAATGGAGGAAGTAACCTTCTTCCGTTCATACTGATTAGTGCTTTTAGTTTTTGTTGGTTGGTTGGTTGGTTTATCTTCACCGCTTAAGTCTTCTCTGTGTTCACTTGAAGTTCTGTCTCCGCTGTTACTTCTGCCAGTTTGCTGGTTTTCGCCTGTTAGTCTCCAGCTTTGTGCGACATCATACATAAATTGTCCATGAAATCCAAATCTTTCAGAGTCTTATTTTTACAGTACTTTTCCAATCTCATATCAAGAAACAGAAAGAGGAGAATAAGGATTCCCAATTATTTCCCCCATAGTAGCAAACATATTTATGGATATTTTTTGGAACCTGAAACTTTAGATACCCATCCGTCTGTTCCCAAATTATGATAGACATATGTATTTAACAGATTTATCTTGGCCTTGAAGGACCAGTCACATTTAGAGGACGCTGCGGGAGGTCATTCCGAATCAAAAGCACTCCTGCCTTTATGGATTGGATGAATGAGTTCAATGTAGAGTGAGTATTTAACCGATGTGTCAATAAGGGATTTATTGTACTCACGAAGACTTACGTGTGTGGACTATGACCATAAGGTACTACTGTAACAACAGAAAACAAGGGCCAGTCAACAGATCGTTTATTAAGGAAATCAACACATATTTATAGATTTTCATGTGCATATTAAAGATTGTTGTTAGCGGAAAAACAGTCTTCTGATTGGTTGTTTCTCACAGAAAGTTGACCTCGCATCTCTTTACGGCTGTTTCTTGAATGTCAGATCATCTATATGTTAACTGTATCTGCCTACGCAAAGTTTTTCTTCTCGTTTTTCTCACGACCAATATTCGGGATATAAGCATTGACGTAAATTACCGTCCACCAATTTTGACTAACAGTCTGCTCTCACTACACTACAACCTGGTGGAAAGCAAATCTTGCTATAGATGTAACTCATGGTATAAGAGGAAGTAAGTTCGTGAGAGAAGGTGCAGTATTTTAACTTATTTCTCAAGTAATTTTTTCTTCAAATCTTAAGCTGTCTCTGTCAAGTATCCTAATGCTCATATATCGTTTGATTTTGCAAAGGACTGTAAGGGGAACAGCGGCTGAGATAGAAAAGAGCCTGATCTCCACAGTATCATGGTATCAGAATTGTAGAGAAACAGCATAGTGGGAATTAGAGAGGATTATTCCCTACCTCAGTGGAGTAGGGTTAATCCTTCATGCTGATGACACTATCCTCACGAAGAAGAAGTATAGTAGCGGAGCGTGAGGGGCTAATCAAATATGGGTGCTTGAACTATTTGACATTTTACTAGGCAAAGGTTTTCTAGAAAGGATATCCGATTGCCGGAGTATTAATTGCAATTATTCAGCGCTTGTTGATGCCAGAAACGACTATACTTACTGACAAATGGAGGGGGATATAACCAACTGTCATCTTTGTGTTATATTCATCATCGTGTCAATCATGTCTCCGATTTCGTGAGTCCAATCAGAGGCACCTACAATAATTCTATCTAAGGATATTGAGGGGAGTTTGAAGAAAACAATCAGGAATATCAATGGCCCACAAAGTACCATTATTTTGTAGCCACATCAATGAATACATGTATAAGGTTTGGTATGGTTTCTCTGCAGATTATCCTTGGAGACATTCCTACAATACATTAGAAACCCATTATCCAGCTTAATATCAAGTTTGCAACGTTTTTAATACATTTTTGATGATTACGCCACTTTTTTTTCGTAATTGAATTCTAATTTGTCATTCAAGGTTGGTGGGATTTTGACTATGATAGTTTAACTTCACTGAAAACGTTAGTTTGAACATGAGCATTAGCTGATCACCAACACATAGTGTTAGGAGCTTGAATTCTACCTTCTCTCACTCCATATCTGAATTATTGTCAGGTGGTTGAAGGCAATTGGCAAGCCACCTAGCATGATGGCCACACTACAAACTTAACTGATAGAAGTCAATCTACACCTTACGAAAGACGAAACACACGACATTACTTATTTACTACCTAGTGTCTAATATCTGTGGTGAAAGCATTAAAAAATGCTTAAGCCCTAAACCATAACTTTGATTAGTAATCCGAAAATGTTAAGTCAATAAATACTCTATAATTATCCAGTAAATAATTCTGTGTTATTTATGTGCTACTCCCAAATAAGGGGGGGGGAACTGAGGTTGCATTTTACTGTATACAATTGCTGAAGTTATACTTTTGCAATTCAAGTATTTTTCATCATTTAATTTGTCTACTGGGCATCGTTTTGGGTTTTGCAGCATTTTCGTCAAATACATTCGAGTGTCATTGTGTTTCTTAATGGGTATGTTAAGAGCAAGTTGGATGCAATAGCGTCTTCCAGTAGGTCAAAAGTTGTATATTGTTTCTTAAGTTGAACATTATCCATGGAATCATTAAAAATCGAGGAACTTTTGGAAGTGTGTGTTACTTCCTGGCTGCCCACATCTTGAAGGTTTATTGATTCTTCGGGTACCTGAAACAGAAAGAGGTAATGTTGCAGAGAGTCCTGAAGTTGAATGCTCTTTTATGAAGTTGGTGACGTGGCTTTAAGCGGCTCCCACCGTCGTTTATGGTCACAAAGTGAAGTGAAGATGTCTCCCTAGCCTGAAGAATAATACCTACTGTAAAAGGGAAGTAAAATGAAGGTGATGTGGGTAAAGGAGAATGATGCTCGGCGAGGCTTCGTGTGCTCTTAGAAGTGTTTGGGCGGTTGTTACTTCCTGGAGGTTGGTTGATTCTTCGGGTAGCTGAAACAGAAAGAGGGTTAGCGTTGCGTGATCGCAGAAGCCAAGGGACAACTGCTTGAGGCCGGTCACACATGGCCTGTGTGAACTGGTTTCTTGGATTAGTTCCGTATTAGTAAACTTACCTCCGGTTACGGACCACCGTAGAGTAAGTCGGGATGTACAATTGTCGAGGTCGCCCTGTTCTAACCCCCATCTCCAAAGTGGAGAGACAGCATAGTTGACATGCTGGTCATCTGAGGGAAACACCTCACTGCTGTTACACCCCTATTCCCTTAGTAGTACGACTTCGCCCACAGACCCCCAGCATAGTGTAAAAAAGTAAAGAAAAATCCTTACACTATGCCGGTAACTGCTTATAGTTTAATGGCTATCCTAACAACCTTCCTGGCATGGTAGGACCTGCAGGAAGCATAGTTCCAGCCAGTGTAGCTTTTCGGGTCATTGCGATATGGAAGCCCGGCGACCACCAAGTCAATGTAGCAGCTGTCGGTCGGGAAAAATCAATGAACACTTGTTTCTCCCTACTTTATGACGCCTTCATCTGTACTCAGACACTATGAAGGGATCAAGTAAAAAATTACTGTCACAATGTGAACGGATCGATCAGATGTCATAACATTAAAATCCAATACTACACGATTATTCTTCACTTTTTTTTCTCAAGGAGTAATTTTTCTGTCTAACCATTGAATTGTGATTTCCATCAAGATTTCTTTTTCCTATGAACATCGTGTTATATTTTTTTAACGACTATGTTCTATAGTATATTTTATGCATGTTTTTTTTCGCCTTTCTTTTGTTGATGTTTTTCTCCTGCATAATAGTTGATGTTATTCTTGAATTTCACAACAATAGTACAGATCCACAAGTTCAAGGGCAAATTTGCATACTTATTGGCAATTTGATTGGTGCTAGTTTAGTCTGGCAAAGTGTAAATTATTCTGAAACTAACAGCACACTGAATGATGAAGACGCATCGCCTCATAGGTCAAAGCAAAGTAACCTGGAACGTCTTTTCAGTCAACTAGAAGTATATTTAAATCCAAGTGTAAGTCTGAGTTACAGTTTATTCATTGTCCTTTTTCTTTAGAAAAATTAATATCCTGCTCCCTAGGGAAAGTGATTTGGTTTTCTGTTGTAACAGAAGCGACTAAGCTGTGGGTAATAGAGCGATACGGGACCCAATAGGTACCTAAAATGTGAATATGCACCTTCCGCATTTCTTGAAAATATCAGTTTCAGGAAAATATGAAATTTTGCATTTGGATAACAGGTGTTTTTTTTCCTATTCACATATTTGCTTTTCTCTCAGTCATCATAGTGTGTCAAACTCATTTGAATTCGTTGTTTAAAATAAGCGATGTTAATGGATCCGTGAAGAGAATAGTATCTCTGGGTGTTACTTCTCGCTTCATCAATATCTCTCTCTCTCAGTGAAACTGTTCACTTTGTTTGCGAATTCATCGCTGATAATAATCTGGACGTAGGTGCCCCGACCCAACCACTCAAGGGGGACTACTATTGCGATACGCTTTCAATATCCAGTTTTAATTCAGTGACCCGCTATGTAGAACAAGAGGTAGAGGGGTAGTCTGGTCACCACTTGGTCATTTACTTACCAACTGCTTCATGTCAAGTCTAGAAAATAATATGTTACGACTCACTGTTAAAAGTTTCCAAATGTACCAAATATACATGGATGTTATTTTTTTAACATTCTTGTAACATAGAGGGCAATGAAACAGAAACTTAATTAAGCATAAAATGCCTTGGGAGATAGTCTATCCTCTGAAATTACCTGGTCATCTCATATCTTATCGATTCCCAGGGAAATATTCCGACTAACCTACTACATGAAGAAGTTAAGACAGTCAGGAATTACTCTACCTCCGCTTTTACAATTCGTTAACTGTTGCATCTTACCTGTTGTCCTTTATTGTTCCCACTTAGTCTTTCCTGAGCTACTAAAAAAGGACTATGTCATATTTCGAAGGGTACTTGATTGCTGTTGATTTACTTCAGATATTCACATTTAATATTGATCATAACCACCCTCCTGTGGTGAATACCTAACTAACACTTTTTTAATTGTTATATATTTCCATTTTTATTTTTTTTTATTCAAACAAAATGTGTATTCTAGATTTCTGGTATTGCCTTTCGATGGGCTTTATCAGGTTTACGTGCGTGTTCTAGTGCTTTATTATCGTGTTGTACCAATTGCTCAACATCGTCATCATCATCACTATCATCGTCATCTTCTGTATTATGCCCAAATGAATTCAATCCACTATTTGATAGAAGATTATTACTTTATCGTTTTCTGAAAATATTAGCATCATTAATTGTGCATACATCACGTCATTCTTATCGTTTAGTACGACGTGAATTATTAAATCTTATCATTGAACTTGACTGGGCAACTATCAGTTATTTAGAGGAAACATTGAAAACATGCAATTTTGAAAAGGTTTGTTATGTATATTGAGTTGTCGAAAATACTGGAGTTTTGTTTTTCGCACTTATTATTTTATTATTACTTATTACTATTTGAGTTAATTATATGTTTCTGAATGTGATGAATGGTGCGTCGGTGGTACGGCGGTTAGGTCGTTCGCCGATCATGAACATGGTCCGGGGTTCGGTCCCCGGCCACCGATGCACTCCTTTACCTCACCAAACCAGGAACAAAGCTACTAAAGAGGAAAAAGGAGGGTTGGGCATGAGGGTTGCAACCCCATCATGTAAAATTAAACACTGCTACAGAAACTTCAAGCCTGTAGCTTGAAGCTCTATGTTCCACTGGGAACGTGAAGGAATAAAAAAATGTGATGAATAATCCAAATCGTAACTAGGGCAGGTGTTGAAGATTGGTAAGGTTTGACAAGGGTTGCATAACATGAAATAGGATCTTAATAGAGACACATGTCCAGAGAACATTATCCCTCTTGGCTACGAAAAGGTAACAGTGGTCCAATTCAGAGTACTATAATTGAATATATATATATATATATATATATATTCAACGCTGGTCACCCCAGTATGCACGAGGAATTCATTCAAAGTCATTTGCAAAGGCAAAAGAAGCCTTCCGAGAAAGGTAAGCTTCCGTATACTTTGCATTGCCGAGGAGGCCTCATCGATCCGGATAGAAATCCCCGATTTATACACACAGAAGAAACTTCTCCACTCCCTCCTTCTACCTTGGATATAATTCCAAGTTCTTGGTAACATCTTCTTCTTAACCAACCCTTTATTGACTTATTCTATCTACTGCATTATTTATTTTTTGGATACGTGTCTGCATTAACATCCTATTTCATATAACGCAACCCTTATCAATACTTATCAATTTTCACTCCCTTAATTAAATATTTAAATCAGTCGATCACAAATTTCTTTTCTGGCCCATTTATTGCTAATATTGTGTAACAAGATACATGGCAAAGTTAAACAGTAGCGACCCAGAAAGGCATATCTACGATTGATCTTCAGATGATCATTTGTTTACAAGAAAACGCTGTATCTAAATCTGAATTACAAGAAAAAAACAGTTAGGAATAAACCAACACACATTAACCAGGATACTTTTCCTTGACGTATCCCTAAAATACTTCCCGATTATGGTGAGGAGTGTCATTTTTCAAGTTAAATCAGTTTTCAAGTGTTGGTTTGTAGGGATTTGATTGGTTACAGGATTTCATCATGAGCTGACGCTGGTTAGAGAACCAGTAGGGTGCAGCAGGTCGGGTGTGAGGACAAATACTCGCTGAAGACATTGGCTAGGGGTCGCGGTGTGTCGTGAATTGGCAGAAGTTAGAATTCATGGTCTGGTCATTGGATCAGGTCCCATTGGCTTAACGGTCAACGAGCTCGCTAGCTTTGTAACCAGAATGTCCTTGGTTTCGAACCTCGTGGTGTGGGTGCGTACTGATGAAGAGTCCCAAACTAGGACGAGACAGCTGTCCAGTACTCTTAGCTGGTTTTCCAATGGTTCTCTAACTAATGTCAGCTCATGATGATATCCTTAAACTAGTTTTTTCTATATATATATATATATATAGAGGTGACTTCTTTTTGTGAACCATCTGTTACTCGTATCGTGTGTGTTTTTCAGCTTGCTTCGAAAGCCTTTGAAAAAATCGGCTAAATTATTGATTCTATGCAGAATGAAATGCAAATCCGATAACTCATTTTTATCCAACCCAATTGATTGCATGAGTTGTACTGCTAAGAATTACTAACTACGATTGGAAATTACTTCTGCAATTCCTGTGCGAATCTTAATATCTTAGATTCCCAACATATAAAATATAAAACACAAAATAATCGAGCAAAGAATATTCTTTTCGATGAATTTCTCTTCTGACTCTACAATTATATATATGTTTATACACACAAAATATCCAAGATTGGTAGTTAATAACAAATACAAATATTATTCGCATTAGGATAACTACGTCCTTTTCTATCGAAAGTTGCGTCATGGTATTTATCACCCACTATGCTATATCTCTACAATGCTAGTACAATTGTACAGTGCATGCCAATGAATTCTCGGTCTCTGAAGCCGTGGATCTCAGACCAATACCCTTCAATACCCGATAATGACAGATAAAAAGTGTATTAGTCAGTGATAGCACCGATTTCACAAAGATAGTTCCTATAAATGAATAAAATTAAATGTGCAACATGCCATTTATAAGGGTAACTCTTCCTACAGTTTGTACACGTCATTACTTATCCATCAATTGCTTCTGAAAAAAATGCTGGTTGTATGTATACACAACCTCCACAAGACCATTTACAATTATATGCTATCAACTCTGTTATCAAAATAGTACTTAATAACCCGGTCGGTAGGCAATTTACACCTCAATTCTTGCGCAGCGTATGTAGTAGCGCTATCGAAATGGTAGGTTTGCAATCCTAGGCACAGTATGCGTTCAAGTCCATTGATGCGTCTGCACTCCTGGGTCGCCATTCGTTAACTTCGCCAGATATATAAGAGTGACGAGAATTCCTATTCTATTAGTCTTTATCATCTGAATTTCCATTAGTTATTTATTCTTAGACAATTAGAAGCAAATCTTAAACATAGCAATTCCCGTATTGGACAATTTTAATTTTTGATTCTGAATCCTTATTCATCGAGTCTACACCTAACACATGCAATAGGAATGATTCATCACTCATTCCCGAAATATGGAAAATACTACTACCAATCAAATCAAGTGAAAAATAATAGAACTATATAAATGAAGTTAGGAAGTCGTGTGATTACCTTGATATGATTATGAGTAATAAATTGTGCTCGAAACGTGGTCATCAGTAAGCATTACTGTATAACACTGTGAGACTTTATCAAAACAAAAATTTACCCATAATGGAATTACACTCTACCACAGTGTACAAGTTTTATTCTTATATCAACTTTTGACTTTGTCAAATCACTTGAAGGCCTGATCAGCGAATATATCGAGCTAACAGAGTTATTGAAGAAACTCAGCCGTGTTTCGTTGTATCTGAAAGTGATTTTTGTCGGAGCCTTGTGCTTTAAACACTTCCCTATTTTAAGAAAAAAAAGTCAAAATGTTTTCTATTCACATTGTTTTTGAAGCCGATTTCCTCACGAATCGGTGTTCTTTGGAGAATCATTGAAAAACAGGGAGCATTTGTAAGCTCTTTCTTTCTAATGGAAAGGTTGCAGCACTTGGTGATGTGAATTCGAATGACAGAGGAGGGAATACTTGTTCCTTCAAGGTTGCAGATACGCTTTGATTACGAGTACCGATAAGCAGAAAACCTAAGTCACAAAAGCTTCTTACTGACTGCTTCCAACCACCCAACAATGGTTCGAAAAGTGCGCTTGAATAAAAGGTCTCCTAGATTATTGACCACACTGCAAATTCACTAATGGAAATCAGTTTAGCACCATGAATAATGATACACATGATACTTTTCTCTTCTGAAAGCTCAATCAATAGATTCCTAAACTATTGTTATTTAACAGCTGCTCGGTATATTCACAAAACCCGTTGTCTATGATTCTCCAACTAATTTCGGTTCATGACGAAATCTTCCTTGAATTCAATGAAATTACTATAAATCCAACACTTATACACATTATCGATTAACTGTTATCTGTGTAAAATGCGGTAGGAATTTACCATTCCAAAAATTAACATAGTCGAAAATTGACAGCTTCTCTTTTCTGTAGCTTGTGTATGTAAAGAAATAAACAAACATGTAGAGTGATTTTGTTAATATGTTGATAAACAGATAGATGCCTTAAGAGTCGATAGATATTATAGAATGACAATTCATACTTAGTCGGTTTTAATTTAACAACATAAAGTGAATACTAATTTACTGATGTTGACAAAAGTCTTGTTTATTTAAAATGCAAAACCTGGTACACTAAGAAGATTCACCTTATAGTAATAATAAAGCAACATATGAGAAGGAAAAAAAGAGAATGAATACAGAATTTCACCTGGGAAGAAAACAGTTATATTTAACAAGATCTAATGACATTCGTTGAACTGTTGTCAGAAACGGAAGAAAAAAAAGGAAATTGCTGCATGTTCGCCATTGATTGCGATTCTTAGCCATATACGATAATGTTTCGAGCTGTCGCACCAATCGGTGCTAACCTACCACAAATATCCTTTATCTCACGGTGTAAAGTCATGAACTGATCACTTCTCCGCTTTCTCCATCCCGTCCCATGGTTAACCAGCAAAGACCGTTATGGAATCCTCTGGGATGACATTCGTAGCACATATCCATGCCACTGGAACCGGTGTTTCCAGATGACAACACTTAACAAATGGTGATCCCCATTACGTCCAAACACATGTCGCTGGATCTTAGAGTTACTCATACCGTGATACTATCGAACGCAAGCAGTCCTATGGAAATGGCGATGATCAAATACACAGAGTTGCCGGACATCCTCAGCTCGGAGAGGCCGAATTCCACAGGTATAGAGCAAGATAGCGTGCACTGAAGCATTGTAAACCCGGCCTTTGATAGCCAGGCTAACGTTGCAACGGCGCCAGAGGTGGCTAAAGTTGAAGTATGCAATCCCAGATTCCATGATATGGTTGGGAATCTCTTCCGTCATACCTCCGCCAAGCAGTATGACGTTAAGCTTAATTCAAGATGAAAATCACTACTGCCATTCGACTGAAGCCTATACATCTTTTCTCTATAAATGGAGTTGATACTCGAGTTCGACTGTAGTCTTATTTTTGTTCTTGAGAAGACTCACATTCATTCATAAACAAGTGGATACTCTCTCATATTCAATCGCAGGAGTGTTGGCAATGTCAGAATTTCTCTGTACTGTGATCTGTTTATTTATAAAATCGACTTACTGATCGGAAGTGAGGTCAATAATTTTGTTTTCTCAGTCTTGTAATTATTTCATCGGTTCACAGTGTTCGGTAATTTTTTCTCAGTGAATGATAATTTAGAGGCTAAAGGATGCGTTAGGGTCAAATGGTGAAGGGGAAAAGCCAAAGATACTTAATTATGATAATGAATACATTTTTGTATGCATTCAGAAGTTTGTCGATGAGCGGTAATTTTTATCTCTCCAGAGAATTAGGCGACACTAAGATTATCCTCTTGTGAGGTAAATGTTCTGTTGCATTTTTACTCTTTTTTTTCTCCTTGTATTCAAGTCCGTTTGGTTTGCTGTGAAACCAGTCAGACTGATAGACTTAGCTTGGACAGAATGTTGGCGTATTCTTTGTGATGCAGATCCTGATCTACGTGAACAAGCTTCAGTTGGACTAATTGCTCTATGCTCTAACCTAACGAGTGGTATTGGTGACTATTTAGGCATTTCTACTGGAGACCTACTGCCAAATCGTGTCAATCGTAGTTTACAGTTTTGGTTTCCTCAGTCATATTCACAAAGTAGTAAGTGTACGAGTGTGTATTTTCGTTACTTCCTGTTTTTTTTATTAAAAAAAACTCAACATTTCATTATTGGAATACTTACATTTTGCGATATTGCTAATTTCGTGTGTGATGAAAGTTTATGCTAATGATTCATTTCAACTCAGAGTCCTTTAGTCTACTGAACTTTTCGAAACAAAGTTATACATTTTTGTCAAAAGTCTCCAACGGTTTATTATTGTAACGGTAAAAAACAAGGGACCTGGAATTTAGCATCTATAAACAGCGAAATTATGTACAACTTATCTCTAAATCACCATCTGCCTAGATATCCCGCAGTGTGCTACTTCTGTCCTATTTTCGTGTCTCCCATGTCTTTGACTTCAAATCTATCTCTCCGTTACTTGATATTTTCCTGCCGATGAATGTCTCTTTATATATTACTGATGAACCCTATGAGTAGCACATGCTACATTATGAATAAAATAATTTCAGTACAAGAATACTGTGCTACGGTATATGTGCATTATTCTTCATATTTTCTTATTTGAGACACTCCTAATTGCTTATCTTCTTATTCAAGTGACCAATTCATGTTTAATATCATATCCTAATTAAGTTCACTTGCAGTCTGAATAATACAGTGGTAAAATATTATGACTTCAACACGAAATGATGAGATTTTGAGTCGCTCACTGTCAAAACTTCAATCAGGTGCCAACAAAATCCTGAGTAACGATTGAGTTCTTATATTTACATCTAAAATTTGCCTTTTAACAGATCCACTATTTAGTGTATGGCACATAGACACATGATTGCAATCAGTGTTACTGTCTCAACCAAAATGTGCATTAATTAAAGTTTATTGATCAAGTGTATACAGTGCGGTCACTGAACTAATTGACATAAGATTGTCGTCCCCCTGCTGGGTGAACTGTAATTTGATATTGCTTTTTCATGATACTAAGGAGGGGAAATCAATAGACGAGGCTGTGAAGTTACATCGATTGAGACATGTGTTACGCACGCATGCATAGCCATCACCTTCCTTGATGGGCTATGTTAGCTGACTGACATAGGAAAAGGTTGGAAAAGAACTGCTAGTGGTGGCCAGACGAAAACATGGCGTCATCAGTCAATGAAATCCACAACAGTTAGTTTAAGCCACGTAGGAAGGTGTAGACTGCCTGATTGACTGGTTGGGGTCCTCGGGACGGTAAAAACCAATGACGGTAAAACCAATGGAGACAGACAATTGGTGACATGGCTTGAAATCATTCTCAATGATGGAGCAAGTGCACCCATTCCTTGATCTTCGATACTACTATTCATTTTGCCTACTCTTTTTGCATTTCTTTTTACTTTCTTCTCTTGCTTTATGTGCCCAGTGAAGTGTGGTGACTCGAACTGCTGCACATTGGTACAAAGTTCTATGCTGAAACCAGTCACTCAGTCAATGATTTCATTTGCCTTCTTGTTGTGTTCTTTGAGCTGGATGGTTTAATTGTGGAGCTTTCATTCTTCTTCTGGACAGTATCTTCAGCGCTAGCTAACTTTTCTCCATCATCTCTAATTTCAAAGTGACTCTAAAGTTTTTCCTATTATCTTTCGTTGGTCCAAATAATCTTTCAACTACACCATAAAGTCTTTTAGACTTTATTTCATGATTCTATGACCAGCTTTATTGTCAGTTTTAATCTGTTGCAAAATATTTACTCTCTGTTTACAATCCTCAAGGAAATATTCATCGACAGAAGTGCAGTGTGGTAGGTTGGAAGTCAATTTAGGATTTGCATGACTTCACGCTGTGGTTCAAAGGCATAAGTGAATGCTTAGAATAACAAGAAACGGTGAGAATCAGATGCATTTTGCTTGATGGGAACTCCTGTCGTCAGCTCAGTGGCTTAAGCAGACTGTCATAAAACTCTAATATGTGATGAAGTCTCAAGGTTGCTTCAGTTGGACCTGAACTTCCTTTTAACACTGCCTATCTTAACTCAGTTCTTTAAATTTAATTTCATTCGGAGATCATTGTAACAGAGGAATACAAGACATGGAAGACAAGGTATATTTTCAACTGATCAAACCGCTATTTATACCTATACAGTTTATATTCGTTAACCAATCACTGGACGTGTGATTTTGGTTTGCATCAAACGACATGGAAGAGAATGTTCAAACACATATATAATACCCTAATGCGTCGGTGGCACAGCGGTTAGGACGCTGGCCGACCATACACATGGTCCGGGGTTCGATCCCCGGCCACTGTCTCACTCCTTTACCTCGCTAAGCCAGAAATAATGCTGGTAAAGAGGAAAGGTTGGGCATGAGGCTAGCAACCCCATCCTGTAAAATTAAACACTGCTACAAGAACTTCAAGTCACTAGCGTTAGGCCCTATGCTCCAATGGGAACGTGAAGGGAAAAAAATGCAGTATTGAACTGTGGGAATATATGAGAATAATATTCAGTTGGAACACACTGTCTGTATCACACCACCACACCATAACTGTCATGACGAATATTCTAAGGAGATCATAGGAAATATTCATGAGGAAGCATTTTTACTCAGAATAAGTTTTTTTTTGTAAATGTATCACTCTTGCAGGTAATAGTGTTCTCTGAGTTGGTTGGTTTAGTTGTGAAGCTTTCGTCGTCCTTCTGGACAACATCTTCAGTAAAAGTAAATCATGTGACCAGAAATTTTAAAATTCAAGTCATTAGAAAGTGGTCAATACATATGTAAAGATGGTTACCAGTAGACGCAGTTGGATCACTCATGAAGAAATTTAAGTCATTTAACTCTATTCTAAATATTGTGCTGAAGGGGATGTTGTCCAGAAGGACGACGAAAGCTCCGCAACTAAACCAACCAGCTCAGAGAACACCATTAATTGCAAATCATCCATCAACCTGAGCTACAAATCTTCTCTATTATTTCAAAATGTATCACTCCTTTTTCTTCTGCATAGAATTAGGTATTTCGTGTTTTGGATTAGTTGGTTGCTTGGGTGCTTACAGTTTACCTCCGTGTTTGTCTACTCTACCAATGGAAATGGATGTTGGACCTGTTGGGCAACAATTTTATCAATCAAAAATGTCTCAATTGTTACATTTAGAAGCAGAAAATAATAGTAATAATAATTATAACAATAATAATAGAACAGCTAAACAGATGAACTGTTTTCATTCAAATAGTACAGGAGCTATACGTCTTTTCCGAAATTGTTTAACGGCTTTAATGGAATTACCGTGTTCAAGTGTCCTACCGGAAGATCGTTATATGCTGGTAAACACATTTAAATTATCTTTCTTCAATTATTCTCTTTGTTATGATATGTTCATGAGTTTGTTGGCTTTTGTGTGTATTATATGGCTAAGTGAATTCTATATAAGCCGTTATTTCTTAAGGAGATGTGTTGTAAAATCGACGACGACTTGACTTTCAATGTTTGTTTTGTTTTCCTACGTTGTTGTATCTCAATCCAGTGGTTGAACGTTTTGCTAAAATATTATTTAAACATAAATTTTGTACAGCGCGGGCACCAAGAAATGAGGCAGGTAATGCACGTTGATGCTGATCTACATCGACTTCTAATTGAAAAATACTTGGATGAAGTTGTCAAATAAGTTGAGTGCCACAGTAGGCTTGTTAAGCAATCGCTAAAGTACTCTGTTCTCCATACCGATAAGATATTTCGATTCCCTTCAGAGGTTGCATAATGTGCGGTAGATCTCTGTTCCCTAATTAACGGCTGTTACAAGTAGGCGGGTGCCTGCAGATTTCATCTGCTCGTAAATCGAAGTGGGTTTCGGACTGAGCCCTCGGTCTGAACTGTGGTTATCTGTGTCTGCAAAGTTTCCTCGCTTATTTAGACCTAGGTATCATTTTTTGTTTCTTTCGGGGTGATTAAGTCTGTTCTTTTGGCCCGAGTGATAACGATATACTGGACTGTGCTCTCAGGGTCTTGGTGGTCAGTCATAAATTAACCACGGACAAACTCACGTGTTTGGTTCTTTCGTTCAACTGGCCAATGCCGATGCAAGGGTGGCTCTGCAGCTTCACATGGAGATACAATGGAACGTCTGAGTCACCCTTGATTATTATTATCTTGGAAAATGGTTGGCGTGGGCCTCTGATAATATGGTGTACCTAACGTGGCTTTTCATTAGAAGGGTATGTGAGTCTGCCAGCCAAGTCAGATGCGATTCAATATATATTAGCGGGATGTGAATTACTAATCGGGGTATGGTTTCCTAAGGTACGTTGGCCTGCCTTCAGTTTGCACGAGTGTTCGTTCATATGTATTGTTTTTAGCTAACCGGGTTTGCTCCAGGATGTTTCGTTTAATTAAAATTAAAAGGTTTTTTTAGGCAAGTCTAAGCGGTATCTACTGACTGTGCTAGCTAGGACCATATACCGACTCACAGTGCAACTGCCGATGTTCTCTTGTCGTTGAGAAAAGATTGAAACGTTTTGACCCTTTATATTTTCTTTGAAGTGATCACCCGCAGTGAAACTCCACAACAAGCATTGTCTTGTTAGGTAAAGGAGTATTCTTCTAAATTGTTCGCTCAACTTTACTGTAGGTGTGCTTAGTGAAAGCCATTCTCAACAAGTAATGTCAGCTAAATTAGTGATAGGTTAGTAAAGGTTAACCGTGATCTGCCAAAAATTTGACAACAATCCGTTAACCTGTGACTATTGGTTTTAACTACATCACATTATTGAGGTACTCATAGGTTGGTGGTGATCTATGTGTTGTGGATCATGGAACATGCTTTTGTTAGTCATAAGTAATCCATAAGGATATTAGTTGACGTAATTCAAAGTGTTGAGTTGATAATGACCTCATTAAATAAGGTTAATCATCTTGATTACTGAGTTCCAGCGTAATGCCTTCATTGCACAGAAAACCACAGTTGTTTCAATTATCGACAATCAGTCGATATATATAGACATGCTGGTAACTAGAGTTAGTTCCTTGTATAATGCTTTATTTAATAAAAATCATGGAAACTTGACATTCCATGATACTAAAAATGTAGGTGAAAATATTTTTGTTGAATCGCTTTTTTGAACGGTGGTCGCCTATGAATGTGATGTCATGTTATATGTAAACTTAAAGCGTCGTATACATTCAGTGCGAACTGTTGGATGTCTTGAGCAGTCATTCATTGCTAGTCAACATCAATCTGGAAATCGTTGAAAACACCCAACAATATACATTCACGACTGAACGAAAATCTGTTAGAAACTGTCAACCACTAAATTTTCTTGGTAGACTTTTGATAGATTAAAATATCTTTTCAACTCTAGTCAAGTTGACTATAACGTCCTCTTCACATGACCTTCGAGTCACCCTTGCACTGACGACCAACTCGCCGCTTCCCTTACGGGTTCCACTCGAGCAATGGCTTGTCTAGTGATGTCACTTGATGGTTTCCTGAGCGTATGGTCAATCCATCTCCATTTCTTCCTGTTTATTTTTTCACAATCGGTTCCTGGTTGGTTCGCTCGTTGCCAGAGATCCCTACTGCTGATCTTTTCTGGCCGGCCATCTGACCTTGTGTATTGAGCGAAGACTGCTGTCAATGAAGGTCTCTACTTTGTTTGAAGTGCCTTCCATGACGCAGCGCCAAGTCTCTGATCCGTTATAGTAAGTGGCACTGACTGACTTCACATTGGAGTTGAAGATCCGGATCGTATTTTTGATGCTGAGTGCTGTTGACCTCCACACAGACTTGAGAGTAATGAAAGATTGTCTTGCTTTCCCGATGTTCACTGCTTTGATATCCTCGTCAGCTCCTCCTGTATTTGAAACGATGCTTCCCAGGTAGGTAGGTGAAGGAGGTTACTTCTTTCGGGTTCCTCCCATTTATACTGGTTGATTCTTGTCTGTTGTTGCTGCTGTTGGCCAGGAATATGTAGTAAGTTACCAATATCTAGTAGACAAACTTTTAAGGCGAAGTTAAGATTTGTTAGTATGCGGTAGATGACTTTGAAAGTTGCCTTGTTAACATCAATCTTGTGTTCTTTATCCACAAGATGAGATGGAATAGCTCTATGTGAATAGATTTCGTTTTTCCTTTACTTAACAACGCAGGATGATGTTCAGAAATCCGAGAAGACAAACACGCCTAATTGTACGGCCTATGTAACTTGCTTCACAGCAGCAGTTAGATTATTATTATCTTAACAATTTAAGCATTTTTAATGAACTGAGTAAATATCAAATCATGAGATTTAACTCGTTAATAATTCATCCTCGAATTACTTCCCTCTCAACTGGTTGATAAACCTTTACATTTTTTAGCTTGGTGTCGTTAGTTGCTTGAATCAGTTGATTGGATTCGCTCATTTACTGAGTTATTCTGATATATGGTTCGATTCATCATCACCACCACCACCATCATCATCATCATCTGATTCCAAGCCGTTAATTGGTGACCAAATGGAACATTCTGTACAATCTACACAACGTAGATCACGTCTTTCATTATTATCTTGGCATTGTCTCACTTTGTTATCATCAACTCCTATAACTTCAACCGATATAGAGCTTCAATCGGCATTGTTACATCTATGCACTGGTTGTGTAATACGTGAGTGTTTATACTAACTCTATAATCACATTGTTGTTCTTTTTTGTACTTAATTTATATACCTTAAAAAAATCATATAATGTGTTTAATTGGTTGTGTCTGCACTCAATTAGAACTGAGTTATACGGACCGAAATTTTCATCCATCAGGGGAGAAGGGCTGATGACACCAGTTCTTTCTGTCTGTCTGGATTCAACATAGAACTTGGAACCGAAGTGCACCAGTTCGAGTTACCACCTTCCAAATAGCACACAGAGGTAGACAAGAAGATGAGTGAAGAGAATCAATAGAGTTTAACAAGTATAAGAGCGAAACAGAATGGGTAATGGTAGAAAGGAATATGAAAAATTACAGAGACTGAATACATCTGTGCCATTGACAATGATTTTGATCCATGTCACCTATTGTCTCCAGCCATTGATTCCTAGAGTCCCGAGGACGCCAACCCGGAAGTCTGCATCTCCCTACCTGACTCAGTTTAACTGTCAAGGATTTCATGGATTGATGAGGCCATGTTTTTGTTTGGCCACCACCTACTCTTTTCCAACCTGCACCTATATCAGCTAGTAATTCCCGTCGGGGGAAGCGATGGTTAGGGATGCGCAGTACGTGATCTAGCCATCTCAATCTACGTAACTTTATAGCCTCGTCGATTGATTTTCCCTCTTTGCCCAACACTCAATGCCTAACGTCAACATTACTTACCTTATTAAACCACCTAACGTGAGAAAGAGATCGTAGACATCTATGATAGAAAATAGTCTTCAACTCGTTTAGATGAGCGCCCCACAAACCGAAAATTGACTGCGTAAGTGAATGAATCACAAGAGACAATAATACTATTGTGAAGATATTGAATAAATAGAGTTGAAGTATCATTCAGTTATAATCAAAATAGTTAAGCTATTTTTCTATTGTCTAGAAAAATAAGACTCTACGTTTCTTACTGTTGCCTGGTTGAAACCTCAACCGTTTTAGTATTCAGCTTCCATTAAAGGTTACACATCTCTCACTATCCTTATTTCTTCTGTCGTATGCTTTATGAGAAAATAGCATGATATAAAATTTGTTTATTGTCTTCCATGTAAATTCCCTGAATTTACAATATAAAACGTTTTAATACTAGATGTCGACTTTAAGTTCAATTGAGTATAAACTCCTTCTAGTTAGTGACATTAAGTATATGTCTCATTCTATGAATAACTAATTAAAATTTAGAGTGTCTGCTTTTGGCACCTAGCCCAATGCTTAAGTAGTATTATGTTGATAATCTTAAGCTTTCTCAATTGGCCTTGATTAATTAGAAAGCACAGAGTAGTTAGTATTAAACTAGTTCAATGCATGTTTTCATTATTATCATTGGTCGTGTGGTTAAAAGCAATGCATTAGTAAAACTGCAACTGTAGAAGACAAGATACTTGTTTAAGGGAATGTTATAATTTAGAATTCGCTATGTCTATATGACGAAATTATGTACACGTTATCTCTGAATCATCATTCTCACAGATCTCTCCCGTGGTGTGCTATTTCTGCCCTTCATAGTGCGATTTATTTTGTCTTCTTTTCGTGTCTCTCATGTTTTACCGCTAGGCTGGCTGAATCAATTTCTCTCTTTGAGGTGAAATTTATCACACTGCTATCTGATATTTTTGTGCCGATGAAATTCTCTTTATCATTATATTATTTCATTGGGTTCTCTTGGGTTCCGAGTGGAACATATGACTTCAACAACAACAACAACACATCTCCACTTTTTACTACTCTCTGCTGTCCTCTTCAACTGGCTAGCCACACGACTGTCCATAATCTCTAATCTGTGCTCCTCTCCACACGAGCTCCTCTGTGTTACTTCCGGATGCACCACTCGTCGTTTCCCATTCCGGTTCCACTCGAGTGATCGCCTAAGGCGTGATTTCATTCGAAGGCCTCCTTAGGCTGTGCCCAATCCACCTCCGATTTCTCTTACATATTTTCTGAGCAATCGGCTCTTGATTGGTTTTTTGCCAAAGTTTCTTGTTGCTAATTACTTCTGACCTGCCTCGATTTGATCTTCAGTGTGGAGCCAGCGAAAAGAGCTGTTGATAAAGTCTGTAACTTGTTGGAAATCCTTTTCATGTTTCGCCCAGTTTCTGACCCATATAAAAACACTCACTGACTTCACATTTATGTTGAGAATACGAATCTTGTCCTTTGTGCAGAAGATTTGCAAAATAGTTTCAGATTGATGAAAGTGTATCTTGCCTTTCCGATTCTGGCCAGCTTTGATATCTTCATCCGTTTCACCTGTAGTTGAAACAATGTCTCTTAGATAAGTGAAGGAAGTAACCTCTTTCAAATCTCCCTCGTTGATGGTGATTGGTGCTGGTTGGTATTGTTGTTGTTGCGGTTCGCTGGTTACCTTCATCACCTCCGTCTTCTCTACGTTCCCCTGCTGTCCTGTCTTGGCTGCTGGCATATCCTGCTAGTTTGTTGCTTTTCGTTTGTAAGTCTTCGAGTTCTTGTGATATTAGACATATATCATTTGCGAAATCAAGATCTTTTAGAGTCTTCTCATCGCTAGTCCGAAGTACTTCTACCTTCTCGTTCCCCAAAGTCTGACACATAATCCAGTCCATGACAGTCAGGAATATCATTGGTGATAATAGACAGCCCTGTCTTACTTCTGTGTTCACTTCGAACGCCTCGCCGAGATTCCTGTTGTGGATCACCTGACATCTCGCATCGTCATATAGATGTTGAATGACGTCGATAAGGATTTCGGTCACTGCGCTGCGTACTGTTGAAGTAGTTTCCAAATTACTTCTCGGTCAACGCTGTCAAAGGCTTTTCCAAAATCGATGAAGTTGAGGTAGAAGTTTGACTGCCATTCTATGCTTTGTTCTGTGATGACGATCCGTAGAGTTTTAATTTGATCAGCACATGATTCGCCTTTCTTGCATCCAGCTTGTTCCGTGTGGAGTTCTGTATCTAGTGCATCCTTCATTCTCTCCAGGATGATGTGACTTAGTATTTTACTTGGTGTGGACAAGAGCATTATTACACATCAGTTCTTGTTCAGGTGTAAGACGCCCTTCTTTCCCAGCTTCATGAGGTAACCCTTCTTCCAATCGGTAGGAACCTTTCCTGCTTTCCAAACCTTTTTCAATAATGGCACGAGTACATCTGCGCAGTTTCTGGTTCCGTTTTCAGTGCTTCGGGGGGAGTTTCATCTGGTTCTGTTGCCTTCCCAGTCGAACTTCAGTTTCTTGACTGCATTCAAGCTTTCTGCTTTCGTTGAAGGATTGGTGTCCTCTGGCAAGCAGTTGTGTGCGCCCTTTTAGTGGTAGTGGTATTTCTGGTTGAGTTGCAGGGGGTGGTCGATTTAAGAGACCTTTGATGTCATTAGCCCGCTCTTTTATTTGTTTCTTCTCCTTGATAATCAGGTCTCCTTGAGCATGTTAATATATGTGTAAAACTTGGGCACTGTGGTAGTAAGTAATCCCATATTAGTTTGTTTATTAAATGTATCACACAGTGAAACGGTATTGTATACTGGATGACATTTCGAACACAATTTATTGTTCATAATCATATCAATTTTTGTCACACGACTTCGAGATTTGATTTTTATAGTTTTCTCTGTCCTCTATTTGTTGTATGGGCAATAGAATTTTCCATATATCTGGGACAGGTGTTGAATCATTCCTATTACATGTATTTGCAGTTGATTCGATAAACAAAGCTTCTGTTATCAATCTCTCCCTATACCCTGTGACATTAGATTTTAAAACTGTCATCCTATCCCATCCTATTGTATGGTTGTGTGTAACTGCATGTAGTGCTATAGCTGAACTACTCTCTAGATTTCTTATCTTATTCGGGTCAACCAATCTAGATTTGCAGCTAGGTTTTTATGTTCGGCTAGTCTGATTGACTGACCCTGTTCTACTAGTTTGACCTATGTATTTGACCTCACAATCATTGCAGGGTATTAGATAAACTAAATTGTTTTGTTTTAATGGCTCTACAGGATCCTTTAACCGACAAAGCTTGTTTCTAATTGAGTTTGTGGGTTTGAATGGCACTTTTATTCCTGCCTTGTTAAGAATTCTGCGTAAGGCTTCCGAGGTTCCTTCTTTGTATGGAATTACTGTTGATGATTTACATTCCTTATTGTTGGTGTCGTTATTAATATTATTATTGTCACTATTATTATTACCATTATTATTATTATTATTATTATTATCGTCATTATTATTGTTATTATCACCATCGCTATTATCATTATTTATTTTATTTTTACATTTACTTACATATTTCTTGACTAATTTATCCGGGTAATTATTAAGTTTCAAGGCTTCTTTTATGTGTGTCACTTCCTGTCTTAGATTTTCCTTGGTACTACTTAGTTTTTGTGCTCTGTCATTTAAACATTTCACTAATCCTATTTTTACTGACATAGGATGGGATGATCGGAAATCCAAATATCTGTTTGAATGTGTGGGTTTTCTGTAAACACTAGTGTTTAGCTTCCCATCTTCTTTCCTTTTTACGTTGCAATCTAACATTGGAAGTTCCCCTTCCTGACTTTCCAATTCATAAGTGAATTGAATTGCCTCTACCTTCGAGTTGATGTGCTCGAAAAATCTATCTATATCTTGTGTTCTAAGTACAGTGAATGTGTCATCTACATACCTCCACCATACTTTTGGGGTGGGGGTGAACGTTTCAATCGCTATCTTTTCCCACCTATCCATGAATATATCTGCTACAACTGGGGATATTGGTGATCCCATGGCAACTCCCTCAGTTTGTTTGTATATTTTCCCTTGGAATTTAAATACTGTAGAAGTCAGGCAAAGCTGGGTGAGTATAATACTTTGTCATCACCACAAAGTTAACCACCCAGCAGATGTCGTAGTACTCATACTAGTTCAAATGGAGGATTACATAGTAGACCGAGAGCCTCTTGACCCGTGATGAGTTCTCTTCCTGTATTATCTGCTCCCAGTTTAGCGTTCATGTCGCCCATGAGGATTTTGATGTCTCCTTTTGGGATGTTGTCCATTACTGTTTGTAGTTGCCTGTAAAAATCTTCCTTCTTCTCTTGTTCGGTGTTGTTTGTAGGACTGTGCGTAGCATTGCATGATAATTGTAACCTTCCTTCTTTCCCTTTGAGTTGAATCTTGCTGTCACGATCCTGGATGAAGAGATTGACCCCCAATGCATTAGGACTTTGGCTGTTGTCGTTGACATCATGATTTTCATTCACTCCCTTAGGGTGCTCTTGGTTGTCGTCTGGGTGACCGGGATGGATTACCGACTATCCAGTTGATGATTTTGATGGTCCACATCGATTCCATCTGTTTTCGCAGATACCAAGCATTTTTATGCCATATCTTCTCATTTTTGGCTACCTGGGCAGCCTCCCCAGCCAGCTTCGTATCTTGTACACACACTATATGTTACCATTCTTATTCTTGGTTTTATCAAGAGAGCAGATGCGTCGGTTGGCTGACTTGCTTGCCGAAGGTTTTCACCCGCCCGCGTCATTTCGTCTTCCTTATTCCAGCGAAGAATAAGTTTGCTTTTTATAAATTATGTATTTAAATATATTTTTTTGCTCACTGAAGTTTCTCCATCAGTTCTATAGCTTTTGTGGTATAGGGTTGCTATCCTCACGCCCAACTCTTCCTCTTTACACGGACTTGGGATTGGCTGGAAAACTATCAAGCTAGTAAATTAAACGAGGTTGTCTCTTTATATTCTACTGGCAAATCCTATCAGTAATATACGCCACAAAACTACATCGAAATATCTTTTTTGCCTCTTAAAAATTATTCTGTCCATGTATACTTTGTATGGAGTACTTATACTGTAAACCATCTTATCTTATAGGTTGGTCTATCTTTACATCATTGGATAAATCTACAAGAAAACATGATATCAACACTACTGACAACAGCAATGAATCAAATTTGTCGAATTATCAAAAACCATTCACTCGTTTCGCTTTAGCCTATATGCAACACTTGATGAGGTTAGATATGCATGATATCGTCTTTTGTTTTGTTTTTCTTGTTTTTACATTTTCATTAGATAATTACTTATTTTGCTTTCTTTGCCACATTCATTAATCTGATAATATTGATGCGACTATTTATTTATTTATAAAACCTTGGCACAATATGGCACCAAGAAGGATGTGCCACACATTGTGTGAGGGCTGAGGTACTGCCCGGGCGCCCAGACCGAAACAGGTGGTTTTATTGAGGGACCACCCCCCTCCGAGCCTTTGACTTGGAGTCTAATCCGCAGGGCAGCGGGGCAGCGTCAGGAGCTCCATCCCCATGGTTTCCGGTGACCCATATGGGTTCATACGCCATTTGATCCGATTGGATACTGGAGCCTATGTACCCCATGGTGGCCAGAAAAATCAGCAACAGGAATCTCTGGCAGTGAGCGAATCAACCAGGAACCGATTGTGAAACAAATTGGCAGGAAGAAATGGAGATGGATTGGCCATACTCTGAGGAAACAAACCATCAAGTGACATCACTAGAGAAGCCATTGCTAGAGTGGAACCCGTAAGGGAAGCGGCGAGTTGGTCGTCAGTGCAGGGGTGACTTGGAGGAGGTCATGTGAAGAGGAAATGAAAGCATGTGGGCAGACTTGGAGCAGCGGGGTGAAAACGTTGACAGAAAACAGAAGGCAATGGAGACGCATGGCTGAAGCCCTATGTTTCTCTAGGAATTAAAGGATAGAATAATTATAATAATAAATGTACACCATGGTAACTGATTTTAGTTTAACCGCTATCCAAACAACCTTCCTGGCATGGTAGGGCCTGCAGGGACATGAGTCCCAGTCAGTTTGGTATATTGGGTCATTGCGGTATTCAAGTCCGACCACCACGGCAAGGTAGCAGTTATCGGCCGTAACTATATGGTTGTTGTGATTAAAATGAGAATTAATGCCATGATAGGATTCGAACCAGTAATTCTATTTATCTCTTTCTTATATCAGATGTTAAATTGGTATGCGCGTATAATTATTAGAGAAAAGTGGTGCGTTTTTTTTACCACATGTAGGAATAGTTTTTATCCAAATGGCAATAAATGAACATTGGTCAAAACTCTGTTCAACAGAGCCAGAAGAATATGCTCTACAAAGAAATTAGATGAAGAATTTCTGCTTTTGTTGTGGGTTTGTTCTCTGAGCTGGATGGTTAGTTTGCGAAGCTTTCATCACCCTACTGGGTGACATCTTCAGCGCATACTTCAATTTGAAGTGAGCTTTTAGATTTCTCCACGAGTTTATTAATAATCCCTTCTGGTGACCTTGGACGTGATTGGTTGTTTATGTGTGTTTTCACACCTTCTAGGTTACTTGTATTGGAACTGCTAGAGAATTTTTAGAAGCTTGTCATTCCAGTGAATCATCAATCAATAGACACATCGAGATAGACAAAATTTATCAACCGATAAGAAAAAAACTTCACACACAAAGGGTCAAAGTTCAAGTCAAAGAAACAGTCAGTTCCAATACAAGTAACCTAGAAGGTGTGAAAACACACATAAACAACCAATCACGTCCAAGGTCACCAGAAGGGATTATTAATAAACTCGTGGAGAAATCTAAAAGCTCACTTCAAATTGAAGTATGCGCTGAAGATGTCACCCAGTAGGGTGATGAAATCTTCGCAAACTAACCATCCAGCTCAGAGAACAAAAGCACATCAAAATCATCCACCTGAGCTACAAATCTTCTCTATCATATCTAGAATTTCTGATTCTTGAAAGAAGATGCTGAAAAACAATGGTCAACTCTCAGAAATTTATTAACTAGTACGGAAAGATGTAAAGGCTCAAATGTTAAATTAAATCATAGTGGAAAGAAACTTCCCTTCATTCAACTGGATTTTAAAAGTGATCGTATTTTAGGAATAGTCAGAAAATATGCTGTTTAATGCAATCAGAAGTTCACAGATACCTTTCCCCTAATGAATCTTACGGTGTATATAAATTTAATGTGTATCTGAGGTAGAAGTTGCTTCAGGAGAACAGCAAGAAGAACACACCTCCGATTTTCTAAACACGTACGAAAAAGCCTACCTCTCAAAAGAAACAAACGCTTTTGACAGTGCCATTGTCAGACATGTCGTTTATACAGGTTTTGAGGTGAAATGCCTTCCACAGGCAACACAGTACGATTCTCCTTGAGTTTAATGTAGCAATCTCTTTCCAATACCTTAAACATCTCATTTACGTATTTATAAGGAAGGGGTTATCAATCTCTCCTTGAATGTCTTTACTCCCTCTTTTTTATTTTATCACATAATCTTTGGCTTTAACCTTTTCCCTTACATTGTTATGTAATCTTACCTCTCTTTTGTTTCTCTGATTTGAGTTCATGAAAAATCCTCATTCTAACATTAACAGGAAGAAGACTAGCAGTTCAGTGAAGAGTCTCTTTTCAGCGATTTCATTATTTTAGCTGTTCAATCGCAAATATATATACGGGATTGTAGCTCAGGTGGATGATTTTAATGTGGTTGTGTTCTCTGAGCTGGATAGTTAATTTGCGAGGCGCTGAAGTATGCGAAGTATGCGCTGAAGATGTCGCCTAGTAGGGCGATGAAAGCTTCGCAAATTAACTATCCAGCTCAGAGAACACAATCACATGAAAATATATACGGGTTATTTTGTATGTATGTGTACATTAAGTTTGTCAAACAAAAATACAGTTGATTTTGGTTATTTTAACTAAACAGGTGAGAATTAGTAAGTTTTGGGTGGAGTTACGTAGTACAAAAAGTATTCAGACGAATTGGATGTTGATATAAGAGGGTAGTAATAAAAGTGATGAATTATCACAAACGATTGTTAAAGAAGAGTTATGTAATGATACGAATATTTTGGTTAAAGAGTTGTGCTCAGGGTGAATATAGAAACAAAATAAAATACGGAATTACGTAAAAGTTTTTAGTTGTTAGAAAAATAAGCATACAAGCAAAAGATAGGTCAGATCAACAGAGTTGTTATCATTGATAGTAGAAGGGGCTGAATAATTTTCTTTTGTATGCATAGTTCTGGTTCTTCCAACTGAATGGCTAGGGCTTCTGCAGTGCACAGAAGACGGAAACGTATTGTCTTCAGCAAGTAGTTCTTCACTTTGTAGATTACTTTGAAGGAGTGGGCGTTTGTTGAGATGGAATGGCCAGTGGTGACGAGATGTTGCACTCCATATACGTCCACTACTTCCTTTCTTTTACCCTTTTTAACAGGATGCGCGTCGAACAGCCGATGAACCTGGCACCACAGCAACACGTGAACTGATATATACTGATACATACATAGAAGTGATCAGGTGCGAGATCTTGTCATTTGGGCTTCTGCAGATCAGCGGGCGACTGCAGAACACTACTCTCAGAGTTGCCGTCAAGAAAGTTCTTCTTAAAGAAGTGGGAATTCTCCTCTCAAGGATATCACTGATTTTCACCTATTTGGTGAAAATAACCATAATCAATTGTATTTTTGTTTGACAAACTTAATGTACACATACATACAAAATAACCGATATATATTTGCGATTGTACAGTTAAGAAAATGAAGTCACCGAAAAGAGACTTTGCTGAACTACTGGTCTTTTCTATGATTTGAGTTGAACTGACGACGTTACCGCCAACCTACTAGCTGCCCATCATCTTATCCACCTCTTGCTTTTATTAAGCAACTCCTTTTCTATTGTATCCGAGCATTTTTTAAAATTTAAACTGAAACCTCATGTGTGTAGGCTATATAAGTGTAATTTCTGAGCATTGTTGAATACATTTGGAGTCCCCTATCAACTGACATCATTTCATATTTGCATGAACACTAAAGTTGCTCAGTAATTAAACTTAATTGATTTTTTTAGGCTGTATGCAACTGATGAGATGCTGACGAAATAAACGATGGTACCACCTTATTCTGCGCAAGCTGTTGTCTTTGGTTCATTCAAATTCATAAAAGATGGGGGAATAAGTGTATGAATTATTATAGCGAAAATATTCATTCAGACATCTATAAAAAAACAAAATAATTGAGCAAAAAGTATCCTTTTCGATAATTTCCTTTTCTGCCTCTACAGTTATATATATGCTTATGTACATCGAATTTTCTAGAATAGTCGTCATTAGAAATATTGTTTTTAAATAGATCAGCACGATACTAACACAACGCCTTAGAAATACGGTAAAATGAGCATTCCCTTCTGCTGAATTACGCTGTGTCTTCAAAACTGACCCTATTCTGCGTTCGGGAGTAAAAGACAAACTGCCTAATTTCGCCTCTCCCAAGCGTATCTGCCAACTTAAATGCTCCTATGAAGCAAGTTACATAGGTCGTATAATTAAGCGTGTTTCTCTTCTCGGATTCCCGAACACCATCCTGCGTTGTTAAGTAAAGAACAAACATAATCCATTCACATAGCGCTATTCCATCTCATCTTGTGGATACAGAACACACGATTGATGTTAACGAGGCAACTTTCAAAGTCATTCACCGCATACCAACTAATCTTAACTTCGCCTTAAGAGTTCATTTACTACATATTGCTGAGACTGGCTGTTGTGATCCACATTAGGAAGCTCAATTTATGTATCCGAAAGAAGCTAGTTCAGACATTGTGCTTACTTACCTTCGATATCTAGGTTCGAATGATCCTCAATTGTTTGTAGAAATTTCCTTAATTTTAGTTGATACTCTATTTGCTATTATATTTTATGCATCTTTAATGAACTGTGATTCCATTGATCTTACTTGACAAATCGATATTATTTAAAAAAACACTAATGTTGCTACTGACTACTATTCTAGAATATTCCATGCATATAAACATATGCGTATATAATTGTAGAGACAGAAGAGGAAATTATCGAAAACGATATTCTCTGCTCAATTATTTTGTTTGCTAAAGAATTATTAATTAAATTAAAAACTGTCATCGACCAGCTTCTCTTCCTTGTTATTACTTGCTGAATGATTAAAAGTCTTAGGTAAATCTTTGTAGTCAGCAATACTATAATTGTACCCTTAAAGTGGTCTGTATAACCAGTCTTCTCATACTTTAAATATTTATTTTTTTGATTTCAGGACTTGTTGTGTTATGTGGCATGTTTTTGAAGGCATCCCTCTACCTCAAAATAATCAATCAGACTCAGTTATATCCAAGATTCCTATTGGTTCAATGTATTCTGGTATATCAGAGTCTTTTATGCATACAGTAGCGAATATCGCTCAAACAAGTACTAACTTCTCTCTCAATAAAAATAATCAAGATTCAGTAAGTGTATCAGCTACTCTTGGCAACAGTGGTAATACTGATTCAACCAGTAAAAAACGCAATTATGGTACTAAATTAGGCGGTTCGTTGAGAAGACATTTATCAGGTAAAGTAAATTTATATTGTGTAATTATTTCGTTTATTTATTTTTGTTGTTGTTGTTGTGGTGGTGGTTGGTGGTGTTGGTGTTGGTGTTGGAGGTGTTTTCCATCACAACTCCGACATAGTCAACCGATATTATTTTGTTAGGTCTAGGGATTCTGATGACCATATATCATGAAATGCGAATTAAAATTGCCTAAGGCCTCAAAGCAGTAAAACACTCATGTGGTGTTTTTGTTGTATCTACGTGAATATCAAATACTAACTAGTCTGTCTCAAAGATTTCTAACCACCTATGAATCAGTAGTCTATTATTATTATTATTATGATTGTTTCTTTGGGTTCCTAGTGGAACATAGGGCTTCAACTGCTCCTCTCCACTTGCTTCTGTCTTCCTTCTGCTGTACTTTTCACCTGCGTCCATGTTAGCCCATAGTTTTTCAACTCCTCTTCACACGATCTCCTCCATTTCACCCTTGGACTCGCCGCTTCCCTTTCGGGTTCCACTCCAGGAATGGCCTGACGCGTGCGCGATGTCACCCAGTGGCCTCCTCAGCGAGCGAGTGTCCAATCCATCTCCACTTTCTCCTGCATATTTGTTGGCTGGCGATTGGTTCTTGTTTTGTTATGCTTGTTCCCATAGTTTCTTGTTGGTGATTGTGATTGTTTCCGGCCCGGCCATCTGATCTTCATTCAGTATAGAGCCAGCGAAGACAGTTGTTGTTGTTGATAAAGGTCTCTGCTGCGATAGCCTGTTGGAAATATTCTTTGTGACCCGCCCGCCAAGTTTCTGATCCGTATAGAATAATAATACTAATTTGCTTTATTCCAGAAACAGTACTAGTGGCACAGTGTGGTATTTTCAGCACTTATCTACAATATTGCATCTACTTTTTATCAAAGGTTTAAAAGGAGTATTTCAAAAAAATATGAAAAACAACAACAAAAAATACAAAAATGCGAGAAAATACCAAGAAGTAGAATGGAAAATAAACAACATAATAAATAATATCTTAGTATTGGTTAATGGAAGCTATGATATGTGTATGCTAGGTGAACAGTGAAACTATATCATACAAGAAGTAATGAAATGATATTAAGTATGTTTATAGCATGATCACTTTATTTGATTGAACAACACTAAACAATCATAAAATAAACATTTCAGGTTTTTTTATTGTCAGCTCTAATGCGGTGTTTGTAGTGGTAGTGTGAGTAGTCATGCATAAATACAAAATTTTTAAGATAGTGATAATGGCGTTCACAAACAAGACTGTCAATTTGATATTGCCGAACAAAAAAAAACAATCACAAAACTAATATTACATGATGGTTGATGACAGGACAATTTTGTAATACTCATAGTTCTAATATAGTCGGAACCAGTAGATACACAAAAGAAGGAATAGAATAAAGTACAAAAAAGTAAGCCGATGTTAATAATTTAGGTAGCTAAGTATTTTTAAGAAGGTGTTTATTATAGAATACAAATAAGAGAAAAACAAAAGGGCCAAAATTATGTTGTTAACAACAAAGCAGGTCATAGGTTTCGCATAAAGGTCTACAATCATAGAAGTCCTGTGTATCGAAGAGGTCAATCACGGATTAAATCATCCTTAGTAGCATGACTGTTACATTCTACTGATTGACAGAATTATTTGGGCACTAATCAAGTCAGATATTAGTGATTACCAGCAATAGCAGTAGCGTATATACCATCATGGTATTTATTTCACATATTTTGATCTGAATATTTTGGGGATCCAAAGAAACCTGTGGTGTAATTTCACCTTCAACTTGGCTAATTTGTAGGTGAAACCTTTTTCATAACAATGGAGAATTAATAGATTTTCAAATTTCAAACTTTTAAATATTCATACATCATAAATAATAAAAAATATCGGGATAACTTAAAAATGCTCTTTTCAATCGTTTTTCTTATGAAATCGAATTTTTATTATTGTTATTAATATTATTAGATAGCTGGGTTACTGATGGATATATTCTTTCATGGGTAATTTGCATTTATGTATTTAGGTTCGTAAAGTAATAAGTTGTGGCTTTATGTTGAGTGTAATTACTTCACTGCGATTATCGAAATAGTCCAATTGATGAGAATGTACCCGTTATATGTTTTAAAATATTTTATTTTATAACTGTAAGAACTTGAAAATAATAGTCCCTGTACATGTCAGCTTTTAATTTTGTCACAAGATAGACTATATGTTATTTTTTTTTAAATTTTTATTCCGTCACGTTCCCACTGGAACATAGGGCTTCAAGCTAGTGGCTTGAAGTTTCTGTAACCGTGCTTATTTTTACTGGATGTGGTTGCTAGTCTCATGCCCAACCTTTCCTCTTTACCAGCTTTTTATTACAGGTTTAGTGAGGTAAAGGAGTGCGTTGGCGGCCAGGAATCCAACCCCGACCATGTGCATGATTGGCGAGCGTCCTAGCCGGTGTGTTACTGACGCACAGACTATATTATTATCATTCCCTTGAGTTCCGAGTGGAACTTAGGGCTTCAACAACATATGCACACTTTCATCCATTTCCTCTCATCCTCTTTCGCAGGACCCACAACTGCCTATAGTCTCTCATCTTCTCCTCACACGGTCTCCTCCATGTCACCCTTGGATGAATCACTCGTCATTTACCATTCGGGTTCCACTTGAGCAATGGCATGGCGCGCGATATCATTCGGTACCCTCCTCAGTGTGTGTCCGAACCATCTCGATTTTATTCGGGATATATATATATATATATATATATAGGATAAGTAGTGTGCTCAAATAGGCTGTAAAACTCAATTTTTAGATAAAATTCTTTTTTAACAGTATCTGTGTATAATATTCCACTATTCTAACTTGTTATTATTGTTATTATTTAACTCTATTTTAGTCCCTCGTTATTCACCAACATTTTCAACATCAAATTTGGGATATTTTGCCAATATGCCACATTATGTGGCACTGTATAAAACTCTTAAAACTGCATATAAAACGTTTAAAGTGAGTTCAGTTGTTGTTTGTTCGCTTCGTCGTTTTCCTATGAAATGCACATACATACATGTATATTTGTCGTAATCATATACAGCACTTCAAGTTTGAGCTTTGAAACTTGATTAGCAGTGGTGCTTTTGTTATTGACCTACCCGTCCAACTTCACGGGGCTTACTACCGGTTCAGCGAGGTATAGGAGCGCTTCGGCTAGAGACCAAACATCGGACTACATGACGCGTGGTGGTCGGCAAACATTCTACAGCTGAACCACCGATGCATGTTTCCTTGAACAGGAAAAACAATTTATTCTTATCAGGTGTGATTTTGGATGAAATCATCAGGAAGCTTTCGACACACATTTTGTGCTTCTTGGAACTCTTCAGCAAGGTGTGTGTGTGTGTGTGTGCAACCTTGAAGGAACTCATCTCCCCTCTGTTTTTTAAGGTTGTAGATAATACGCCTTGCTGATGAGTGTCAACAAGCGCGATATCTGGGTTGAAACCTGCCTACAGCAGATTTCCATCAATTGTCTAATAACAAGAATTCACAGTGCTTCCTTAATGGAGTATAGCCTAACATGCTGGCCACATTACAAACTTAACTCATAGAATTCAGTTTGTACCAATAACAAGGAGTAGATACACGACACTAGTCACTTACTACTTAGTGTTCAATCAAAAGAAAAACAATTAAGAATCAATATCTTCATAGATCTATTCCCCTCTACGAATTTGAATAAAATAAAAATAACATTTGATTGCACAATAAGATTATGACACTATCATTTATTTCGTTGACTTCTCATCATCTGCCTACAACCTAAATAAATAATTGTTATGCTGAGTTGAACATTGAAAGTGTAGGTCTCAGGGGGACTTGCTTTTTATGTCTCTTTCGAAGGTCATACATGTTTGGCAAACAAGACCCTCGGGAGCTTAAATATGCTGTTCATTTTTAATTGCCATTTTACATCGAATAAATTAGGACAACATTTCAGTGTCTTTGCTTCTACTCAGTTGGTGCATACATTAAAACTGAGCATTAATCGATTATTGCCTGCTATATATATATTGAAGAAGTAAGGATCTCAACATATTCTTCATGCGGAATAATACTCCTCTTTGTGAAAATGTCACTAATAATAATAATCGATGACTGTAACAATTAGCTTTTTATCAAAAACTTTAATTACATGACAGTTGAACATCATCGTGTTATAAAAAAATGGGGGCTGTTAAATACTATGGGATTAGTACGCAAATAGAATAAAAATAAAGACGTTACATAACATTGTGTGAAATTTGATAACATAGAATATAACGTTGCAAAACAGAATTGATTTTAAAATGATAAGTGGAACAAGTGAAATAATACCGGGGACAGTTCAAAGTGAGAATAGTAATGATAGTAACAATTGACGTAATAAAGGAAGCGTATACAAAGTGAATAGACAAAACGAAAAATATTGGTAGAAGCAAGATATGACTAGGGATTATCATACTTTAGCATAGAGGGATTAAGAACATGAAAGTTGGAGGGGTTGAACGAACTTTTTCTGTATACAGAGATCTATCTAGCTTTTCTGTTTCGGTGGCCAGAGCAACCCTTCCACCTTCCATGGTCCTAATATCTCTATGCTAAAATATGATAATCCCTAATCATGTTTTGGCTCAACCAATTTCTTTTTCGTTTTGTTTATTCAATTCATATACTGTTCCTTTATTACGTCAATTGTTACTATTACTATTGTCACTTTGAATTGTCGCTGGTATTATTTCACTTGTTCCACTTGTCATTCTAAATCAATATTATCAAATTCCACACAATGTTACGTTACGTTTTTATTTTTATTCTGTTCGCCTACTAATTCTAGAATTGCACACCCTTATCAAGTTCTATACATCTTATGAATTGGTAAATATTACTCATAAAGCCTATTGTGCAATCACGTTTAAATAGGAGTTATGCATGTGTTCATATAAATATTAATACATAAAACTCGAGCATTTTTGAGAAAAATATGTTCTGCAACATTGTGAAACTTGCTAGAAATGTTAATTTTTTTATATAAAACCTGTTTATCATGTGAATAATGCACAAATATTATCTGAAAATTATGTATATATATATATATATATATATATGCATCAGTGGCACAGCGGTTGAGTACTCGCCGTCCACGCAGGTGGTCCGGGGTCCGATCCACGGCCGACGCACTCCTTGATCTCATGGACGTCTTCCAAAAAGACGATATCGACGGAATTTCATCAAAAGATATATACCCCCAAGTCAACCTATCAAATCAAAGGCCCCAAGGAAAGCACAAAGAAAATCCCCCTCCCCCCTTACCATATATAAACGACATCTCAGAAATCACCACAAGACTCTTCAAACCTTTAGGAACTGACATTGCACACAAACCAACAAAATCACTTCATTCAGTTTTATGTCAACCAAAAGACTCAATAACGAAAGAGGATAAAACCAACATCAACTGCGAAAAACACTACATTGGCCAAAGTGGACATCCCCTTCGTCTTCGTGTACGTGAACGTAGATTAGCCGTCATAAGACGTGACATCCACTCCCTCATACCACCGCATACAGACAACGTTCACATCGAGATAGACTAAATTTACCAATCGATAGGAAGGAAATCTCACACAAAAAAGGTCAAAGTTGAAGTCAAGGAAATAATCAGTACCAAAACCATAAGTAGCCTAGAGGGTGCGAAAACACACAACCAATCAGGTTCAAAGTCACCCATCAGGTGAAGTGACTAATAAAATCGTGAAGAAATCTAAAAGCTCACTTCAACAGATTGAAGTATGCACTGAAGATGTTGCCCTAGTAGGGGAATGAAAGCTTCGTAAATTAAGTATCCAGCTCAGAAAACACAACCACATGGAAATCATCCACCTTAGCTACCTATCATCTCTCTCATATATATATATATATATATATATATATATATATATATATATAACTTATTTCTTTTTTACACTACTTCTTGTAGATATCTTCTGATTTGAATGGTGTTCAGGACCGATTAATGTGTTTACTACAAACATGCCTGTATTCCTTTGGTCGATTATTAGAAAATCTTCAATTCAATGATATAGCTCCGTATGCAGATGAATTATTAATGTATTTAACATCATTTTATAATTGGCAACCTGGTGCATGTTTAGAGTTGGCAACACAAGTAAGTATTACCAATGAAATAATAATTATCAATATGTAGCTTAACTGGATGATTCGCGCATGTGGGGTTGCCTTCTATGCGCTTGCGAGGGGGGGGTGGTGGTGGTGGTTTATTTGTGCGTCTAGACAAAACCTTTACAACATTAAAGTTTGCACTGAAGATGATGTCTTTCTAAGAAGGACAATGAAAGTTTCTGAATTTAACCCATCCAACTGTAAGAACAGAACACAATCACATCTAAAGCAGATAGTCACATCAAACTTTAGCTTACTTCATCATATGTGATTGTAAATGTATCAACATAAATACGTGTACCTTTTTCTCAGGGGAAACTATCGAATGAAAGTGAAGATTATTATTATTATTGTTCCCTTGGGTTCCTAGTGGAACATAGGGCTTCAACTGCACGTTTCCACTTGCTTCTATCTTCTCTACTTTTCACCCGAATCCATGCATTTTAGTTCATACTGTTTCAACTCCTCTTCACACGATCTCCTCGATGTCACCCTTGTGCCGACGACCCACTCGCCACTTCCCTTTCGGGTTCCACTCGAGCAATGGCCTGACGCGCGCGCGATGTCCCCCAGCGGCCTCCTCAATGAGTGTCCAAGAAAATGAAGATGTCACCAGATATTTGGAGATAATTGAACCACAAGTAATGAGATAATAATAGGTTGGCAGGCTGAATTTTGTAAAAGGAGAATAATGCATTGCTCTACTCTAATGAGTATATATGTATGGGTTGTCGTCAGTGCAATGAGAAATATAAGTCTTCATACATATATAAGTATCTTCCAAGTCTTGCTACCACTCAATAGCCAGTATTCTTCATAAATAGAACAAGCCAGACTTGTATTTTCAGAAGAAATCCGTGTAACCGCTTTCCTTACGTTGACCCGCTAACCCCTAAGCCATTTACAAGTTATCATTTTCCTAATTATTTTATTATTTTGACTACTTCATCTTTAACTGCTTGTTATGTTGTAATCAGTGTAAACACTCACATGTCTACAGCCTCTCTTTACACAAAGTCGATAGTTTCAACGACTGGCATATTTGTGAAGTCGGGGATAACATCGAAAGAGACCAGTTGCTTAACAGATACACTGACATCATTAATTTACTTGACAAATTGAAATGAATTAGAGACTATATACGTTCCAAAGCGTTTTCGTAAGGCCTGCAATAATTCACATAGACATTTGTGGTATGGTGAATTGAAGAGCAGAGGTCTTAAGGGCGCTGCTGATTTGTGTATTTTCACACGCTTGTATATTTTTGAGATCTGTGACCCAATTGGTTTGGTATTTCTATATATGTTTTCATCAGTGTATTTCTTTCTGAAGAGTTGCTGTAAATGCTGAACAATATTTCTTTCAGTCGACAATGTCTGATCTTTTGCATGATTATCCATTTTCAATTTAGATTCATCAGAGAGCATTTGATGCATTTTTTTTCGATATAATCCATCCTATTCATTAGTACCACACTTTGTCTTTTTATCAGATCTTAAAGTAACAACAGTATTGTCTTTTTGGAGCTTGTGTAAAGATCTCCAGTGTTCATTGGTAATATGTGATTTTTGATTGGTCAGCGTGATTTGAAACTGATGAGCAGTGGTCAACCATCTTTGATTTTAACCAGCTTTCACTGTCACATGATGTAGCATATAGCCCCACCCCCACTCCCGCCTCCCATTAAATTGGTCATAAAGATTTTCAAATTGGCGATTGATGTGAATTTGCTTTACTTATTTACTGGGAACATATTAGAAAACGAATATTTCACAAATGGTTGATGAAAAGCTAGCTAGTAGCTTTTAAGACTGCTTTTTTTTCAATTGGTCAAGAATGAGGCGGACACGTACATGAATAACGAAGTTGTTCGAATTACTGCGTGTTTTGCCTATTTGACTGAGTTTCATCATAAAACGTTTCACAGAAGTGTACCAGTTCAAGGTACCACTTCGTGCACCACAGAAAGGCAGAGATTCAAAACAACTGTCATTAGCAGAGATGGCGATCTAGTTGATATGCGGGCAATCACAGAGAGTGAGTGCATCTGCGCCGTTGAAAAGCGATTTCTAACCATATCCCTTATAGTCTCCCGACATTGGTTCTTAGAATCCCGAGGACTTCAATCATGCAAGCTCAGACTAACTGTTAAAGATTTTATGGTTTTCGTTTTATCAGCACTAACTCTTTTCCATCTTAATCTCGTATATCAGCTAACAATATCTGTCGAGAAAGATGATGACACGGAATTTGGAACCCACATTCTAGCCACCTCAATCCATACAGCTTCACAACTGCATTGATTGACTTCCTTTCTTTTTGTAGCACTCTACACCTAACCTCGACACAGATTTGGTTAATGTATTGATTTCTTAGGTATGAATGTCGCTTAGTCTAATCTCAAATGTGTGTATGAAATAGCAGTCGACCTTTAAATTTGTATCAGTTGCGTCTGCTAGTATGGTTCTCCTGTATTTTAATCACAAAGGAATTTCTTCTATATATCTTAATAAATTCTGTAGTTAAATTGCCAGCCCATTTGACATTGAAATTTGACAAACCAGTAGTTGAATAGCAATGAGATGCTCACTAGCGACTGGTCCTATGCAGGTAGGTAAATACCTGGGGTTTCAGTGGAAAGTCGTGACCAGCAGGGACAAATACTCGCCGAAAACATTAACTAGTGGTCGCTCTATGTCGTGAATTGACAAAATTTGGAATTCATGGGCCATCGGGTCGGGTCCCAGTGGCTGCTGGACGGTCTACGAGCCTCACCTTGTAACCGAAAGGTGCTGGGTTCAAACCCCGACGAGTACGTACTTATGAAGAGTGCCAAACTAGAACGAAACATCTGTCCAGTACTCCCTGCAGAGGATATCCAATGGTTCTCTAACCGACGTCACCTAATTATGAAAGCCTATTTACATTAAAACATTTTCTGGCATTCTGTATATTTTGTATTGTTTAAAAAGGCTTTGATTAACGCCATTGTTTCGCTCCTTTTTTAAAAATTAAAATTTTTTCCAAAGCTGCTCCGAGCCTTTGTAGGCACAAATCTTTGCAACCAATGGGATGATCAGTTATCACGTTTATATTCAGAAGCTTTAAATCGTACAAGTTTCATCCAGGCTGGAAAAGATGAAGTGGAAAACCGCGGTAGACATAGTGTAAAAAGTTAGTTGTGTTACTTTTCTGTATTTTGAATTGTGCTACTTTTAATTACAATCAGTGATTTAAATCACATCTGCAATCTCTTCATTACCGTATTTATTATTATTATATGATATTATTTCCTATATTCTGGCTCATGTGTTTGTATACTGTTGAATTATTCACGTGTAACACGAAGCACTTGGAATTAGCACTGATTATAAATATATAGAAATAGAAATAATATCAATGTGGTAAAATGCTTTTGTCAATATAAAGTGAACTGTGATTGATTTGCTGTCGTCAGTTGGTCATTTATGAAAGACATTAATAGGCATTGCTTGTATTGGCGTATTGCCTTCTCACAGGTGAAAAAAGCCCTGTTATGATCTACAGCTAAACTGTCCGGAATTACAAGGGACACCATGAATCAGCTGCTGATGCCTCTATTCTTCGTTAGTCAAGTCAACAGGAGATGTATGATTCCTTCTTTTTCTTTTTTTATTGTCTTCAGTTTTGTAAATTCGAGCTAAGTGATATCATACGTATCTAAATTATCAGTGAACAGTGACAGTTCCTTGTACAAAAAATACTTTGATACTTAATATATTTCATTACTATTCACAAATATTTTTAGAAAAGTGAAATGGTCTAACTAACTGGTTACAAAATAGAACTTTTCACAAATGTGCAGCAGTTCAAGTCGTCACACTCCATGTAGCATACAAAGCAAGAGAAAAAGGCAAAAAGCAATGCAAAACAGATACAGTAAACATAGATATTAGGCAAAAAGAATAGTAATATTGAAGAACCATATAGTTTTACTGAATATTATAAGTCACAAGGAGTTGAGAACGATTTCGAGCCATGTCGCCAATTGTCTGTCTACAGCCTTCATTGGTTTTTACTATCCCGAGGACCCCAACCAGTCAGTCAGACAGTCTATACCTTCCTACGTGACTGGCTTAAACTAACTGTTGTGAACTTCATTGACTGATGATGCCATGTTTTCGTTCGACCACTAATAGCAGTTCTTTTCCAAACTTTTCCTATGTCAGTCAGCTAACATTGCCCGTCGAGGAAGGTGATCGCTAGGCTTGCGTGCGTAAGACATGTCCTAACCATCTCAATCAATGCAGCTACTTCACAGCCTCGTTCATTGTTTTCCCCTCCTTACCTACCACTTGACTGAAGCTTAACATCAATATTGCTCACTCTATTACACCTACAACCTAACATGGGAGATAGAACACAGACACCCATGGTCAAAGACAGCAAGCCTGTTTTTTCATGTCTTCCACTCTCAATGACCAGGTCTCAGCCATAAAGGACGACGGAGCGGACTGCTGAGCAGTACGCCCGCCCTTTGATCAGTAGCCGGATATCACGTCTACGCCAGAGGCGGCATAAAGTGGTATATGTGAACCGAGCCTTCTGTATTCGAGCTGAGCTTTAGTCAGTGATCAACCCATTGGGGCTGATGCAAAGCTTGCAAAGGATCTGAATTCATTGTGTATATGATATCATTCCTTCAACATACCTAATAAAATAGCGTGTATAATATGTGTACTGGAAAATACCACAATGTAAATCCGTGTCAAGATATTTTTGGCTAAATGCTTGCAACCTGATCACAATTTCTCTAGAGATGTTTACACAATTCAGTTAATTTCTATAGAAAGTTAGTATATGCGGAGTAGACATTCTGTCCAGTGATTGAAGTCTTAAAGAGTAATTATAAGTGGCAATAATAATAATAATAAATGTAAAACAATTAGTTCCCTTTATGAATTTAGACAAAGCAACAAGAAGACGTGTAATGTATTTTCGCGCTCAACACATTTCGAACAATCTGATCGCACACTGACTTGTCATAGGAATATATATGAAATTTATAAAGAGGCTAGAGGTGAGAAAATAGACTTAGGTCAGGTTAAAAGAACATACTGAAGGTCAAAATCAGTAAACAAGACAAGTTCATAAGGAGATATAGAGTGGTCAGAATACCGAGACCCACTCTTCTACTCGCCACTAAGAAAAACGTATATATCAAGCTATCCTATGTGGGTGATCATAGCAGCCTGCTTACTCGACAAATATTGAAAGCTGCAGCTAAAGATAGTTCTAATGCAGTTATGGTCACAAGAATTGAGAATAGGAAATCCATATATCCATTTAAGTCCTTAGAACATGCGAGAAATGATGTCACATCCCACTTTAATTACCAACTTGAATGTACGTGTGGCTACACATACATAGGGAGGACTCAATGATCGCTTCAGGGCATATTCCTTAGAGGCTCCAGAAGCAAATAGAATCCCTAAAACCCATTAATACATTGATTTTTGTCTACATGGCATTTTTATGTGATTTCCCCAACAATTCAACCATGTTTCTAAGTATTATTACTGAAATAATATAAGTAGTAGGATTAAAATATGTGAACTCCAGTATATTTTCCATTGCACACCAGTCAGTAACTAGTGTAATGTGTCTAGTCCTATCTTCGGTGCAGAGTGAATTCTATCAGTGAAGCTTGACTGAAGAAGAAACATTAGTGCACAATAATCTGGATCCAATTTTATTTCGCCGGTTCTCAACAACTTAATTAAGAGCTGTGTCGTTGGGGTGGTAACAAAAGAAATAGTAATAGTTACGTAATTAGGTAAGAGTAGATCAAAGATACGGTGGACATGAGGTCAGATGAGAAGTTGATGATGTAATACAGTGAGCAGAACTCAGATGATCAGGGAAAATTATCTCTTAAGAGAGTCAAGCGAAAAATAAAGGGGACGGGGTGGGGTGAAAAGATAAGTTAACAAAATTAGAAAACAAAGAATAACTCAGAAGTAAGTCACCAGGGTAATTGAAGTCCAGCAACAGATTCTTTTTGGACACATAAGTCAGGCTTCAATCGTTTTATTGCTATAGCTTCAGCAATACTTGAGGTACTTTGTCTGTTAATTATTTTGAACGATTCCAGCACATCTACTCGGTGTCCTGTGTCAATCAGGTGTTCGGCGATTGAAGAGCTTAAACAATTCGGTCCCTTTAACCAGAGGCTCCTTGATACATGTTCGCAGAATCTGACGTAGGGTCGAAATCTGTAAATACCTAGCGACTTCAGTGATGTGCTGCTTAGTTTATCGGTCAAATTTCTCCAACCTAAACGAGTCAGCTACTTTTTGGGTGGAGATAGTTTCCCCAAAATTCACATTGTACAGTATTTCCTACTAGGCTAGTTGAAGTAATCACCTAATTCAAGAAAATTGTAAGGCACCAGGCAATGTTTTTTGGTTTACTATGAAATGAACAGTGGAAGTTGCTGAGACAATATCGGAATAGATGGGAAATCTAATTCAAAAAATCGTCGTATTCACGTAGATTCTTTTATTGTGAAGTGACCCCCCTGAATTAATTGATACAAAAATAAAACTTGGGCATTGTGATAGAGTACAATTCCATTATGGGTAAAATTTATTTTGATGAAGTCTCAGTTTGCTTTACTGTAATATTTACTGATGACGTTTCGAGCACAATTTATTGCTCATAATCAAGTCCACCTTAACTGACACTGGAATAACCGATTGTTTGGAAATTATGCGATATAAAATATACTACGCACACAAATTAAGTAGTATATCTTCTACATATCAAAATGAGTGAAAATATCATTTTCTGTAGGTTCCAGAGAATTGTCTTCTTCGAATAAAAAGAACAAAAATATCTCAAACCTTTTTTGTGTAACATTGACTTGTTTTTAATGTGAAATTAAACTATACATTCATAATTCGTGCTGATTCTTTTCACATGTACTTGCTTTGTTCTGGACACAATTTTTGTAGAATGTACAATAATTGTCAGCATGATGTGCTGCATAGTATACCCATTTCTTGCTGGATCGATCTTAAAGTAAATTGGCAGTCAATGGTATCTTATGTGACAGAATACTGTTTGATTTGAAGCATAGCCTAATCCTTCATAAACGTTTCCCCATATTTCTGAACAATGCTTACCGGTAGTTCGAAAGCCAGCTAGTAGATTTCAGAAAAATATCTAAAGGGTTTAAACATCATTAATTTGATAGGTATGATGCATTGTATTGAACGGCAATTCAGGTAGTCCAGTGATTCAAGCAAGTCACTCCGAACACCTCTGACAGTCACTACAAACCAATTAACAAATAAATCTTTTCTACTGGAGACAGACACTCATACCTACGTGTATTTTTTTTTACCAAAACATGTATGTTTTTATAACCGATATATCAATTTTATGAATTCACTCACCTAAAATACTGTTCAGCTGTTTTGTTACTTTTTTTCATTTTGGAGTTATTTATCGTCACCATTCTGTAGTGCTTATGAAGTATAAACTGTGATAAACGGAAGTTGTATTTTGTTTTGTGTGGTCAAGTATCTCATTTCATCATAATTCTCGTCTTGAATTTTAAAACGTACGAAAACCATTTGAGATAGTCTCAGCAAAGAAGAATTATTTCAATATAAAATGTACTAGAAAGTACTCTAGGGATGTCGTCCTTATACGCTGTCAGTTGAACCATCGATTGACTGCTAGCAGTTGCGCTTTTCTCGACTTTTTGTAAATGAATATTATTCATGATTATTATGGGAAATATTTTATTATTATTTTTTATTCTATGCTATTTTAGATACTGTCGATTGTTGTATTGATAAACTATTGGAACAAAATAAAGCTATTACAAATTATTTACTAGATCAAAATGTTTTAGACGAGAATAAACTTTGTTGGATTACAATACCCGAGCTTCATCAAGCTCCGATATCTGCATGGATTCGATTCGCTCGACAACGTCGTATTCCTATTGGGTTAGAGTATGCAAATAGTACTGATAGAGCATTGGCTACATCATCGGCACAAACAATGACTATGTCTGCATTGAAGATAAAAGTGAGTCATTTTTCTGGGATGTTTAAACTTTGAGCAATATGAGGGAAAGTTAAAATCTTCATTTTGTGTAAGTATACAGAAACAAACTTATCACATACAATATTTAAGTGTTGGTTTGTAAGGATTTGATTGGTTACAGGATTTCATCATGAGCTGACATTAGTTAGAGAACCATTGGAGAACCTGGGAGTACTGAATAGTCGTTTCGTCCTAGTTTGGGACTCTTCATCAGTACGCTGAAAATTCCATGCTGTAAATTGTTATTGTTGTGGAATAAAGTGATTATTATTATTATTATTATTATTATTATTCATCAGTACAAGGTTACAAGGCGATCTCGTAGACCATTAAGCCGTTGGGACCCGATCCAATGACCAGCCCGTGAATTCTAACTTCTGCCAATCTACGACCCCTAGCCAATGTCTTCAGTGGCGAGTATTTGTCCTCGCACCCGACCTACTGCACCCTACTAGTCACGACCTCTCATTGGAACCCCAGGTAACTACCTACCTAAATAGGGTAAGTCAGCTCATGATGAAATCCTGTAACCAATCAAATCCCTACAAACCAACACCTAAATATCAATGAGATGCTTACTAGCGACTTGGAATTACAATGTCTATTCAAAAAGTCATTAACTTAAATCATTGGGTGTTATAACTGAACTGAACTGAATAAACCCTTCGCTTATTGTTTATGTCTGCGCTTGCTAACTATTATGACAATATTCTGCGAAGAGACTCTTTTCAACGAATTTATTATCAAGCTGTACAATCGTAATACTATGGTTTTTAAGAAATTATATCCAGTGAGGGAATTAGGTCAGAGATGTGAATACGTGAAATAATAATAGTATAAAATGCAATTAAAATATTTGGTAATAAAATCATGGTCAAATGTCAAGTGGCAAAATAATTAATGTCATATATAGAATAATACATAAGGTGTATAGATTTTAGAAAGGGGTACATAATTATAAGATTAGTAGACGAATATAAAATGTTACATAACATGGTGTGAAATTCAATAAGATAGAATTCAATATTGTAAAAATAAATATAAAAATTAATAATTTTGCGTTTAAAATGACAAGTGGGTCAAGTGGAAAAGAGTCAGAGTGAGAATAGTAGTAATAATAATCGTAGTAATAAGGGAAAGAATAACTAAATAAACAAAATAAATCAATGTCTATCCCTCTACGGTCAAGGCAGAAGTAGGAATTGTACGTACTTCTTTTGTACACAATGATCTGGCTTAAAGTCATGAATTGCCAAGGCCTCAGCTGTCTTTAGAAGTCTGTAATGAAGAAAACTCAGGAAGTTAGCATGGATTCTATATATGATCTTGAAATCATGGTCAGGGTTGACCGAGTGACAGAAGTTGATCAGGTGTTCCAGAATAGAGCTTCGCACACACTTCCTTTCTCCCTTGTAAAACCATACTGCTGGAACATGTTCTCGTATCCATCTGTGGAAAGCGTCCTCTGACTACGGCCAATGTACCTTGCTCCACAAGAGCAGGTGCATTTTATACTACTATTATTATTTCATGCATTCACACCTTTGACCTAATTCCCTGACCGGATACAACTTCTTAAAAACCATATATATACGATTGTACAGCGTGATAATAAATTCGTTGAAAAGAGTCTCTTCGCTGAATATTGTGTTCTTAATGTTACAATGGGAATTATTAAATTATTATGGCGGTAATGAACTGGACTAGTACGCTAACAATGTCCGTTGTACCTTCCGACTGACTAAGCCACGCAAATAACAGAAAACAAAATCTGGCTTGTGACTATAAGATGTTGTACTGGATATTTTAGGAAACAACACATGATATTTATACATTTTCTTTACCATAATAAAGTCAGCTCACAGCCGTGAGAATGGATCCTTCTTATTGGCTGGCAATCTCTATTCTCATTGGTTGGCGATCCGACAAAGACCAAGATGAGGCAAAAAGACTATGAATTGTTCACACACACTAAATCACAATATGCGTGAGAAATGATAGATCCACACATAGTAACTCCATGACAAGATAAATCACACGATTCATGAGAAAGGATGATATACCATTATCTGCAGGGTCCTATCACTGGGTTACCAGAATTTTCATCTATTGAAGTGCTCGAAAAACCCATCGGTATTTGTTATTGTTTAAATAGTGCAATTATATGAAATGACGATTATATTGAACTCACACTCACTTTTAATAAGCTTCCAACTAAACTTTGTGATATTCTTGAAAGAAATGAAAGAAACAACGTACAGAATTGGTTCTCTCTTAGTATGCAACAAGGCTAAGTCATCACATGGAATGCTTCAGATTATATCACTTTATATGTAAATTTTGTATGAAGTGGACATATCTCTGTACACCAAAGTTAAACTAAAACGACAGTGACCTCGAACAACCAATCAGACAGAACTCAGATACAAGAAAAGTTGCATAATCTCTGAAAAATACAGCAGAAAACATTGCAAACTTGATATTACACTGTGTAGTTGTAGCTTGTGTGTTGTAAGAATGTCTCCCAGTCAATATACACAGATGATCTATCGGAAAGTCGTACTGTGTACGATATACCCATTCATCCAAGTTACTGTAGGTCCATGGTATTCTGAGATCCAGTGATATTAATGGCACTATTCTCCGTCCCACTCCTAATCCTAACCCTGATATTAAACCTAACCATAAACTTAAAAGCCATAAGAATAAGGAGGATATGTTCAAGTGATACAATCGATAGGGAACTGGGTCGACTGTGACAAGTCCTCATAGAGAATGGATATCCTCCAAGATTTATCGAGAAAAACATGAAGTTAAGGGAAAAGCCTGAAAGAATCCGGACGGTGTCGAAGAAACTGCTATTTATGAGTGTTGAATTTAAAGTTGATACCTCAGCTGAGATCTTGAAGAATCACTTATGCAGATCACTGAGGAAAGCCTTCTTTATGGCTATGCTACATATCAATTTCTACAGGCGACAAATAATCAACGGATGTGTAAAGGATAAACTGCCACTTTGAGCCACCTCAATGTGTGTTTATAAATTCACCTGCTCGTGTGGAGCTAGTTATATTGGCCGCACGAAGCGCATGCTTTCCTAACACATCTCTGAACATTATCCAGCATGGTTAGCTAATAGGCAATGTAAGACAATTACTAACTCAATTCTCGAGCATTTGGTGAACTCAAGCCATGTAGCTCCACCAGAGTCGTCTTTCAAGATCATCTACAAGGTGAGGCCAAATGGTACAAAAGGCGTCAGGTTTCGGCTTTTGTGTATAGCGGAGGCGCTGGCAATTCATCAATACAACCCTGAACTCTGTATGCACAAAAAGTTTTTCCAGTCTCTTATTCTACCTTCGTCTTAACCTCTTCATTAGTCGTTCCCTGCAAAAAAATTTTGATTTTTTCTTTTGTTTTTAATTTTTAATTTTACTTTTAGTTTGCTTTTGCTTTAATAATCAATTCACTATTATCAATCTCATATGCTCCTTTTGTATACTTTCACACCCTCTTCACACTTGTTAAATTGACACTCAAATACTTTTATTCTCACTCAGTAGCAATTTTAGACTTACCAAATTTCTATCTTTGTGCCGTTGAGTACCATGTAATTTACAACTCTTAATTTTCACTTCTAAAGCCACTTCTGAGTAATTATATCAATTATGTCACCCCGTACTCTATTACTCAATAATAGACTACTTTATATTTTTGTAAGTATAAATACGACTGTACAGCCTCTGAAGATGGTTCTGTCGGTAAAGAAAATTTTCTTCGATATAAGAATAAAACTTGTGCACTGTGGTAGGGTGTAATTCCATTATGGGTAAATTTTGTTTTGATAAAGTCTCACAGTGTTATACAGTAATGTTTACTGATGACGTTTCGAGCACAATTTATTGCTCATAATCATATCAAGGTAATCACACGACTTCCTAAATTCATTTATATACTTCCATTGTTTTTCTCTTGATTTTCACTTGATTTGATTGGTAATAGTATTTTCCATATTTCAGGTATGAGTGACGAGTCATTCCTATTGCATGTGTTGGGTGTACACTCGAACAACAAGGATTCAGTAATCGACCTCTCTCTCTCTCTCCACCTACCTAGATTACTTTTTAGAATTTTAACCCTCTCCCACCCTATTGTGTGGTTGTGTGTTAGCGCATGCTTTGCAATTGCTGAGCTTTTTTCTAAATTACTTATCTTCTCGGGGTCAACCATTCTTACCTTAGCTAAATTCTCATGCTCTGACAATCTGACTACCCCTGACCTACTAGTTTGACCTATGTAGTTGACCTCACAGTCATTGCATGGTATTTTGTAAATAATATTATTTTGTCTAATTGGGTCAACTGGGTCCTTTAACCTACAGAGCTTGTCCCTGAGTGAGTTTGTAGGTTTAAATGCCACCCTAATTCCTATTTTATTCAGAATCCTACGTAGTGTTTACTGAATCCTTGTTCATCGAGTCTACACCCAACACATGCAATAGGAATGACTCGTCACTCATACCTGAAGTATGGAAAATACTATTACCAATCAAATCAAGTGAAAATCAAGAGAAAAACAATGGAACTATATAAATGAATTTAAGAAGTCGTGTGATTACCTTGATATGATTATGAGCAATAAATTGTGCTCGAAACGTCATCAGTAAACATTACTGTATAACACTGTGAGACTTTATCAAAACAAAATTTACCCATAATGGAAAATTTTCTTCGCTGAATCTGTCTTTTATTTTCTTCATGACTCAATGGGTATTTTCGGTGATTTGATGCAGAGCAAGAACCCTGTAACAGTGAAAGACCTTGAATTTGGCTGTGATACTTTAACTCCGCCCTCTGTACCATATGTCCACATATTGCTTTAAACAAAGCTTTATTATAATATTATTATTATTAATGCTGCTGTAAATGTATTTTTAGCGCTTCTGTTTTTTACTATATATTTACTATATATTTCTCATTGTCACTATTTTTCTCTAGTCTGACGTTCAGTCATTTTTCAAACGTCTTGAGCACATTGTACTACGGGGTATGGAAAATTATAAATGGACCAATAATTATTCACTACAAACTGGTATACTAGATCTGCTCATTCATCTAATATACTTACGTATGAATTATTGTCAGCTTGATGTGCAACAAGTAAGTTAAAAGTTGTCTCTTTTTATTTCATCTTACTATTTTGATACAAGCAAGAAAGACCAGATTTCCAGTATAAAATGTAATATATCATCATCCTATTCCACAGATTCTCATCAGCTGCAAACAGCTACCTGAAATTATAATGTTTATAATAAATTTTAAAAAAAATTAAAACAACATACTTCAATGTGTCAGTGAACACGTCCGTAGATTCCAATCATGCCCTGGTTCGCTCACGATTTATGCTTACGACTAAACGGACATAAGAAACTGCTGATAGTGAAGCAGTTCCATCCCCAACGAAGATGTAGCGAAAAAAGCGTCTGAGGTCAACAGCAGAACTTCCCCTTAGGTAGTCTGGCACAACATACAGTTAGCTGTAGACACAGCTGTAAAGACTATTAATAACCTGATACCTAAAATTAATAATAGCCGGTGGATTTCTACTGCCTCATCGGAATAGATTGACTCAAGAAGACTGATTCCGGTGAGCTCCGATTACGATAAGAAGCGAAAGCTGCTCACACGCAAAATAATATGAAACCTTCGTAATGACCGTGATTAGTGGTGGGCAACAAAAGCGAAAGAGGTGGAAAAGGCATCGATGATAGGTGACACCAGAAAACTATTTAGATTTATCAGTGAAACAGGTGTTAATGGGCAAATGATAAGTGAGACAATCTGAGAAAAGTGGCATCCAAGTCAACTCTCCGGATGGACGACTGGAACACTGGAAAGAACACTTTGAGGAGCAATTTAATTGGCATACATCCACACTCAACTTACCGAACATCCAACACCTCCTGAATGGGATATAGACACAGGTCCTCCGCCCCTAACTGAGGTTACTAAGGCTGCCAACAGTTTGAAACGAGGCAAAGCAGCAGAACCTGATGGAATGACTCCAGTGGTGTCTAAGGAGGGTGGAGACAGTTAACTGTCTACGTTAACTAAGGTATTAGGCGTAGTCTAGGAATCAGAGGAAGTCCCGTTGGGTTGATGTAGGTCATTGATTATCCTAATACAAAAGAAGGGAGACAAGTCTTCCTGTGATAATCGCAGGGGGATTAGCTTGACCAATATGATATCTAAAATTCTAGACTCAATAATAATATGTAGACTAAGTGGTCCACGGGAGGAATAAACACGAGAGAAGCAGACAGGCTTTAGGCCAGGAAGAGGGTGTATTGATCATATCTTCACCCATCGACAGATTTTAGATTTTAGAAAAATTTATTTTTCGCTGGACTTGGAGAAGAAAAATAATGCGGGTTGGTGAAAGTCTTCGGGAAGCCAGACAGTCGATATGTCTTCTTTCGGTGGCAGCAAAAATAACGATGGGGACGTGGAAATCATCTGCTGATGAAATTGCACCTCTAAACGTCGTCATCACAGAACAAAGCACCGAATGTCAGTCAAACCTTTACCTCAACTTTATCGAATTGGAAAAGGCTTTCACCAGACAGTGTTGACTGAGAAGTAATTTGGAGACCATTTCAACACTTTGGAGTGCAGTGCACCAAGTCTTTATCAACCTTATTCAACAGCTGGCTATATGACAATGCGACGTGTCAGGTGATCTACAAAGGGAAACTCAGTGAGGCGTTCGAAGTGCATACAAGAGTAAGACAAGCTGGCTGCCTGTTATCAGTGATGATATTCCTGATTGTGGCGGACTGGATTTTGCGTCAGACCCTATGCATTGGAAGTGAGAAGACAGGAATACGGCGGACCGGTTGACATGAACGTATATAAACATATATACATAGCATGAGGTGTGCTTTAATCTACCTGCTGAAAAAAAGCGGAACCTTCTTCACTGAACTATACCATTTTCCAGTATTCTACTCCTGTGGACTTGATGTTTTTCTATATAAGGTGATGCCCCTTAATACTTTTTTGTCCGTAAAAATTGGTGTATTTCAGAAGAGGAATTTTTCGCATGTCTGAACAGCTGTAGTGTTTGGGACCTATTTATAGTTATTTCATTTCAACTGTTACTAATTATTGATATAAGAATAAAACTTGTACCACTGTGGTAGAGTGTAATTCCATTTACCCATAATGTTACTAATTATTCTTTTCAATTTTCTATCCAAATAAACAAAGAAATTCCTACATACTGTGATCAGTCATTGTGAAAATTTGGCTTCAGAAATCCAACGAATTGAAACAATCGCCTTGATGACTTCCAATTCATTGTACCATTATCATCATCATCAACAAACTGGTAAAGGTGGTGGTGGTCAACAGTTGAATTCACAGAAACGCTCATTATTATTGTCGTCATTCTCATCAGTTTCTATCTCGCGTAGTGAATGCTATAATTCTGATTCATGCCTATTCCCTATGATAAATTTAAGAGAACCGTCTACAATACATCAACATCAACGTCTTGTAAATGCTATATTTCGTTTTTTGGTTACTTTAACTTATCAACATCGTGTTATTTCATCGACTACTACTACTACTCCTTCGTCGGCATCAACACCGTCAGTGTCGTCAACAACAACAACATCTGTGCAGTCTAAACAGAATGATTCGATGAACTCAGAGAGTTCAACCGCTAGTACTGTTACGGGGACAACAACAAATACGGGGACGACCACTACCGCTGCTACTACGACTACTACTAATAATAATGAGAATGAAGAAGTGGTAAATTCACGCCTTGTAGAACTAAGTCAAGTAAGTCTGTGTATATATTCCTAAATATTTGTAATGCTTTTTTCATAGTTGGTTTTTGTGTTACAACAAGTTTCATTATAAGGCTTCCATTTAGTCTATTTACGTTATGGATGCTAGTGACTGAATCTCCTAATGGCCTAAAGTTCTTAATAGCGATTAGATATTTGTTCAGCAGACGGGGTAGTACAGTAACAGTTCTATACTGACTCTTATTACAAAAAGGGCTTAGCTGTTTTGACTTCGATAAGCAGCTTTATTTGTCGCGACGATAGAGTCTAATCAGTGTTAGTGTTTTAATTTTTGGACTGATTTATTGTTTTTAAGTTAATAGTGTCGTATTTCAGTTTAATTACCTTTCTATATAGATTGTTGATTCAAATATCTGATCTTTCGAATTCGTTGTTATATATTGTTTCCTTTAGTTCCTAGAGGAACATAAGGCTTCACCCGAACGTCTCTATTGCTTTTTCAACTGGCTCCACCTCTGCCCACATGCTTTCATCTCCTCGTCGCATTACCTCATTCTCCATGTCAACCTCGAACTGATGGCCAACTAACTCGCCGCTTCCCATTCACCTTCCACTCAAGTGATGGTTCGGCGTGTGATGTCACTCACTTGATCGTTTGTTTTCTCAGATGATGGCCAGCTAACCCACCTCCATTTCGTCCCACATATTTCTTGCACAGTCGGTTCGTTCGTTCCCAGATATCCCTTCCTGTTGATGATCTTTCTTCGCCGACTATCTGATCTTCAGTGAAATACTGGGCGAAGACAGCTGTTGATGAAGGTTTGTAGTTTGTTCGAAGTGCCCCGTTCGTGACTCGGCGCCAAGTCTCTGATCCATATAGTGAGTAGTACTGACTTTATATTGGAGTTGAAAATCCACCCACATCTTATTTGTCATGCTGAGTGCTGTTGATCTCCACACAGACTTGAAGGTAATGAAAGCTTGTCTTGCTTTCGCGACCCTCGTTTTGATGTTATCCTTATCAGTTCCGTCCGCCTATAGTTGAGAAACGGTGCTTCCCAGGTAGGTAGGTGAAGGCGGTTGCTTCCATTTATGCTGGCTGATTTTTGTCTTTTGTTGTTGCTTTTGGTGTCAGGCAGGAATCTCCATCACCTACTTCTGTTTCCTCTATGTTTACCTGAGGTCCCATCTTCTCTAAATGCTTCTTCTGCCAACTTGTTGCTTTTCATTTGCATATCGTAGAGTTGCTTGTTTTAAATCCAGTGTGGTGTACCTTACATTGTGAAACTGATTGAATCCTATAATGTGACCTTCTTGTTCCATTATCATCATCATCATCATCAGATACTCATCAGAAACATTTCGAATTAGAATTATTTAAATGTAAGCGTATTTAAATCATTTTCATTTAAAAAACACTTCCGAAGCGTTTAGTACTTCTTTCGTTGAAATTGTTGTCACATTCGAGTGGTTAATGTGTATCATATTATTTGGTAAATGATGTCTATTAGTAGCAGTAGTAGTACTAGTATGTTTCAAAATAAACGGTGCATTTTGTCCCATTTAAGACTCGTCAGCTATATCTTCTCTCCTTTCAGTATAATTCTATTGCAATGTAAACTGTCTTTTGTTTTGAAAACTAGTGGTAGATATTCCCTATGAATTTGGAATTTTTAAAACTTATATATATATATATATATACAGTTTGGGAGGCATACGATTAATTTGAAGTTCTTCAATCACTTTCAATAACCTTGAATTAAAGTTATGTGAAATAATTGAGAATTATTCATTAGTATTGATTTTGTGACCAGACATTAATAAATGGCTTTACACAATGGATGATGTTGGATTTTTCTATTCAGCAAATTAAATACACTCGGATTTTTTGTCTGTGACTTAATAATAAGCATTTTAGGAACAGGCTTTTTCGACAACATTGTCACATCCTGTTGTGATTTTGATCCGACCTTGTTCTTCTCTGAGCTGGTTGATTCAACTGTGAAGCTTTCGTTGTTCTTTTGAACTACTCAGTACGGGCTTTAATATGAAATGAATGCATTTGAATTCTTCCTCCATGAATGATATAATTGTATTCCCCTCCCCTGATAACCACTGTAGTGATTGGTTGTCAATTTATATTCATTATTTTTATTCACTTGGAATTTGAACGATCATGTCATGTGATTTGTTTTTTTATTAGTTAGTAAATTTGACCCATAGTAAGGTGTGTTTGTTAATTGCTGATTCATCTGAGTGTACACCAGGTTTCTAGAAATTCCCTGACTGTAATTCTGGTGTTTCCTCGGAATTAACGTCTAGAATACTAGGACCACTTGAAATAGACAAAGCACATATACAATGTGATCCTGTATGCAGTGTTGGACAGACATGCCTGTCATTATAGGGATCAGATAAATTTGTCACTATGTGAATGAAATTACTGTCGATCTTCATGTGTGTTGTTGGCTTACTGAACAGAATTTCAAAATATCAGTCACAGCTGATAATAGACACTGATTAACTAAAGAGTAATGTTGTTAGATGATTGAATGTAATCGTTAGGATGTGTTAGACCAATTGTTTCGTGATTATTTGCCAGTCGTTAACAAGGATGATATGTAGTCTTGAAGGAATTTCTGTCCCTTGTGACATTTTAAACCGTGTCACCCAGTACCTCAGTCAGAGACGACGACTTTACTACAGAATTATTCGGGTACGCAATTGACCCCCTGTAGGAATCTAATTCGCACTTTGATTGGACACTAGCTGGTAACTGATCTAATGCGCCTAGTCCTTCGTTTTGTGCATACTGGTGGGGCATGATTCCCTTCAAGACTGCAGATATACCTCACCGGCAAGCCTCCAACAAGCACAATATCTAAGTCCAAAGCTTCTTGACGATTGCCTCCATCCATTTGACAACAATTCAAAGTTCACCGTCATGGTGAAACACCTAGTCTGCAGAATTCAGTCTGTACCGTGAAGGACACCAAGGACTAAGCGCATGACATTAGTGTTGCTAACTCTAATGCTCAACCAAAGTAAAAAAAAAAGTTGTGTAAACCATGTCAGCTTTGCATTCAAATTTAGCAGTTCTACTTGTTTTACTATATCATTTCTCAAAAAGATCTCATAAATACTCCTCCTGTTCAATGGAAATTAATACCAATTGGATCTTTAGTTTCAACTGCAGTAAAATAACATCGCTTCCACTTATAATAAAGGGTTTTTTTGTATTTCCCAATGAATAAAAAACAAAACGATATTGCTGCTGCTTTTACTAACGTTTCGTTATTTAATGCTAATAGCTTTATCAAAGTATTATTAAACCGGAATTTACAAAATCCACTCAACATATATATATATATATATAACAAAGAGTTAAGAGGTGAGAAAATAGACTTAGGGCAAGTTAAGAGGACATATTGAGAGTCAAAGTAACAATGAAGATCACTAAACCAAATAACAAAGGTAATAGTACGTCTGTTATGACATCAAAATAAAGTTTACTAACTTGATCATCGTTCGTCTGTCTGGAGGCATTTTTCGTTGTCAAGTTAGTCAATTTTGGTAGAGATAACAAAATCAAGTGAGCATCTCTTCGACCACCGTGAAATCCGGTTGAACTAGAAAAACTTGAAAAATCATCAGCCATAGGTCTACACGCTATAGGATTGATTTTGACAATATTGAAATAATCCAGAAAAACTTCAGAAATCACAAAGAACGTCTAATATCAGAAGCGATTCATATCAAGTGGAATCCAAATTGTCTGAATAGGAATGATGGACTGAAACAGAATCTGACCTGGTTACAACACCTCCCTCCCCCATGAAGTGACAAAATCAACACGAATGTGATAATCAAGTTCACTATGTAAACACACACTACTTTTATAATTTTACACACTGATCAAATCCAGCAATCTACACTTGATTTTGTTATCTTTACCAATTCTCCAACTTGACAACCAAAAGTGTCCCCAGACTAACGAACGATGATCAAGTTAGTAAACTTTGTTTTGATATAATAACAGATATACTATTACCTTTGATATTTGGTTTGAGCGGTCTTCATTGTTATTTTGACTTTCCTTTTAAGTTGAACTAAGTCTCTTTTTCCCACCCGTTAACTCTTTGTTATATATATTTTGAGTGGATTTTGTAAATTCCGGTTTAGTAATACTTTGAGAAAGCTATTAGCAACATTAAATAGTGAAACGACAGTAAAAACAATATCGTTTTGTTTTTCATTCATTGGGAAATACAAAAAAAACCTCTATTATAATGAATATCATATACCAAATGCCCAATCTTTTTCAAACCGTTAAAAGTGAACTTGGTTTGCACGTATATCGCTTCCACATAGCTAGGTATGATTCAGTTGTGTGTTGTTGTGTTTTCTATTTATATTTTGTAGGTTGTACATTTGGCTGAAACATTAGCTGCAGAAACACGAGATCCTAGTAGTGTTGTATTAACAGCAATGATTCCAATGATTGTGGATTTATTTGTTATCCAACAACCGTTAAACCAACGAATGCATAAACAAACTCAAAATATCGATGCAAATAAAAAGCATCAAATTCAGTAAGTTTGTTTTGTTTGTTCTTTTTTTTTTTTGAAACTATTTATACAAAAAAGCATTCAGTATAAGTCATTTACATGTTTCGTTTTGGATTGGATAGATCACACTTATATTTTGCTTTTCTGTACATAGGGGGGTAATTTTTTTGGGGGGGGGGCATATGATGTAATATTTGTTTCAATCCCTCCTGTGCAGCTTCATTGAACTCTGATTAAAATTGTTTTATAAAAGTGTGATTAGAACAAAAAAGGCTGAGCCTCGAATATACTTTTCAATAATTTCCTCATCCGGCTCTACAATTATAAATATATATGGGCTCAATCCATTTTATCTAACTCACACTACCCTCTTCATTCACAACTCTCCATTTGTATCTCATCAGACAAAACCAGAAGACTATATAGAAAACTATATCCTCACACTAGCAAGTACAAAAACTCAATCATACCTTACTTAGCTCGTGTTCTGTGCGATAAAGAAAGGATTAGGCGTGAAACCTTTAACTTATTAAATAGTCAGTAGAACAACAGGATCTCGTCTTTCCAGTTCATATCTTTTATAGGTGCAACGTTTTCTTTCTCTCTTTTCCTTTTCTCCGTCTTTTTTTCTGTGTTATGTGCTGCTTTGTTTCTTTCTTCCCTACTAACTCTTAAAACATTCTTCTTCTTTCTTTCACACTCTGTATATCTCGACCTTTTTGTGACCGCTTACGCCAGTAAATATGCTGGCATCTACTTTTGAAACACTGTTCATTTTTTTAGTTTTGCTACCGACATGCCAATATGTTGTTGTCATAACTAACTGAGATTACCCTTAATCTATGTAGAACTTTATTTTTTTTGTTAATGTACTAACTGGATGCAATACTGTAGTAAAATGCTGAGAATTCCATTCTGTATCACAAGTACTGTTTTGGAATAAATCTAATTATATATATATATATATATATATATATATATATATATATATATATACGTTTATAAACATAGAATATTCTAGAATAGTCATCATTAACAATATTGGTGTTTTTAAATACATCAGCTCGATACTAACACAACGCCTTAGGAATGCGATAAAAACAGGATTCCCCTGCCTGTTGCTGAATTACGCTATGTCTTGAAAACCACCCATATTTTGCGTTCGGGAGTAAAAGAGAAACTGCCTAATTTCGCCTCTTTCAAGCGTATCTACCAATTTAACTGCTCCTGTGGAGCCATTTACATCGGCTGTACAATTAGGCGTGTTTCTCTTCTCCGATTTCTGAACATCATATTACGTCTTTAAGTAAAGGACAAACAAAATCCATTCACATAGCACTATTCTATCTCATCTTGTGGATACAGAACACACGATTGATGTTAACGAGGCAACTTTCAAAGTCAATCACCGCATACCAACTGATCTTAACTTCGCCTTAAGAGTTTGTCTACTACATACTGCTGAGACTGGCTGTTGGGATCTACATTGGGAAGCCTAATTTATGTGTCCAAAAGAAGCTAGTTCAGACATTGTCCTTACTTACCTTGGCCATCTAGGTTCGAATGATACTCAATCGTTTGCAGAAATTTCTTTAATTTTAGTTGACATTCTATTTGCTATTATATTTTAGACATCTTTAGTGACTTGTAATTCCATTGATTTTACTTAACAAATCGATATTATTAAAAAAACACTAATATTTGTTACTGACTACTATTCTAGAATATTCCGTGCATAGAAACATATATATATATATATATATATATATATATAATTGTGGAGGCAAGAGAGGAAATTATCGACAAGGATATTCTTTGCTCAATTATTTTGTTTTTTATAGATGTCTAGATGAATATTTTGGCCATATTTTAAGTACTGTCAATTTGTTAAGTAAGATGAATGAAATTGCAATCCACGAAAGATGCATAAATTTTAATAAGCATAGCCATTGGATAACGATTTTGAGGCATATCACCGATTGTTTCCAGCCATTGGTTTTTACCGTCCCGAGGACCCCAATCCTGAAGTCTACACCTTCCTGCGTGGCTTAAACTAACTGTTGTGGATTTCATTGACTGGTGAAGCCATGTTTTGGTTTGACCTCCGGTAGCTCTTTTCCAGCCTGACCCTGTGTCAGCTAGGATTGCCGGTTGAGGAAGTCGATGACTTGGCATTTGTGCGTAACAAATGTCCTAACCATCTCAGTCTATGTAACTTCACAACTTCGTCGATTGATTTCCCCTTTCTCACCTAGCACTCAACGCCTAACCTCACTACTGCTCACCCTATTACACCACTTCACACGGGAGATAGAACGCAGGCACCTGTCTTTGACCGAAGGTAATGAAGATGTTTGTCTGAAGTCCTATGTTCCTCTAGGAACTAAAGGAAACAATAATATGTATAATAATGCTTTCCGATACGTTTGAATAACGTAAATAGCATGCATAGCATTTGAGACTCATCTTTCTTAATATATTGGAATACTCAACAATACTCAAATGTCTACATTTCTGGGAATTCACATCTTTTTTTTTGTTTATAGACAAGCCAATGCTCAACGTGAAACTATCTTTCACTTTCTTCTACGTCGTCTAAGTCATCTACCAGCATGTTATGATCAAATATCATTAATTCTTGAAGAGGTTAACATTTCAAAAAAATTGTGTACACAAGAAAATGTTATTCCTTTAGTCGACAGTATAACTCAGGTATCGTTGTATTGTTTCATATTGTGTTTCTTTTTAATGATTGAACTCTATTAACCTGTTCATTTGTCGACTCTCATTCAGCTCCATTTACTTTATAACTTTGCTTTCAACCACTGCATTTCAGAGTTTGACTCCACTCTTCAGATATACTTTTCAGCTTATGTGGTATCAGTCATCTCTAAGTTTGGTGGTGGAGGTGATGGCACATGAAAAATCTTCTCGGGAAATTGTTTTTTATCTAACTTTTTTTTATTTATTACTCCTAACTGCTGTGTCTCAACTTCGTCAACGTTGGAAAGCAATTTGATAACGTCAACCATGAAGTTATTTGACAAATGCTTCAACACTACGAAGCTCGATGCCGCTAAATTTTATAAACTCCATTCAACAACTGTATCATGATGCTTCATGCCAAATGATTCACAATAAAAACCTCGTCGAAATGTTTGAAGTGATGAAAAGATTAAGACTAGTCTGCATACTATCAACGATGATATTCACCAGTGTGTTTGATGGAGTTAGGTGGGATATCTTTAGGAAAGATCCTAGACGATCTGAGTTTCACAGATCAATATTTTGTGAAATATCACATAAAAGTGACGACTTTGAAGCAAAAACCAACAAGTCGGTAGAAAGAGCAGCGAAAGTAGGACTTCAAGTGGGTATGGAAAAGACAAGAGGTGTTGAAGATACCAAAAATAACCACAAACTCAATAGGGGGAATCTAAAGGGAGTCGTCTACTTCACTTACCTGAACTAGTCAACAGTGTTTCAACTACATGCAGGATGTATGAAGATGTTATGGTCAATCAGGATGGAAAAGCATGACTAACGTTCGTTACTCTGAAATCATTGTGGAGATCAACAGCCATGGAACAGCGGACAACGATCGAATATTCAACACTAATATCAGGTCAGTGCTTCTATATAATTCAGAAACTTGACGTACGTATCATGAAAAGCATTTCCGACAGGTTGCAGTCTTTCATCAACAAGTGTCTTTGCTGGCTTTGTACTGAAGAACAGATGGTCAGCTGGACAGCTGTTTCGTCCTAGTTTGGGACTCTTCAACTGTACGCTCCCACCGGTGTTTGCTCTACGTTGTGAATTGGCAGAAGTTAGAATTCATGGGCTGGTCATTGGATCGGGTCCCAGTGGCTCAATGGTATACGAGCTCGCGTTGTAACCAGAAGGTCTTGGGTTCGAATCCCGGTGGGTGCGTACTGCTGACGAATCCCAAACTAGGAGGAAATAGCTGGCTGTCCATTACTCCAGGTTTTCCAGTAGTTCCCTAACTAATGTCAGCTCATGATGAAATCCAATAATCCTTTTATTTATTTATTTTTTAAATACCATATACCTGTTCACTCTTTATTATTTTTTATTGTTATTTTTTTAGATTTCAAATCATATTTTAAGTCATTTCACTGCTGGTACAGCTCAAATTGATAATTCTACTGACTATGAAGCTTTACAACGTCTTTTCAATCATCTTCTTATGATAATTCATTCTTTTACTGAAAATGAATCATCCAGTATAATATGGAATATTATATCGAAAGTTGAAGAAGTATTATATTGTGAATTTAATCCTAAAGTGAGTATTAGTTAATTGTAAATGAATAATACTAATGCTTATATTACTAATCATTTAGGCAATAAATCATTTCTGTTATAATATACCTTAAACACGCTATGAATGTATGAAGTGATTGACTGTGACTGTCTGCACTGGAATGTAATCACTCCTTCCTTGTATCATTCTAACTCAGCTTTCATCACGTGTAGAGTGACGCGTGTGATGCAGGGCTTTGGGGGGGAGGGGGATACGAAGATTGCTTTGGTCTTGTAGTTGAAGGACAGTTTTTTCTGTCTAAATAGATTGGGACGAAACACACCTTCATAGTTATTTAGTAATCGATTCGCATTATCTAAAAGATCACTACAGAATTGTACAAGTACAGAAGTACAGCAATTCAAGTAACCACACAGTAAATAAAGGAACCGTAACAGAGTTATACTCTCTATACTCTGCAGAAAAGATGAAATAGAGGAGAAAATTGAATGAATATTGGTAGGGAATTTTTTTTGTAGAATCTTGAAAATAACAAAGTGTGAATATATCTACGATATTGTAAATAATTTTGAGTCAGTCCCATTAGGGATCTTATTGTCATTCCTAAGACTACAATCAGGCATCCTTAGATAGCTCAAATAAGTACTCACTGATTTCAACAACTGATGGTGTGTTGATTGATTGATTGATTGAATGTGTCACCTCTAAGTCCTTACCGAATGAATTTTATCTCAAATAAAATTACTTTTTAAGAAAACCAATGGCTTGTAATACCACTAGAGAGAAAATACTTCAGAAAGATTAATACACTTCCATAACACGACGAGGGTGTTTCTCACCTAAGTGAAAGGTTGAATGCGAACGTCTGGAACCTAAAACTGGATAAGTGAACATCTAGATTTATCTGGGAGAGCTAAATAAAATAATAAATAATAAAATAAATAAAGACTGAGATGGTTAGGACATGTGTTACGTATGCCAAGCCATCGCCTCCCTCGACGAGCAATGTTAGCGGATATAGGGTCAGGCTGGAAAAAAGCTAGCGGCGGTCAAACAAAAACTTGGCTGCACCAGTCAATGAAATCCACAACAGTTGGTCTAAGCCACGTAGAAAGGTGTAGACTTCCAGGCTGGGGTCCTCGGGACGGTAAAAATCTATGGTTGGAAACAATTGGTGACATGGCTCAAAACCGTTCTCAGTGGCGCAGATGCATCCACTCCCTGTGACTTATGATCTTCAATGAAACTGTTTTGTATTTCTTTATTACTCCTTTGTCTCACACCTCTGCTCACTGTTTCTATTATGCTTTTCTTGTACTTTCTTCTCTTGCTTCGCGTGCTACACGGAATGTGGCGACTTGAACTTCCGCACATTTGTGCAAAGTTCTATGTCGAAAACAGACAGAGACAGACAAATAAAACCCTGATTCCTAACCTATGTGATGTACATGGTCTCCAGAATCCGAACAAACTGAGTAGTGTATAAACCTGTTTTAGTCACCGACAACCGTGGAAATGTATGTACCTCCTAACGCGGATCCACTGCCGTGTGGATAAGACTTCAATTCATAGGCTTGGAGGATGAAGTCTGGGTAGTATCTGATTGAATGACTGACTGGTTTCAACATAGAACTTTGCACTGATGTGCAGCAGTTCGAGTCGTCACACTCCATATAGAGCAAGAGAAGATAGTAAAAGAGATATCAGGAAAAAGGAATAGTAATGTCGAAGAACAATATCGTTTCATTGGAAATCATAAGTCACAAGGAGTGGATGCATCTGCACCAGCCATTGAAAACGATTTTGAGCCATATCCCCTATTTTTCCAGCCTTCATTGGTTTTTACCATCAGGGGACCCCAACCAGTTTGGAAGTCAACACCTACCTCCATACTTGACTGGTTGGCCTAAACTAAATCTTGTGGATTTCATTGACTGGTGAAGCCATGTTTTCGTGTCACCACCATTAACTCTTTTCCAACCTGATCCTATGTCAATCTGCTAACATTTCCCGTTGAGGAAGGCGATGACTAGGCACACATAACACATGTCCTAACCATCTCAATCAATGTAACTTCACAGCCTCGTCTATTGATTTCCCCTCCTTTCCTACCAGTTGACCTAAGCTTAACTTTGATATTCCTCACCCTATTATACCTGTGTTATGTACTAGTCTTCCCCGTCGCCAAATTGTTATGTACTCGTCGCTAGATTATTGTTATGGACTGGTCGAGAAACTAATAGTCCTGACGCGAGAAGGCGGAAATCAGAAGACCACTAGGTTTGCGATGATACTTCTATTGTCCAAACACAAGGAGACGAAAATAAATGGTCTCACACCAAAGTGGTAAGCAAGTCAAGTAGTTGTAAAGTAAGTAGTTCACACAAATTGTGAATGCGAATATATATAAATAATTCAGACAAGCGTGGGAAGAATCATTAGACAGTCTTAACATGAATGGCTAATTATAATGGAGTGTCGATCCAATTATACATAGCGAATATAGCAGACATGCCAACAAACATATATGGATATATGTCACCAAGCAACGGACTGTCAACAAACACTCATATTATATATAATATAATATAAGGAGAATACACATTATTAAAGGAGACAAGTTCATACAAGTGAAGTGGTCACAGACTAACCGAGCAAACAGAAATAGAGACCAACATGCACACACACATAAATATATATATGTGGATACATATCAACCTGCCAGCTAACATGGGAGATAGAACGCAGGCAACTATGATCAAAGACAGCTAGCCTGCCTTTTCATATCTTCCACTCTCAATGGCCAGGTCTCACAGACATAAATGAGGACGGAGCGGACCAATAAGCAGTACACCGCCCTTGGTCAATAGCCGGATATCACGTCTTCGCCAGACACAGCGTAAACTGGCATATGCGAAACTAGCCTTCTGTATCTGTTCTGAGATTTCGTCAGCAATCAATCTGTTTGGGGTTGGCTGATGCAACTTCCCAAATAAGTGAAGTGGTCAACACGCTTCACCAACCACTTCACTCCTGCTCATTACTGACCTAGGAGTCAATGCAGTTTAGTCATGTAGCCATATCACCTTACACTTGGTGGGAGAGAATCACATGCCGAACATTCGAATATTGCAACTCAACGTGTTTAGAAGACTGTGCTCTATTTTGTCAGCGTCTTCACCTAGGAGGATGACTATATCATCTGCATGTTCTAAGTCAACGAGGTTATTCCCTGATGGTAACAAGTCAACCCCTGAGTGGTTGGAGTCAGTTAGGGTTAGATTCATTAGTACATCTATGATGGGACTAAACGGAAGTGGGGACGGTGAGCTATCCTGTCGAACACCACTAGTTGTCGCCACTTCAGATGACAACTCGTCATAAGCTCTTACCTGGCTGCATGATTACGAGTAGAGTGCCTTAATCAGTGCAATGTATTTTCTCGGCATTCCCCTTATAATCAAGCATCTCCAGAGAACCTCTCGGTCGACAGAATCGAATTCCGCCTTTAGGTCAATAAATATGACGACTGTTGGACACCAACGGTAAGTATGCGTCTGTTGTGTTCCAGAATATGTTTGAGGGTGAAGAAATGATCAATACACCCTCTCCCTGGTCTAAAGCCTGTCTGGTTCTCTCATGTTTGTTCCTCCCGTGGACTGCTTAGTCTACGCATTATTATTGACCCTGGAACTATAGGTACCATATTAGTCAAGCTAATACCCCTGTGATTATCACAGGAAGACTTGTCTTCCTTGTTGTATACTGAGATAATCAATGACTTCCACCAATCCGAAGTGACTTCCTCTGATTCCTAGACGCTGCTTAGTACCGTAGTTAACTCTGACGGTGAACTTTCTCCGTTATCCTTGAACACGTCAGCAGTCATTTCATCGGGTCCCGCAGCACTGCTTCGTTTCACACTGTTGGCAGCCTTAGTAACCTCAGTTAGGGACGGAGGGTACTATCTAAGCCCCGCACAAATTATTAAATATTTTATAGAGTATTTCTTAATAGTTAGAATTTACCAGGGTTTTTTGCCAGTAGTAGTAATAAATTAGTTTATATAATTTTCAGCTGACTAGTTTTAAAATAAATTCACACGGCTTTTTCTCTTTATGTGTTTTGTTTCTCTTATGCATTACAGATTTTCTTGGATTATTACAATATAACTCACTTTATACGTTGGATTATGACAAAAGTTATTTGTAGTCGTTTCATTTTTCACTTACTCAACCATGGAATGAAGTTAACTCAACCAGCTGAATACAATGTCACAAAACAAACTGCAAAATTATTCGAGTAAGCACTCTGTCGTCTTTTTTATTTAGAAATGTATCATATGGAGTATTGTTAAATCCCCAGTGGTTGTGTAATCGTCCTTGTGCAACGATATATTTTGTATTTAATTAGTGGATGGTGACTAGCAGTGGAATTTAGAATGTGCATTTCGTCCTATTTGGGACTCGTCATCTGGATGTACCTGCATTCCGCAGTGTGTTGATGTACCCACTGGGTTCCAGCCTCGGTGGGAACATCACCATCATGCCTATCCTGGATTCCACTACTAGTCACCATCCACCAATCAATTGCAAAATACATTCTCAAACATCGTCAAAGCATTTATACAAGAAGCCGACATGTCAGCCTGAGAGCGAGCATTTTCGTCCAACCAATCGACGGGAAAATCTAAAATTCAATTAAATAATATATATTTTGTAAATTATTGGATAGCTGCTATTATATAATTTTTAGCAACTTTCTCTCTAAATAAATAAACAGGTAACTATCCTTTGCCAATTGGCTTGACTTCAAAGTAGCGAAATAATCAGTCATCTGGTGTTTAGATCGCCTCGATCTGTCTCTAGTAAATACTACTTTTTGCCATGTTAGTAGTATGCGCTGTCGTGCTGTTCCATAATAGACTACTGCTTAAGTTTATACATGGATCTACCATTTATCATAGTATTTCTTTCAGGTCAGAGTATGGATCGATATCTCTTAGAGAACCATTGAAAACCATGGAGTACTGAACAGCTAGGTGTTTTGTCCTAGTTTAGGACTCATCGTGATATGTACCCACATAATATGTGTGTTTGTTTGACAGTCTGTTATATTTCGCTATGTATATATGGATCGATATTCCATTATAATTAGCCAATCATGTTAAGACTGTCTATTGATTCGTTCATTTTTTGAACATTCGCTCATACACTTGTGTGACATTGACTTTCCTTGTTTGAAATATACAAGTATCATTGTGAACCTGGTGGTTTTCTGATTTCCGCCTTCTTGCGTCAGGACTATTAATTACTTGACCAGTACATAACACATCGGCAGACTGTGATGCAGAAATCGCAGTTGTTTAAATAAACCCATCATTAATGAAACCCTATACATCTAATTTATAAAAAGCAGTTATCTTATAAATCATGGATTAGGTCGATCATTTCATCATCAGCTCAATTCTGGACATCGAGCTAACACTTAAACTAACTTCAGGGTCATCCACAGAGTATGCGGAAATCCCGTCAATGGAGTAGAGAATCAAATTTCTTTAAACCTCAAAAGCTATGGCATTCAACATGTTAAATCTTAAACTCTGCATACAGAAGAATTCTGTTCAGTCAATGAACCCGCAATGGATCTGATTTGTCTTAACACTTGACACATAAGTTTGTTAATTCTTATGTATTTCTTATAGTGTATATATTCCTGTATGTAGAGAGTATTCAGTTGAAGAGTTCTACCATAATTGGATGAATTCTTTACAGTGTGCTTTATTAACACTTTTCCTCATATAAATTCGTATCGGGAAATAAATCTTCTCGAGTCTTAGATTATAATTTGTGGATAATGACCAGCAGTGGAATCCAAGATGCGCATTTCGTCCTATTTGGGACTCGTCATCTGGATGTGCCTGTATTTCTCAGTGAGGGATGATGTTCCCACCGAGGCTCGACTCTTAGATGTTTTCTTTTCAAGTTTATTCACATGTGTATATATTTTCCTCCATCCTTAATAATAAAACCGAATGTGAAGCAGTTTACTTTTTGTTTCAGACATTCTCTTGTCGTATTCCAACAAATCATTGAAGGCATTCAGTTTTATATACTACATGAGCCATTTTCTATTGGTCAGTTAATCAATTTACAGTTCGATTATTCCCGGAAGTCAATGAATTTAGCACTTTTGATACAGTTATCTTTATCTCATTTACTTTGTCTTACGGAACTGGTCAAATCTGGTAAGCTTCATGGGTGGTGGTTTTTTTTGTATTTCTTACATGATAATTATTTGAATAATCTATCAAATAATTTTATTCATCTCCATTACATAACCCTCCTAAAGCAGCCGGACCTGATGGAATGACTCCAGAGGTATTTAATTACGATGGAGACAGTTTACTGTCTGCACTAACTGAGGTTCTAAGCAGCGTCTAGGAATCAGAGGAAGTCACTTCGGATTGGTGGAAGTCATTGATTATCTCAGTATACAACAAGGAAGACAAGTCTTCCTGTGATAATCACAGGGGTATTAGCTTGACTAATATGGTACCTATAGTTCCAGGGTCAATAATAATGCGTAGACTAAGCAGTCCACGGGAGGAACAAACATGAGAGAACCAGACAGGCTTTAGACCAGGAAGAGGGTGTATTGATCATTTCTTCACCCTCAAACATATTCTGGAACACAACAGACGCATACTTACCGTTGGTGTCCAACAGTCGTCATATTTATTGACCTAAAGGCGGAATTCGATTCTGTCGACCGAGAGGTTCTCTGGAGATGCTTGACTATAAGGGGAATGCCGAGAAAATACATTGCACTGATTAAGGCACTCTACTCGTAATCATGCAGCCAGGTAAGAGCTTATGACGAGTTGTCATCTGAAGTGGCGACAACTAGTGGTGTTCGACAGGATAGCTCACCGTCCCCACTTCCGTTTAGTTCCATCATAGATGTACTAATGAATCTAACCCTAACTGACTCCAACCACTCAGGGGTCGACTAGTTACCATCAGGGAATAACTTCGTTGACTTAGAACATGCAGATGATATAGTCATCCTCCTAGGTGAAGACGCTGACAAAATAGAGCACAGTCTTCTAAACACGTTGAGTTGCAATATTCGAATGTTCGGCATGTGATTCTCTCCCACCAAGTGTAAGATGATATGGCTACATGACTAAACTGCATTGACTCCTAGGTCAGTAATGAGCAGGGGTGAAGTGGTTGGTGAAGCGTGTTGACCACTTCACTTATTTGGGAAGTTGCATCAGCCAACCCCAAACAGATTGATTGCTGACGAAATCTCAGAACAGATACAGAAGGCTAGTTTCGCATATGCCAGTTTACGCTGTGTCTGGCGAAGACGTGATATCCGGCTATTGACCAAGGGCGGTGTACTGCTTATTGGTCCGCTCCGTCCTCATTTATGTCTGTGAGACCTGGCCATTGAGAATGGAAGACATGAAAAGGCCGGCTAGCTGTCTTTGATCATAGTTGCCTGCGTTCTATCTCCCATGTTAGCTGGCAGGTGTAATAGGGTGAGGAATCTTAAAGTTAAGCTTCGGTCAACTGGTAGGAAAGGAGGGGAAATCAATAGACGAGGCTGTGAAGTTACATTGATTGAGATGGTTAGGACATGTGTTATGTGTGCCTAGTCATCGCCTTCCTGGACGAGCAATGTTAGCGGATATAGGGTCAGGCTGGAAAAAAGCTAGCGGAGGTCAAACAAAAACATGGCTTCACCAGTCAATGAAATCTACAACAGTTAGTCTAAGCCAGCCATAATTGGAAGTCTGGTGAAGTTACTGAACCACTCTCCCTCCACTCTTCTTTCTGGTTCCCTGTCTAACACGATTCAGCGAGTTTATTCCATTTCACTTTGTTGTAATCCTTCAATCGTTAGCTGAAATCGTACTTATTATAATAGTGCGTATTTTAATGCAGGTTTTTGAAGTACCACTAGATCATGTCGAAGGATATGATGAAAGAAAATTAATAGGGTATTAGAACGTTCCTCACGTAGAATAATATTTCCTAAAGTCACATAATTTCGATTGTTTTTCTCCTTGAAGATTCTCTCTGACTGATTGACTGGTTTCAATGTAGAATTTTCCACAGATGTGTACCAGTTCCAATTGCCACTTTGCCCCTATGTACCACCCAAACCAAGAGAAAAGAGAAAGAGATAATAAGCAGAAGTGTGAGGGAAAAGAATAGGAATATTGGAAGAACAATGGAATTTCATTAAATACGACAAATCACAAAGTGTGAGTAAATGCATCTGCCTCACCATTGAGAACGAGGATTTTGATCCATATCACAAATTGTCTGTCTTCAGCCATCATCACTTCTTACCATCCCTAGAATACCAACCAATCAGGAAGTTTACACCTACCCCCCTATGTGACTGGCTGACTTAAACTAAATGTTGTGGATTTCACTGACTGATGATGCCATGTTTTTGTTTGACCACCACCATCCTACCGAGCTCTTTTCCAACGTGTTCCTGTGTCAGTCAACTAACATTGCCCGTCAAGAACAATGCGAACTAGCGTGCAGTAAAGGCGTCCTTTGATCGATAGCCGGATATATATATATATATATATATATATATATATATATATATACTTATATTTTCTTGGTTACTAGTGTATAACAATATTTTATACCAAAAGCTGATATCTTATCTGTTTTCTTTTAGATATTTGGAGAAATATTCAATGGGATATTCAAGCGACAGTTTCAGTAATTCAAGTAAGAGTTGCTTTCATTTCATCTTCTGAAAATATATAAATATCACTTGCATTTGATAAAAGTAGATGTGTCACCTAGTCTTTTTCTGCATCAAAATTCATTGTTATTTGCATGAATACAATAGAACAGTAGATAATTTTGATATTCCAGAAATTAGTTTATTTATTAGATATATATCACACAGTAAAACAGTAATATTATTTACTCGATGAAGTGGAGGCAAATCAATTTACTTATGAATTAGCAAGTCAGGAAGGAGAGCTTCCAATTCTAGATTGTAGAGTAGAAAAAGGAAAGAAGATGGGAAGTTAAACACAGTGTGTATTCGATGGTTGGAGGCAATCGACCACAGGAAGCCTTGGACCTAGGTTTCGTGCTAGTTGGTACTCGTCAGCAAGGCGTATCTCCAGCCTTGAAGGAACTCATGTCCCTTCTGAGATTCGAACCCGCGTCACCCAGTGCAGCCTGCAGTCAGAGACGTTACCACTGAGCTGTTCGGGGTCGCCACTGACCTCCTGTAGGACTGTAGAATCAGAAGGGACATGAGTTTCTTCAAGGTTGCAGATACGCCTTGCTGACGAATGCCATCTAGCACGAAACCTAGGACCAAGGCTTCCTGCCGATTGCCTCAAATCATCTAATACCATCAAATCAATGTGCACCGTGATGGCGAGCTACCTAGATTGGTGGCCACATTACAACCTGACTGATAGAATTCACTCTGCACCAATCAGAGGACTAGACACATCACACTAGTTACTAGTGTCAAAATCAAAACATTAGTGTGTTTACAGAAAACCCACACATTCAAACCGATATTTGGATTTCGAATCATCCCATCTTATCTGTCTCAGTAAAAATAGGATTGGTGAAGGGTTTAAGTGATAGACCACAAAACTAAATAGTACCAAGGAAAATCTAAGACAGGAAGTGAGACATATCAGAGAAGCCTTCAAACTTTATAATTACCCTGATAAATTAGTCAGGAAATATGTAGGGAAATGTAAAAATAAAATAAATAATGATAGTAGCGATAGTAATGATAATAATAATAATAATAATGATATTATTATTATTATTATTATTATTATTATTATTATTATTGATGACATCCATGTCAAATATGCTCAAGATAATGACAACACCAACAATAAGGAATCTAAATCAACAGTAGTAATTCCATACAATGAAGGAACCTCGGAAACCTTACGCAGAATTCTTTACAATCTTGGCAGGAATAAAAGTTACTGTCATTCAAACCCACAAACTCAATTAGAAACAAGCCTTGTCGGCTAGAGCATCCCGCCAGTGGAGCCTTTAAAACAAAACAATTTAGTTTATCTAATGCTGTACTGGAATGATTGTCAGGTTAAATACATAGGTCAAAGTAGTAGAACAGGGGCAGTCAGACTAGCCGAGAATAAAAACCTAGCAGCAAAATCTAGATTAGTTGACCCGAATAAGAAAAAGAATTTAGAGAATAGGTCAGTCGTAGATAGCACTCACTACATGCAATTACACACATCCATAAAATAGGATGGGATAAGATGGCAGTTTTAAAATCTAATGTAACAACCGGGTGTAGGGAGAGATTGATAACGGAAGCTTCGTTTATCGAATCAACTGCAAACGCGTGTAATAGGAATGATTAAACAACTGTCCACCCAGACATCTGTAAAATTCTACTACCCCAACGACGACAGTTAGGAGAGAACAAAGAAAACTATTAAACTCAAGTTTCGAAGTCGTGTGTTTATAATTGATATAATTATGAACAAAAAATTGTGTTCGATACCTCGTCATCCAGTAAACAGTAATACTGTTTCACTGTGTGATAGGTCTAATGAACAAACTAATGTGGAATTAATTACTACCACAGTGCTCAAGTTTTACGCCTATATTAATTTTGACATTCATTTTGAGGAAATGATGAAAACCAGTAGATACGAAACCTTTTTTTAATTTTTAGTCAAGAATTAACATCAACTAAGAAACCTAAAAAGCAGTGGGAAAGCTGTCAAACGCATGGCTCTTTTGCTTGTCATAACAAGCACATTGCAATTCGTCTGTCTCATAATCAGTGTCCTACTAAAGAATTTCAAACTCCAGCATGGAGTTGTCATACTGGTTCCTCCCAACCGGAACTGAGGTTTAAGCAGATAAACAGCAGCATCACTTACCCGTCACACTATAAATGTGACACATGGGAATATAAGTTGGTTGTAGGGTCACACTTCTGTCTGTCTATCTGTTTTCAACATAGAACTTGGCACATATGTGCGGCAGTCCAAGTCGCCATACTCCCTCCTTGTAGGACACAAAGCAAGAGAAGAAAGTAGAAGAAATGCATAATACAGACAGTAAACAGAGGTGTGGGACAAAGTAATAGTAATAACGAAGAAAAATGTCGTTTCATTGGAAATCATAAGTCACAAGGAGTGGATGCATCTGCACCAGCCATTGAGAACGATTTTGAGCCATGTCACCAATTGTTTCCAACCATTGGTTTTTACCGTCCCGAACACCCCAACCAGGAAGTCTACGTGGCGTAGACTAGCCGTCGTCACACTTTAGTTCGACTTCTTCTTCAAACTTTATCATTATTCTCATGCTGTATGTAATATCTGTTCTACATATCGCTCAGATTCGAACTTTACTCATCATCTCTTCCTTTTTAATCTTTAGGATATACATAAAAATATATATACACTTGGAAGATATGAACCATTACTGTGTATATTATGGTATCAGCTGATTTATTCAAAAGAAGTCAATTTTATTGAAACCCTAAGGAAATCTAATTCTTCTGATGAATATGAAAATGCTTCAAGTGGAATCTTTTTACCAGACTATTTTGATGATTTACTAGGGATAAGTATCAATTCCGAGCTTGTTAGCCAGGCATTGATAATATACTATACTCAATCACAATTGGACAATAAGGTGGATGTAAGTTGTTATTATTTAAAATTATTATTGTTATTTTCAAAAAAAAATAAGTGAATCAACTTAATGTTTTCAGTAGTTTATTATTAGTGTGGCGTGTACTACTGATAAAATTTGTCAGTATTATATACGTATATATAAAGAGATGTTCATTGGTATAAGACCCCAAATAACAGGGAGATAGATCTGATGTCAGAGGATGCAGATGGCATAGCGTTGTGGAGATACATGGGAGATGTGAAAGGAACACTAAGAAACACAATGTGAAGGAAAGCCAGAAGTAGTACTGTTGTGAGAGCAGGCTGCTAGCCAAATCGGTAGACATTAATTTACGTCAATGTTTACGTCCCCAGTATTGGTCATGAGAAAATAAGAATAAAGACTGATTCAACAATCAACTACAGCAGACTTTGTGTAGGCGGATACAGTTGGCATATAGATGATCTGACATTCAAGAAACAGCCACAAAGAGATGAAAGATTAACGTTCAGCGAAGAATCACCAATCAGAAGACTGTGTTTGTTTGCTTACAATAACCTATAATAGTGTACATGAAAATCTATAAATATGTGTTGATTTCGTAAATAAAGGATCCATTGCCGGGCCCTTGTCTTCTGTTGTTACAGTACAACACGGAAAATCTGTGCGAATGGTACCTGTGTTGAAGATAAAGTGTGTACATAATTTGGCTATATAGAGATACCAAATTGCTGATAAACATTCCTTCGCCAAGTCTTTCATCCTCTACCGTGAGAGTACCACTGTGCTGAATACTAGGGAATCGAATAACGAATGGAAGTGATATTTTGATTGGTCACTAGGTAGTTATTCGTCTAATGATGTGTAGGACTTGCTCAACGAGTTTACTGCTACATCCTGCGTTGCTACAGGTCGTAGATAATGAAATGTGGCAGTGAATTCGAAAGGGTTGTCTATTTTGGAAGTTTAAAACTGACTGAATAAATTTGATCAGTAGTAGTTAAAGAATTCATGAATTTATTGGTGTATTTGAATAGTCTGCAGTTTTCCTCTTCTTTTCGATAAATAGTCGTTCAGAATCAGTAGAAATCATGTGACTTAACACCTTCATTGATTGATTGATTTTCAAGGGGTTAGTTTGTAGGTATTGGAATAATTTCAAGATAGATTTCGTCACGAATCGATATCAGTAAGAGAACCAATAAAAATCAGGGTGAAGGGAACAAGCTTGTTCTTCTTAGTTCAGGACTCTTCAGCAGTACATATTCTTAAGTCCATCATAGATCGAACTCTATATTCTTTAGATTACTATGTAACCACATCCCACTATACAGTCACTGAGTGGAAATTGAATATCTCATGCATTTTAACTTCTGTCTATTCACGATATAGCTCTACCGCTATCCAATATTATCTATGTGAGTATGAGTCCTAATACATCAGTGGTCATGACTTCTGATCAGCAACTTCAAGATGATTTTCGCATTGTTAGTTATTGGTTATAGAAGAAATCCCCATTTAGACATATCGAAAACAGAAAGATTGAGCGAAGAAATATTTACTTTTCAATTAGATCCTCATCTCTGGCTGTACTCTAATATATATATAGCATTTTTATTACAATACACAACAATTTACCAATCCAGTGGCGATATGTTTGTTAACAATAATTAAACAGTGTCAAAATGTCAATCGGGTGATAATTAACGAAGAAAATCAATACAGATTTAATAGGTAGAAATGGATAGAATACATTAATTTTACAAGGACTACACGTAAATTAAAGATGAATTGGTCAAAATAAATAAAAATAAATAATTTAGACAATTATAATTTTTATAGGTTTAGGGGAAGGGGGGTGACGTAGTCCTGTTTATGCATTTTTGTGACGATGGCCACGGTAGGGAAAGTGGCTGTACAAATTTTTTTCTGTACACATAGGCTTGGCTTCTTCAGGTGAATTCCGATTGCTTCAGCTGTCTGTAGAAGACGAACTCGCAGAGCAAAATTAAGATAAGTCGGAATGCGGTAAATAATTTTAAATACAGTATTCACATCAATCTTATGCTCAGTATCAACGAGGTGGGCTAAAATAGAACTACGAATAGATCTTTTTTGTCCCTTCCTTCACCATATTGGATGATGTTTGGAAATACGATGATGAACCTGCCTAATTGTACGCCCAGTGCTCCCTATTGCTCATCACTAAATGCTTCATCCAGCGGTTTTGACTATATATTTCATAAAATCCCCAGAAGTATTTAAAAGTGTGAGACCGCGTGTGTATTTTTGTCTTTGAGTTATATAACCATTCTGTTGACACATTGATATCTTTCTCCATAGGTAGGAAAAGTTGATATTAAGTGTGTATGTAACTTTCTACGTCTTTAAGAAGGTATGGTGTTTTCTTAATACCCCTTATTTGATTAAGCACTTCATCTTATAAAATAAAGCATGTCTTCATGTCTTCAGTGATACTTGAACCGTCAACAGTTAAACTTTTGTAACAGATGATCTAAGGTAATCATGAAATCTGACCTAAAACACAATTAGACAAAATCACTTATCACTACTTATCAAAGCTGATATGTCCTATCTTATGTTACTTTTTTTTTTAATTCTAGACTGGTGTTATCCTTCAACAATTGTTATCACCATCGTCGTCTACTTCATATGAAAAGTCTACAACACGCCGAACAAAAATCATACAAATAATAAAGATGTGGTATTCTGGTGAACCTGTAATTTGTACCTTAATGTCATTGTTATTAAATTCAAAAAGTGGATTTCAACAACTTCATTCTGTGTGTATGGAAAATCTTACATTTATGGTAAGTCTTAGCTGTTAGACATTTTACCTTGTTATTTGTCAGTAATAATGATAAATCTGTCATTATATGGCTTATACAATTAGTTGTAGGATAATGCTGCATGCCAAGTAATCCACAATGGGGAACTCACATACTCTTTCGAAGAAGTGAAGACGGGGGAGTAAGGCAAGCTGGCTGTCTACTATCTTCAATGATTTTCTTGATTGCAGTAGGACTGAATAATGAGACAGACAGTGGTGGGAAACGAGGAAACAGGCATAAAATGGACCTAAACAAAAACTTGGAGGATCTGGACTGTCTAATTTCCCACAAACTGGATGATATATAAGTTAAAAGCAACAAGTTGTTAGAAGAAGCATCCAAATAAGATAGGACTGCAGGTGAACATAGAGAAGACAGAGGTGATGAAGATTCCTGACCAACAGCAACAGCAACCACAACAGACAACAATCAGCATCCTGCTTTACATACCTGGGAAGCATCGTTTCAACTACAGGTGGACGGAACTGATGAGGATATCATCGAAGCGAGGGTCGGGAAACCAAGACAAGCTTTCATTACTCTCGAGTCTGTGTGAAGATCAATAGCACTCGTCAGGACAAATAAGATGTGGGTGGATTTTCAACTCCAATGTGAAGTCAGTACTACTCACTATATGGATCAGAGACATGGCGCCGAGTCACGAACGGGTACTTCGAACAAAATACAGACCTTCATCAATAGCTGTCTTCGCTGAAGATCAGATGGCTGACGAGAAAAGATCGGTAACAGAGAGAGATCTCTAGGAACGAACGAATCAACCAGGAACTACCTCAATGTATGCCCTATCTATCTCCATTTTCTCCTACATATTTGTTGCATGATCTGCTCTTGGTTGATTTGTTCATCGCCAGAGTTTCTTGTGTCTAATTCTTTCTGGCTGGCTGACCATTTAATCTTGAATATGGAACCAGTCAGAGAAGGGGGGGTAGGGGTTGATAAAAGCCTGCATGTTGGAAATGCTTTTCGTGACTCACCTGTCAAGTTTCTGACCCACATAAAATCCGAATCTCGTTGCTGAGAGCAGCAGATTTCTTAACTAACTTCAGAGTGATAAAGGTGTGTAGGTTCCCTTTCATATTCTGGCTGGCTTTGATATCTTCATCCGTAGGAGAAGAAAATGTACTGACACAAATATTCCTTATCATAAAGCATGAGTGTTGTTGCATTATTATTTTGCCTATTTTTCACGCAGTTAATTGTTTCTAATCAAATTTCTTTTCTCTCTTTTTTTTGCTGTATTTTTCTCAGTCACTTGGACAGATTAACTTCCTTCTGAACAATATGTTTAATACAATTCATTCAGAGTCTTTAAGTAGTCAACTGGATGCATTATTCAACATATTTATTAGTCCACAGTGTAAATCGATCAAATCTGATCAACAAAAGCATTGTACCACCTGTGTCAAAAGTATCATGCCAATCAGCTTACGAATGATAGCCTCCAATAAAGCTTGTAATATATTACAGTGGATTCTTAAAAAGCACAAAAATGCAGATTCAGAGGTAATTTTGACTATTTTTTATCGTTGGTACTCGAGGAATTTTTGTTGTTGTTTTGCTTCTCCACTTTGGCGAATCACGCAACTATCCATGTTACGTACCCAAGTGTTTTTTCCTAAGATTATTTTGTACTACTAACAAATAAATCAGTAGATCCTTTATTTTGATTTTATTTTTCGCATCATACATAGCCTTTAATATCAAACCATGACTTGGAGAATTATCGTTTGCGTCTAACATCATCTGGGAATACCCTGAAGTCTGATCGACTACTCTCTTTACTTGGTCAGTTGATTCAGTACACTAGTGAAAAGCCTTGTCAAAACGAAATGCCCAAATGTAGTACAAGTTTAGCTCATAATAACATTGAATCTATTTTAAAGGTGAGTATATATATTTAAGATCTATTTCTCCTTTCTCTTTCCTCACACGCTGGTGGTATCCAGTTTTGTTTTAAATAATCAAACTTATTGTTTTGATATTCCTAACGATATTTTGTTGCTTCTCTGAAATTTCAACACGAATATAATCACAATCAGGAATTTCATCTTCGCGATTCCAAGTGCTTTAGCTGGCAAATCCAGATGAGGAGTCCTAAATAGGACGAAATGCGCATCCTGGATTCCAATGCTGGTCACCATCCACCAAATAACTTCTGTTTTGGCTAGTGTTCACTTGATTTCTGTCCCTTTCTCCCTGCCTATCCCCATAGTCATTCCTAGTTATAATGTACCGAATATTTCTAGAAAAGTTTTCAAGCATTAGTTTAGTTTGGATGCAACTCAAGTAGACAAGTTTAGTGTTATCTCCGTGGATAGTGTCCAGAGTAGATCAATCGGAAGCTTCATGATTAAACAACCATGTAGCTTAGAGAACATAAAAGCGACATTAAAATGGTATTAACTCTAGTTGAATAATTTGAGGTCATTCAAAAATGACTTTATCAGACGTTCGAATCATTAGCTAGCTTCTGTGTGAATTATATGTGGTAGACTTCTATTTCAATTCGTTTGATAAGTTTACGATGTATTGGAAATGTAAATCAATTTGCTTCACTTTATGAGATAAATTTCCTCGAATAATTCAAAGTCTAGTAGTACTTCATCACAATGATAAATATTTGTAGTATAATTGAAGAACCTGGAAGACCTGGATTTCAGGGATGATTTATGTTTGATGTCGCACAAAATCGAAGACTTACAAGCGAAAACCGACAAACTGGTTGAAGAAGCAGCCGGCGAAGACAGGACTCCAGGTGAACATAGACAAGACGGAGGTTACGAAAATAACCAACCAACAAGAACAACAGCAGTAACATCCAGTTCCAATCACCATCAACGGAAGGGATTTGAAAGAGGTTACTTCATTCACTTATGCTTCCTAGGTAAGTCTCAACTACAGGCAGTCGGAACGGACGAGGATGTCAAATCGAGCGAGAATCGGGAAGGGGAGAAACACATTCATCAACCTGAAACCAATCTGGAAATCTTCGTCACTCACCCAGCATCAACAGCAAAATTCGGTCGGATTTTCAATACAAACGTCAAGTCAGTCAGTTCTTCTATACGGTTCGGATCAGAAACTTGGCGGGCGCGTCACAAAGAATACTTCCAACAGGCTGGCTATTGCAGACCTTTATCAACAACTAACTGTCAACTATCGCTCTATACTGAATGAAGATCAGATGGCCGGGCCGGAAAGAATCACCAACAAGAAACTATGGGCACTAACAAACAAAACAAGAACCAATCGTCCAACAAATATGCAGGAGAAAGTGGATGGAGATGGATTGGACACTCGCTCGCTGAGGAGGCCGCTGGGTGACATCGCGCGCCATTGCGTCAGGCCACTGCTCGAGTGGAACCAGGCCGAAAAGGAAGCGGCGAGTGGGACGTCAGCGTGAGGGTGACATGGAGGAGATCGTGTGAAGAGGAGCTGAAAGTGTATGGAGTAACATGGATTCAGGTGAAAAGTACAAGAGAAGACAGAAGCAAGTGAAGACGTGCAGTTGGAGCCCTATGTTCCACTAGGAACCCAAGGGAACAATAATAATAATATAATAAGTGTAGAACTTGAGCGCTGTGGTAGAATTTAATTCCATATTAGATAAGTTTATTTTAATTGTCACTCAGTGATGCAGTATTAACAACTGGATATAATATGTTCCAGTAATCTAGTTGACCCTGATCTACTTGTTTGACCCATGTAATGCTTTGCGTAGAACTCTCTCATTGACGCTGGAATTAGGGTAGCATTTAAAACAGTCAGACACTTGTCTCAGAGATCAACTTTATCGGCTTCAAGACCAACTAAGAAAAATAGTATAATTTACCAAATACCATGTAATGCTGACTGTGAGTGAGGTCAAGTGCGCATAGACAAGCCAAACTAGTAGATTGAGGTCAACTAGATTACTGGAGCATAAAAATGTAGCCAGACCTAGAATAATTACTGATCCTGCTAAAATAATCTAGAAAAAAGCTCAGTCATTGCATTGCACTGCATTCACTTGAATGTAATCACACAGTAGACTGTGTGGGACAGGGTGATAGTATTAAAAAGTCATGTAGTCAGGTGGAGAGACAGAGAGAGATTAATCACTGAAGTTTTGTTTGCCATTGATTCAACACCGCACACGTGCAATCGGAATGACGCTCAACGCCGCCTGTACTGGAGATATGAAAAGTGGCAATAAATAACAAAAGGGAAGATGGAAAGACAGATAAGTGAAACTGAATATAAGTGAACTAGATAACATTCGATCAAATCTCCTTAACAATGGATATCCTACAAGGTTTATTGAACGTAGCATCAAGAAAGAACCCACCCCTAAACAAATCACAGTTCCAGAGAAAAAACTGTTTATGAGTCTTGCATTCAAAGGTGACACCATTTCGGAATTGATTAAAAATCGTTTATCTACATGTATTAAACGCACTTTTTCTGCAGCTGACTTGCAACTAGTTTCTACCAGCGGAAACATAATTAGACAATGCGTCAAGGATAGATTACCGCTTTTGTCCACATCCATGTGCATTTACTCCTTTACCTGCTCTTGTGAAGCTGATTATATTGGACGTTGTAAGCGTAATCTCCGAAAACGTGTAGCTGAACACTATCCGGTTTGGTTAATGAAAGGCGAACGTAGAACTGCAAAGTCGTCTATTTGTGATCACCTGCTAGAGTCTGATCATTTAGCCCCACGTGATTCATCCTTCAAAGTTGTCTACATGACCTCTAAAGCCTCAGGATGGTCGGGGGTGGGTGCCTTGCGCTGCGGGTTGGCCACCCCTCCGTACACCTCTTGAAATGCTCCCATATGACCGGGCGTCTTACACAGCCTCTCCTGAGGAAGTCCTACTCACTGCCTTCACGTGGCGGAGGTGTTTTTCACCGAAGTGAGAGGGCAAAAGCGGATGCCCGGCGCTGTTCACCGGGTTGACTGTCCATTGGATGACAGTCTAGGGGAGATGGCTAAACCCTGATTCCAAACCTCCAACGACTGGCATATGAAGCTCACCGGAGCTCACCGGCAGATGTATGGACAAAGGGCTTATTGGATCCCCTGGATGTGTGGCCCCATTCAAAAAGGCGTATGAACCGGACTGCGGTCATCGGCTGCCAATGGATAGTGGACTCCCTACTCCATTCCTACTGCCTTGTAGGTCACACTTGGTTGTGTAAAGGCTAGAGCTTCACTCTCAAACAAAAGGCCGAGCGATGCTGGGGACATCACTCGTACCTAATTCCCATGAAACTTTATGAACTCTCTACAACATCAACCAAATTCCAGTACTGGTCGCCTTCGGTGGTTTGGCCATGTTTTGCGCCGACCAGATGACGATCTGGTCAAATCAGTTCTAAATCCCTCGTCATTTCCATCTTGGCGATGTCGCAGGGGTGGACAGCTGGAAACATGGCTTGGTACAGTCAAGGCTGATATGGAGTGCCTGGGGCTACAAACCGTCTACGGACTCCGTCTGTGGAACAAGAATTGGATAACCCTGTCGCAAAACCTTGCATCAGAACGCCGCGCCTGGGCAGCGATGATTCGTGATGTTCATGAAGCCGGTTCATCCTCCCGTAGGAGATAGCCGAAGTAAAGTAAAAAGTAAGTACATAGCAAAATCGAATCGATCCGAAAGTTTACGTTTTCTTCACTTATGCATAGCAGAAACTTGAGGTATACATGAACAGAAACCTAAATTATGTGTTCAAAAACGTTTTGTCAAACCCCTTTCTTTACCTTGGTCATAGTAATGTTTTATTTTTATTAGTTTTTATTTGATTTTATTTTACCACTTGAATTCATTCCACTTCACTTCACATCTTCATTCTTATCGTAATCATACTCCTAGTTTTTTTTTAATTTTTAAACAACACTTGACACTTTTAAAGCATTTTTGACATCAATCCACTTATAAAACAATCTTTATTAATTTTGTAATTTATCCACTTCAACTTTACCCCTTATAACATTTTAATTATCGTTACTCTTATCACTTTTATATGTATATTGACTGAGCAATTATCAAGTGCCACTTAATAACCTTTTTCTGTAATATAAATACGACTGTACATCTTGAAAATGAAGTTTTTGAAAAGAAATTTCTTCGGTGAACAAAAAAAAACTGTGTTTTAACTGCATATAAGACAAATAACCTACAAATTGATATTTGTAGGTTAAATATCCTAAGGGTTTTTTTTTTATTTTTCTATTAATTATTATTATTGTTGTTAATTTAGAAAGCTGATGAAACCAATTGGTTATTGAATTCAGCTAAAGATCTATTAAAACACTGTGATTTATCCGGCACATTGAATGGTATTCAACTTATTCATGCCTTGTCAGAGTGTACAACTATTAGTGAGAAGAAAATTTCAAATATTCTTAATTCATCATGTCTTCGATGTTCTCCAAGAATGCTCTATTATGCTTTAGTATGTGGTTCATCCTCTACATCTACATCCACATCCACGCTTTCATCATCCATGTCAACACCGACTTCATCAACACCTGATATTACAAATCTATTGTCCAAACCAGGTCCTAAAACATCACGTATTACACCTTGTGTAAATGTTTTATTTCAAGTTGCGTAAGTTTCTTTCTTTGCTATATCAATGATTTAAACATTATATGTTAAGATTTACTGTGAAATAGTCAGATTTTTAATTTATGAAATCTTAAGTAGATACTGCAGATAGATGAATGCCGACTTAAGATAAAATCTCGGGGCAGTGTTTCTTTCGTGGTTTTTAATAGTTCCCTAACGTGTAATGTTTCTCGATGAAGTTCCTGTCTTTCTCAATATATTATTTTGTTATTTATTTTAATCCTTTATGTTCCCCAGTGGAGCATAGAGCTTCAAGATAGAGGCTTGAAGTTTCAGTAGCAACGGTGTTCGTTTAACGGGGTGGCGTTGCTAGCCTCAAACCCAACCTTTCCTGTTTACAAGTCTTATTGCCAGCCTAGCGAGGTAAAGAAGTGAGTCGGGGGTCGGAGATCGAACCCCTAATCACCTATGTGGCTGGCGAACATTCTACTGCTGTGTACCATTGACGCACTAAAGCCCCTGACGCCAAAGAGAATTGAACTCTCGACCCCTGATTTAACTAGACCAGTGTTCTAACCACTGAGCTATGGGGGCACTTCCTATAAATGTGTGTCAACCAGCATTGTAAAGCAAGATAATTATTTCCCATCGGATAGCTTCTGATGGGAAGAAGATTAGTTCTCAAGATGGTTTTGAATTAAGCTGAAAAAGTAACTGAAATTCAAAGAGTATTAAAGAAGTTGTTTCAGCCTTTTTTCTTTTAAGGATCCGTTTATGTACATGTGTGGACACTATCGACCATTTATTGAATCAAAACGAGGATATAGAAGTTTACTAGTTAGCTGGACATACCTTGTGTTCAATAGTTGTAGTCGCATAAAATAATTCTGTGAATTTCCATCAGCATATTCTCCGGAAAAGTTATAGATTTTTCTGTACTTTAAGATATTTGTTTGAATGAGGTTAACTCGTTTCGTTTTGAAGGGTAGTTCTGTTCCAAAATATATTTGATCTATGTTAGAACTTCAAAGTAGTATATGCATAAGCAGGACAGTCATTATTTTGTAAATTTATTTTGCTTGGGCTCCAGCCATCCGATGCCATGGCTTGAAAAACTACTGAAGACAAATATTTCTTGTCGATTTTCTTCTGCGTTGTCTTACAATTAGACGAATTCTATAACGAACAAAATTTCAGATAGACAGGAATAGCCAATAGACAGGAACTCCAAATATTTGGAACAGGTTGGAGCTGAAGTTTATTGATCTGAGGTGCTTGACTTCCAACATCTGGGTCATAGGTTCGAAGTCCACTTCACCTATCGAGGTATGAGAATAGGCAAGTAGCTGTATTAGCCCTTACACAGCAGATATACCTTACTGCTTACTGCATAGAAATGCAAGTGGTTGTTGAGTAATATTTCCAATTCCTTCCTAACATTGGGGACGGAAATCTAGCCTCACATCCACTGGCGGGAATTCGTTATCTGTTTAGCGGATTTTTCAATTACCCTTGTCTGACAATTTCTCATCTGTTAAATATCTAAGTCAAAGTTAAGATAAGAACGATTTGAGCAGACAAATTGCTTCAATAATTTCCTCTGGCTATTATTATTATTATTCCTTTGAGTTCCGAGTGGAACATAGGGTCTCAACAACATATCTCCACTTTGTCCTATATTCTGCCGTCCTCTTCAGCTGTGTCCACGATTGACCAAACTCTCTCATCTCTTCTTCACACGATCTCCTTCATATCAACCTAGGACGACTCACTCGTCGCTCCCCATTGAGATTCCACTTGAAAGCCTGGTGTGCGATTTCATTCGACTGTCTCACAGTGTGTCCCATCCATCTGCATTTTCTCCCACCTATTTGTTGACCAATATGTTATTGGTAGGCTCGTTCCCATATTTTCTTCATGTTAATTATTTTCTATTGGCCGCCTGATCTTCAGTATGGGGTCAGCCAAGTGTGCAGCTGTTGATAAAAGTGTCCACTAACCTGCAGAAAATGCTTTCCGTGACTCACTGGCCAAGTTTCTGACTGTATGGAAGGACCAGCTTGAGATTGGTGTTGAAAATCTGAATCTTGTTCCTTACAATGAGTGTAGAAGATTTCCAAATTAGTTTCAGATTGATGAAGGCATACCTTGCCTTTCCAAATCTGATTTTGACATCTTCATCCGTGATATCGCCCGTAGTTGAAACGATGCTTCCTGGCCACATAAGTGAAGGAAGTAACCTCTGTTAAATCCCTCCCGTTAATGGTGATTACTGCTGCTGGTTGTTGTTGTTGTTGTTTCTATTGGTTGGTTGGTTGGTTATCTTCATCACCCCCGTCTGTCTTCTCTATGTTCACCTGCAGTTATGTCTTCACTGCCTGCTTCTTCAGCCAGTTTGTTGTTTTTCACCTGTAAGTCTTCGACTTCGTGTGATATTAGACATATATCATCCACACACGAAATTCAGATCTTCTACAGGCTTCTCATCCGTGGTCCAACGCAACCCTGTCTTCTCACTCCCCATGCATGGGGATGATCTTCCACATAATCCAGTTCACCACAATTAAGAATATCATTGGCCAAAATAGTCAGCCAGCTTGTCTTACTCATGTGTTCACTACCTCAAAGGCTTCTTCGAGTTTCTCGTTGTGGATCACCTGACACGTGCCACTATCACACGGCCAGCTGTTGAATGAGGTTGATAAAGATTTGCACACTGAAACCCGTAGCGTTGAAGCAGTTTCCAAATTACTTCTCGGCCAAGGCTGTCTGATGAAGGCCTTTTCGAAGTCGATGAAGTTGAGGCAGAGAGAGAGGTTTGACTGCAGTTCTATGCTTTGTTCGATGACGATCAAGATGCGTAGAGTTGCATTTCTCTTCAGGCTCTACATCTATATATCTATAAATATCATCGTACAGGTTAAGTTCAAAGACAGGGGAAAAACATTTTCACTTTTCCTTTTTTTCATGGTTGATGCCCTGTTGTTTGTTTGTTCGTCACGTATCCTTTTATGTATTTCCCATAGTGTATATGTATAAGGTTATATGTAGAGTATTCAGCTGAGCAGTTCAACAACCTAAGTTTACTGAATTCACTAACTCTTGTTTGTTTTTGCAATTTCGAACTTCTATCAAATCAAAATTTACCCATAATGGAATTCTTTCAATTAGTTGTATAAATTCACTAGCTTTCTACAGATCAGTATGTTTGTAAAACTGTATACTTATACTCAACATTGTAGATCACTCTAGTCATCACTTTTAGGAAGTTTATGTCGAAACTGGTTATACTTGATTAAGTATTCAGATTATTTTTCAAGAGTTGGTTTGTAAGGATTAGATTTGTTTTACGAGGTCCTGGGTTCGAACCCTGGCAATGGGTACGTACTGTCGGTGATTCGCAAACTAGGATGAAACAGCTCTCCCGTACTCTCTATGGCTGGTTTTCAATGCTTCTCTAACTGATATCAATCCGTGATCAAGCTCGTAATTCAGATTATTTGTTTTGCGTCGGATTCATTCACTGATCTAACAAAATCGATCTCAGTGTTTATAATTTTTTTCGATTAGATAACTTATTATGAAAATTCTTTAATTTAATTTTCTCATTTTTTAAAATTATTTTAGTGAGAAACTACTTTTTAAAAATATACAAGATATTGTAACCAACCCTATGGAATTATTCAAAGAAACTGAAGGTACGTAGGTGTATTTTATATTATTAATGATAACCCATTTGACACTGATGTTACATATGTGACTGACTTACTAGTTTCAACATAGAACTTTGCACAGAAGTGAACCAGTTCAAGTGGCCACACCCCGTGTTATGATGAGAGCTGTCTGCTAGCCAAAATCGGTAGACAGCAATTTACTTCCATGTTTACATCCCAAATCTTGATCATGGGAGAAAAAACAAAAACAATGACTAACTCGACAACCAATCATAGCAGATTTTGCGTGGGCGGATACGATTAGCAGAAATAAGGTCTGACCTTCAAAGAAACAGCCACAAAGAGATGACAGAATAACCTTCAGCAGGAAAACAAACAATCAGAAGGCGTTACCTCTCTGCTATCAATAATGTTAATAATAATAATGTACATAGAAATCTATAAATATCTGTCGATTTTCTCAATAAACGATCTGTTGCCTGGACCTTGACTACTGTAGTTACACGTGTAGCAAACAAAATAAACGAAAGAGTGAAAAAAGAGATTCAAAAGAATTACAACAAGCAGAAATATGGGAGGAGAAGAATATTAATATGGAAAAACAAGAGCGTTTAATGGTTATGAGATATAAAAAAGAATGAGTGCATATGTGCCACTGAGAACGAGGATTTTGACCCATATCACCAACAGTCTCCAGTCATTGGTTCTTAGAATCCCGAGGCTCCCACGTAGGCAGTCTAAATCTGCATATATGACTCAAACAATGTTATATATATATATATATATATATATATATATGCATGTTTTACATTCTCAATTTCCTAGATTTTAGCCCAAAGGTCAATCTTTATCGTCTAAATATCAAGCTTCCATGGTTACCAATTTAGGCTAGCTTGATATCTACAGCCTTTCTAGCAATGAGTTGGAGAATAGGTTTTGTTGGGTTTGATTGCGCTGTTTATCTACCTCATTATGAACTCCTCTGTGTAATTACTTCCAGTTAGAGTTTCTGTAAATATCCTCTCCTCACCTTCCAGTGTGTCTTCTGTACATATTTTTTCTTTTTGATCCTACTAAATAAATAGGCATATCTCACTAGGTCTCTTGTGTACTGAACAGAAGAGAATCTATGATAATGAGGATACTTCCTTGTTCCAGTAGGTTTTCTATAAATAAATCGTTGTACTGTTCGATCAAGCCATCAACGGAGTATTATATCTAGGAAAAATTAACAATTGTGTTTCTTTTCTATTAGACTGAAAAGAACAAGAAGTTCAGCAAAGAATTTTTTCTGCGATTTCATTCTCAAAAGCTGTACAGTCGCATTAATATAGATTAGTTTACATAGATACAATTATTATTTGTTGAATTCCACATAATAACAAAGGTGATAATAATTTTCAACTTGATATGGAAGTTTGAAGTTACGAATATAGATTACACAAGGGGATTAGATACAACGCATGCAAAATTAATATTTGATAACTGGAGAATTAATTTTAAAGGTGAATAAAAGAAGGTGATAATTATTTTCAACTTGATATGAATTACAAGAGGCTTAGAGACGCAGGGATAGGACGAATTACAAGTGTGAACAAAATGAGTGTGGAAACAAATTGAAATCAATATTTTCAATTTGAAATGTTAGTTAGGAGGTGTGAATGTTGATTAAAAGAGGCATAGAAACAAAAATTACACAGGATTAGAATATAGTTGTAAAATGATTATTCTAAAAGGGATTATAATTGTGATCAAGAGGAGCATGGAAACAAACTTAAAATAACTGATTTTATAACTGAAAAAAATGGAATGAATTGAATGAAGACAAAGAGAGAAAACTACACACAGGGTGAACAAGACGAAAAAACTGAAGGATAAGGGAACATACCGAACTAGGTCCATAATAGTTGTAAAGGCTGGACTAGTTGCTTTTGAACACATAGCTCCGGCTTTTCGATGCATATGGCGAGAGCTTCCTCAGTACAAAGAAGTTGGAAACACACTGCCTTTGGTAGATTTTTGTTTACTTTGTAAATGACTGTGAATGATGAGTCAGTTGAGATTCTGTGACAAGTATTGACGAGATGTCCAATTATTGCGCTTCTGATTGAACCAGTGCCTCCTCTTTGCAGCCATGCTGGATGATGTTCTCTAACACGTTTTGATAAGACCCGCATAGAACGACCTATGTGCCTAGCTTCATAAGTGCAGGTGAACTGATATATGCACATTGAAGTGGCCATATGCGGGAGTATATCCTTCCTGCTGCTCCGAAGTAGTGGTGTAGTGGTGATCTGCTATTTTGCACTTCATTCAGTTGATGTGTCTTTCACTGGATTTATCTTTCGACTTGATCCAATAGCTCCACTAACCAACCAATCATTGAGGGAGTTTATGTGTTGCTGATCTACACATTGACATCATAGGACTTAGAAGGACATTCAGGTTTATGTATGTTAGTTAAATCATAAATTATGTGGGAATTTACAGTCTGCTGGGTTTAAAGAGTCAAATTTATCTCTAATTGTTCTTGTTTTTTTTTTGCTAGATCCAACATTGGTGGATTCTGTTCAGTCATATTTGACTGGTTTATCATTTGCTTTATTGGAGTTTCTTCGAGTACTACCACATTTACCAGCAATCGATTTAGTACCTATAGAAAAAGAAACTGATGCTCTGAGTTTTCTACTCATTCTTATTGAGGTATGTAAAATTTACTTGACACTTTATCCCTTTTTAATGTGAGAGATATTTTGAATTTTAAAACTTGCAACATAGTCTGTTATTCAAGTGATGGTTTGTAGGGATTTGTTTGGTTTCAGGATTTCATCATGAGCTGACATTAGTTAGAGAACCATTGGAAAACCTGGGAGTACTGGACAGCTGTTTCGTCCTAGTTTGGGACTCTTCATCAGTAAGCATCCACCGGGATTCGAACCCAGGACCTTCCGGTTACAAGGCGAGCTCTGTTATTATTGTTGTTATTACTATTATTATTTCTTACTCCATTTCTGTTCACTTTGTCTTTCTGTTCTGATGGACTGTAATAGTGATATCAACTGAAGTCATATGTTGAGCTGTCTGTCACCCACGAATCTGATAGTTCCAAATTATTTAAGGCACACAGAGTCACCCCAACTTGATGTTATTCAATAGGTGATAAGCATCAGTAGGATTTAGGTCGATGGGTTTTGTCCTATTCAGGGGACGCCTCAACCATGTCTTACTAAGACTCGGATTCATCACCTATCATTTCAAATACTAAGACGTTAACCACTAGATTAGCGAACCACGAAAGACATTGTTGTCAACTGTCGTTTCCTGAGACTCACGTATTTCTCATCCTAGACTCCACTTCTAGCCTACGTCCTAGGAATTGACATGCAAACAGCGACCACTTATCCCTCCCTGTTCAGTGAAAATAAGCAACTGAGACTTAACATTATCAGTAAAAAGTTTGAGCATTGTGGATTAGATAAAGTAAGGTATAATTATATTTCAATAGTTTACACACAATGATAAGTTTTGTTATTGGTAATTTTTCGAGCAAAATTACTGCCCAGTCAGGGAACCATTGAAAACCAGGGAGTACTGGACAGCTGCTGTTTCATCCTAGTTTGGCAATCATCGGCAGTATGCACCCACTGGGATTCGAACCCCAGGACCTTCCGGTTACAAGACAAGCTCGTAACAAGCTTCAATAAATAATTATTGCAACTTTCTATCAGAAAATGGAATTTCTTTTTTGTAAGGACTCATCTTGTTTTCACAGGCTACATTTCTCAGTAACATCTTGAGGGCCCATTCGAAGGAGTATACTTTCAGTTACATTATGATGTTCTTTGTTAGGTGACAGTTGTGTAGATTTCTTCTTTGATGACACAAACTAGATGTTTGAGTCACATACAACATCTAGAACACAAGTTCTGTGTAAGATACGATACTGTATTACATATAAGAATAACGAATAGAAATTACAAATCTCAAATTGTGAGATATAATAAGGCTGAATGACGTCAAAAGCACTGGCATAACTGTGTGTGTGTGTCAATAAGATAGCAGCAGTGCTGTGTCTAAAACGGCTCACTGTGACTGACGCACAAATGTCTACTACAACAAAAAGGGGTTTGAATAAACAGAATTCAGGAGGTAGTCAAATATGTACAGACAAAATGCATTGTTAACACTTAAAATGACATGTGGTTCTAAGGAAATAATCAATTATAATTACAGGATAAGTATATAATTGGTTGGAGGGTTTCATCATGAGCTGACATTAGTTAGAGAACCATTGGAAGACCTTAATTAATTGAAAAGATCTACACCTACACTACTTAGTAGTATTAAGTAGTATAAAATAAACACAAAAAAGGGATAACAGTTAAACAGATGTCAGATATGAAGCGAACTAACAGTAACTTTATCCTGGTAATCGTTGTAATACTCTGTATACCAACATGGACTACAGCCTTCAACAATTACTCAGTAATCGCGTATATTTAATTCGCAATGAGCCACATCTATTGTCTGTTTTCTGGTTGCAACACCTAGTGAATAGGAGTTTGAAATCTAATGGTTTCATGACGGCGAACCACAGTTCCACTTGGGTTCAGCTAAACAAGTAACGATAAACACATGTCCAGAAATACCACCAACAGCACGCACAGAACTGTCTGCTAGTAGATACCAGTCCTCTACCGAAATCTTGAATACGATCAAGCTACTGAAATCCAGTCAGGAAGACAACAGGACCAGACGGATTTCCTTCCGAAACACGGGGAACGGACCCGGAAACTGCAGCAGATGTCCCCACACCATTATTGCGCAAAGTTTGGAAGGATGGAAATGTGTCTACCAAGGCCACCTTATCAAGTTACCAAAAAAGAGCGACTTACGCCTCACTTTAAGAACTGACCTGGAATAATGCTGTTGTCCACGCCAAATAAAATAATAAGTCACATCATCCTGGAGTAACTAAAAGATACTCTGGATGTAGAACTCCGCTCCACCGACCAGAACACGCTGAATTCAGGAAAAGCGAACCATTTGCTAACCGAATTGCAAGTCTACGCATCGTGATCGCCATCGAACAAAGCATAGAACTGCAGTCAAACCTCTCTCTCTGCCTCAACTTCATCGACTTCGAAAAGGCCTTCATCAGACAGCCTTGGCCGAGAAGTAATTTGGAAACTGCTTCAACGCTACGGGTTTCAGTGTGCAAATCTTTATCAACCTCATTCAACAGCTGGCCGTGTGATAGTGGCACGTGTCAGGTGATCCACAACGAGAAACTCGAAGAAGCCTTTGAGGTAGTGAACACATGAGTAAGACAAGCTGGCTGACTATTTTGGCCAATGATATTCTTAATTGTGGTGAACTGGATTATGTGGAAGATCATCCCCATGCATGGGGAGTGAGAAGACAGGGTTGCGTTGGACCACGGATAAGAAGACTGTAGAAGATCTGGATTTCGCGTGTGGATGATATATGTCTAATATCACGCGAAGTCGAAGACTTACAGGTGAAAAACAACAAACTGGCTGAAGAAGCAGGCAGTGAAGATAGGACTGCAGGTGAACATAGAGAAGACAGACGGGGGTGATGAAGATAACCAACCAACCAACCAATAGAAACAACAACAACAACAACCAGCAGCAGTAATCACCATTAACGGGAAGGAATTAACAGAGGTTACTTCCTTCACTTATGTGGCCAGGAAGCATCGTTTCAACTACGGGCGATATCACGGATGAAGATGTCAAAATCAGATTTGGAAAGGCAAGGTACATCTTCATCAATATGAAATCAGTCCAAAATTCTTTTGCACACGGCTGAAACAACCTAATTCGGACTATTGGCGCAATAGTTTAATCATTTCTTCTATATGGGTCAAAAACTTAGCGCATGAATCCTGAAAAGCACTTTCTACCGGTTACTGTAGTCTTTTGTTAGCAGCTGCACACTTGGCTGACTTCATATTTGAAGATCAGGTGGCCAATCAAAAATATTTAGCAACAAGAAACTATGGGAACAAGCCAACCAAGAAAATATTGCTCAACAAATACGCAGGAGAAAATAAAGGTGGATGGGACACACACTGGGGAGACAGTCGAATGACATCGCGTGTCAGGCCCTCGAATGGAATCTCAATGGGGAGCGACAAGTGAGTCGTCGTCCTAGGGTAAAACGAAGGAGATCGTGTGAGGAAGAGATGAGATAGTTTGGTCAATCGTGGACACTGCTGAAGATAGGACAAAGTGGAGATGTGTTGTTGAGGCCCCATGTTCCACTCGAAACTCAAAGGAATATTAATAAATCTTACTTATTGATAAATAATAACAATAAATAATAAATATTAAGAAAAGTAACCTGTCTCATTTCTGTTTTCTTTTTATGGATTTCATCGAAAAATGTCAAGAAGTAGAGTAAAGAATGACTGAAATCACTTTCCATCTTCGTTTTTTTTTCTCATTCTATCATCCTTTAGTATCATTATTAGTTCACATTATAATTAATGCTTATCTCAATCAGTCAGAATATGTATATCTAGAGTATATTTCTTGACTAATCACATTGATTCAAGTACCCTAACAGTAAGGGAACCACTAGATGTTAGATATCTCAGGAACAGTAGAATGCTCACTGTTTCTCTACTTCTAGAACTGTGTTCTTGAAACTCCCCGCATAAAAAAAAACTTAACAGCTATCTGTAAACTATAGGGCAATGAGCAAAGTGTTAAGCACCAACTAAAGATTATTTCCTACTATGTTTTGACGATCACCCATGAGCTAACATTGTACACTTAAATAAGATCGTTTGGTCATCATTCTCATATATATGTACTAATATGTATTTTTCCTATTCACAACAAGAACCTTCCACAAATAATTATTTTATGCTCCATTTCTTTCTCTTTTACTTTTCAGTTCTTCTTCTACTCATTGGGTTATCCATATACTCAACTAACCGGTGTTACTCCAAGTGCCGGTAGTAGTCATAATAGTAGTAGTAGTGGTGCTTGTGCCGGTGGTGGTGATGGTGATGATATAAGAACTCAGCCACAAAATATGACTACTGATAATAACTATCATTACATGCCTACAAGACAATTTATGGTATCTGTAACTTTGATAGAAAATAGTCTTCGATTATTGAATTATGTCTTACAGACAGCATCAAATCGTTCTGCTAAAGGAGTTGATTTATTCGGTGGTGATGGGAAAAAATTTTTATCAATTTTTCTTACCTTTCTTTGGATGATAGATAAATCAGGTAGGTTAAATGGGGCGTTTTTTGTTATCCTGCGTTACCATAACGAATATGTTTACAGTTCAAGTTATTATTATTATTATTATTATTATTATTATTATTATTATTATTATTATTATTATTATTATTATTATTATTATTATTATTATTATTATTACCTGGGCTGCATCTTTTTGTTCTGTTTTTATATTTTAAAATCGTAACAGCACTGAAAATAATGTCTACGCTGACACTTAAAGCCTGTTGACGACTTCACTTATTTGGGGAGTTGCATCAGCCCCAACAGGTTAATCGCTGACGAAATCTCAGCACGGATACAGAAGGCCATCACTGGTATAGATATGATATCCGGCCCGTGACCAAAGGACGTCTGTCTGTCTGTCTGTCTTTCTGCTTTCGACATAGAACTTTGTACTGATGTGAGGTAGTTCAAGTCGCCACATTCCCTCCTTGTAGCACACAAAGCAAGAGAAGAAAGTAGAAGAAATGCATAATAGAGACTGTAAACAGGGGTGTGAGACAAAGTAATAGTAATAACGAAGAACAATACAGTTTCATTGGAAATCATAAGTCACAAGGAGTGGATGCATCTGCGCTAGTCATTGAGAACAGTTTTGAGCCATATCACCAATTGTTTCCAAACACTGGTTTTTACCGTCCCGGGGATCCCAACCAGGAAGTCTACACCTTCCTACGTGGCTTAAACTAACTGTTGTGGATTTCATTGACTGGTGATGCCATGTTTTGGTTTGACCGCCACTAGCTCTTTTCCAGCCTGACCCTATGTCGGCTAACATTTCCCGCCGAGGAAGGCGATGACTAGGCATAGGTAATTCATGTCCTAACTATCTCAGTCGATGTAATTTCACAGCCTCGTCCATTGATTTTCCCCCCTTACCTAGCACTCGGCGCCTCATTTCAATATTGCTTGCCTTACTATACCACTTCACACGGGAAATAGAGCGCAGGCAACTATGATCAAAGACAGCTAGCCAGGCTTTTGATGTCTTCCACTTTCAATGGCCATGTGTCGCTGACAGCCATAATGGCGGACGGAGCGGATTGCTAAGCAGTACACACATCCTTTGGTCGATAGCCGGATAGCACGTCTACGTCAGAGTTGGCGTAAACTGGCATATTCGAAACTAGCCCTCTTTATCCGTGCGGAGATTTCGGCAGAGATCAATCCGTTGGGGCTGATGGTAATTCCCAAATAAATGAAGCGGTCAACGTGCTCTACCACTTCACTACTTATTTCTAAACTAGGAGTCAGTGTATTCCAATCCTGTAGCATCATCTTAAACTTAACGAGAGCAAATCGCATGTCAAACATTCTTAGATTGCAGCTCAAGGTGTTCAGAAGACTCTGCATTCTTTCAGCGTCCTCACCTAGAAGGACTATATCGTCTGTATATTTTAAGTCAACGAGATTATACCTTGGCAACCAGTCAATTCCTGAGTCTATGAAGTGAGTTAGGGTTAAGTCCATGACTACGTCTATGCTGAATTTGAATAGAAATGGGGATAATGGATATCTCTGACGGACACCACTAGTCGTCACCACTTCAGGTGACAACTCGCCGATGACCAAAGGACGACATGTGTACTGCTCAGCAGTTCCCTCTGTCCTCTGTTATGGCTGTGAGCGAGACATGGTCATTGAAAGTGGAAGACATCAAAAGCCTGACTGGCTGTCTTCGACCATAGGTGCCTGGGTTCTATCTCCCATGTTAGGTGTTAGGTCTAATAGGGTGGTGAGCAATATTGAGGTTAAGCTTCGGTCGGTAAGGTAGGTAAGGAGGGGGAATCAGTCAACGAGGTTGTGAAGTTACATTGATTGAGATGGTTAGGATATATGTTATACATGCCTGTCCACGTCATGTTTTTCTATGTTATTATTCTTCCTCCCTGACATTTCTGCTTATTACAGTCCTTCCGAATGTTTTTTTCCTTTTCTCTCTCTTTTGTCTACCTTTGTGTGCTACATGGAATGCGACAACTCGAACTGTTGCACATATTTTCAAAGTTCTACTTTGAAACCAGTCAGTCAGTGAGTCAGTCACGTAAAGCCTTAAACAACCAAATATAAAGCTCAGAAAGCACAAAGACAAGAGAATAAATAGTAGTTGTCTTTGAATACCTGTTGCATGACTCATGATTGGACAAAATTTTAAAAAACAAGAGGTGTCCCTTTATATATAAACCTTTGTTATGTTAATTTCGATTAATTTCCCTGAAGAAGTTCGGACCAGATTGCCGAACGAAACGTTGGAATTAATCATTTCAATTTCGTTGAGATTTTACAAATATAACTTTATAAATGTCTACTTCTCACTTAGCGCTCAATTATTTTGCAACTATCCGGTCAAATCTTGATCACAGTTCGTATGAATAATGAGGAGAGTTAAACTTTGATTTATTTTCTATTTAATACCACCAATAAAATTGTTTGTATTCAGTAACCCGGAATGGACTTCTTTTGATGTATCAGGTGAAGATTGGCTGATGATACTATCTAGTTGCTTAAGCTGTAACAGGTGCAATCGGACTCGAACCTGTGACCTATCGGCTAAAAATGAGTACTTCAGCCAACGAAGTGCATCGATAAAATGAGTTGCTTGTGATTACGCTGATGATGATGAAAATAATAAAGGGCAGAGGGAGAACGACGCCAATCATTTGTTCATCTATCAGGTTATATGTAACCGTGTCTTTTGTGTAGTCACTCTTAACCACTTATTTCATTTATTGAAGTTTATGTAGTTAAACAATATCTGTCATTGGTTCTTAAAAGAAGAAGTCTGGCTCACGGTTAAATGTATGAAAAGCGTGAATTTTCTGAGGGCTACCTACGGTTTTATTTATCTCGTTTATAATACGAGCTTCAAACTAAAACATATTAATAGGCAATCGACCACAGGAAGCCTTCGACCTAGGTTTCATGCTAGTTGGTACTTGTCAGCAAGGCGTATCTGCAACCTTGAAGGAACTCATGTCCCACCCCTCTGAGATACGAACTCGCGTTACCCAGTGCTGAAGTCAGAAATGTTACCATTGAGCCATTCGGGCTCGCGATTCACCTCCTGTTGGACTGTAGTAGGTATTTTGATTGGATACTAGTAACTAGTGTAACGTGTCTAGTCCTCCCATTGGTGCGGACTGAATTCTATCAGTCAGGTTTGCAATGTGGCCACCATTCTAGGTAACTCGCCATCACGGTGCACATTGATTTGATGATATTAGATAGTTGGAGGCAATCGACAACTAAAAATGTATTGATATTATTGTACACCATATGTATTTAGCATTGAATAATTTAGAGTAATTGGGACTGACTCACTGACTGGTTTCAATTTAGAACTTTGCACTGATATGTACCGGTTCGAGTTGCCACATCCCCTTCCTTGTAACACACAAAACAAGAGAAGAGAGTAAACAGAGATACAAAAGAGAGACTGATAATAAACAGAAGTGTGAGTGAGGCAAAAATAATAGTAATATGGAAGAACAATACAGTTTTATTGGATGTAATAAATGTGATAAAAAGAGTGAATGCATTCGCACCGGCCATTGAGAACGAGGATTTTGAGCCATATCACAAATTGTCTCCAACCGTTATCAGTTCTTACCATTCCGAGGACACCAACCAGTCACACGTGTGTAGCTCCCTACGTGACTGACTGGCTGGCTTAAACTAAATGTTGGGTATTTCACTTAGTGATGACACCATGTTTTGGTTTGACCACCATCCTGCCTAACTCTTTTCCAACTTGATCTTATGTCAGCTAATTGGTAAAAAAGAAGAATTGTGAACACAATTTCCATGCTTATTTCTGTGATGAATATCTTCAGAGCATTTCCATCAGTATCTTGGCTATTCAAAATCAAGTACACTAACCATCAAATAAGTCACCTTCTTAGTCTTCTGTTGATGGTTGTTCAAGTGGCTTTAAAGACACAGGGTAATATTATTATCATTACTATTATTATTATTATTATTTATTAGTACTTCCTTTAATTCCTAGAGGAATATAGGGCTTCAGCCACGCGTCTCTATTGCCTTCGGTTTTCTGCCAACTTTTTCACCCCACTCCAAGTCTCCCCACATGCTTTCATTTCCTCTTCACATGACCTCCTCCAAATCACCCTCGCACTGACGACCAACTCGCCGCTTCCTTTTTGGGTTCCACTCGAGCAGTGGCTTGTCTAGTGATGTCACTTGATGGTATCCTCAGAGTATGGCCAATCCATCTCCATTTCTTCCTGCCTATTTATTTCACAATCGGTTCCTGGTTGGTTCTCTCATTGCCAGAGAACCCTGTTGCTGATCTTTTCTGGCCATTTGATCTTCAGCAAAGTATTGAGCGAAGACAATTGTTAATGAAGGTCTGTAGTTTGTTCAAAGTGCCCCCTTCGTGACTCGGTGCCAAGTCTCTGATCTGTATAGTGAGTAGCACTGACTTCACATTGGAGTTGAAAATCCGGATCTTAGTTTTCAAACTGAGTGCTGCTGATCTCCACAGAGCCTAGAGAGTAATGAAAGCTTGTCTTGCTTTCCCGATCCTTGCCTTGATATCCTCGTCAGTTCCGTCCTCCTGTAGTTGAAACGATGCTTCCCAGGTAGGTATAGGAGGTTGTTTCTTTCAGGTTCCTCCTATTTATGCTGATTGTTGTTGTTGTTGTTGCTGTCGCTGTTGGCCAGGAACCTTCATCACCTGTGTTTTCTCAATGTTCACCTGAAGGAAGTCCTATCTTCTCTGGTTGCTTCTTCTGCGAACCTGTTGCTTCTCCCTTCCATATCTCCCAGTTTGTGGGAGATCAGACATATATCATCGGCGAAGTCCAGATCCTCCAAGTTTTTTGTGAGTCCATTTTATGCCTGTTTCCTCATTGCCTGTTGTTTGTTGCATTATCCAATCTACTGCAATCAGAAAAATCATTGGTGATAGTAGATAGCCTTGTGTCTTACTCTCGTTTTCACTTCGAAGATGTAGAATTGGGTAAATTTTACTAAATTCTATTCTACAACATATCCCTTGAGTTAATGTTAAGCATTAGAACTTTGTTTCTTTGCCTAAGTTTAAACTTCATGCTACCTTACATTCCTTTATATATATGTATATTTTTTTCCTTACAATACATACAGCCTGTCTGTCTGAGTATTCAACGCTTTGGTCGACATCAATTAATGAATATATGATAAAAGCTGTAAATAATATCCTACACAATTCTATACAACACTCACCGACCACCTTATCCACATTAGAATTATCTACAACAATTCTATTAAATAATCTACTTATTCCTGTTTATCCACCTGTTATGGGTATATGGTGGCCTGATCCATTGTCTGCATCAACATTATCTCATTTCTGTGCAACAATTGCATCCTCAGCATCTCTGACTGCATTCAATTCTACATTACCACAACAACAACCACAACCAAACCAGTCGAATTCATCTATGCTGTATCAATTCAAATCAGGCAATATACATCATCTAGAAGGCGGTTTTATTCAACCATGTCAATTAATTGGAAAGTGTAGATTATTACGTGCTAATTTAAGCCAATCAACTGGATCTAATAATATAATAAGTCAATTGAATATTTGTACTTTAGGTAAGAGTTTTTTTTTTATTGTTTTATTGACACTGCTGTTTAGTTGGGGTGTCATCCATTGCTTAAAATGTCTTAACTGGTCACTGGTATGCCTTTAAAACAAAACAATTTAGTTTATCTAATACCCTGGCGGAATGATTGTCAGGTTAAATACATAGGTCAAACTAGTAGAACAGGGGCAGTCAGACTAGCCGAGAATAAAAACCTAGCAGCAAAATCTAGATTAGTTGACCCGAATAAGAAAAGGAATTTAGAGAATAGGTCAGTCGTAGATAGCACTCACTACATGCAATTACACACATCCATAAAATAGGATGGGATAAGATGGCAGTTTTAAAATCTAATGTTACAACCGGGTGTAGGGAGAGATTGATAACGGAAGCTTCGTTTATCGAATCAACTGCAAACGCGTGTAATAGGAATGATTAAACAACTGTCCACCCAGACATCTGTAAAATTCTACTACCCCAACGACGACAGTTAGGAGAGAACAAAGAAAACTATTAAACTCAAGTTTCGAAGTCGTGTGTTTATAATTGATATAATTATGAACAAAAAATTGTGTTCGATACCTCGTCATCCAGTAAATAATAATACTGTTTCACTGTGTGATAGGTCCAATAAACAAACTAATGTGGAATTAATTACTACCACAGTGCCCAAGTTTCACACCTCATCACCTCATATCATTTATCGTTTTATCTATCAGTACACAGTGCTTGTAAGTATTCATTCATTTCTGCCTTTATAATACAAGTAATTGGGGGGCCATTTTAAATGATTATTCTTTGTTTTTAATCCTCACTCTGACATTTTTACCTCTTCTCTCCCCCCGCGCCTCCCGCCACCGCCTCTATATAATTATCAGGTATTGCTCGTCTTTTGCACACCTTGGACGTATCAAGTTCGCATGGTTATAGCTCAATGAATATGTCATTTCATGAATCGAATCATGTGAAGAAGTCAGATTTTATCAATTCATTTGTCAATATGGATTTAGATCATTTAACATCGAATATCACGCGTATTAATGCATTGGGTTGGTTGGATAGGCGAGAATTTGAACGTATCTGGACAACATACCTAGAATTGTTGTCCTCTGCATCAGACACCAATCAAAATGTGTATTCAACTACATTAGAAGCTGATAATACACAATTAATCAGTTCTGAAGTGAGTTGACATCTGGAAATGCTCTTTTTTGTTTGTTCCTTTTATTTTATTTTATTTGAAAATTAAATTCAGTATTCATGGTTTCAAATAATAGAACATTATTCGTTGAGCTGTGTGTGTGTGTGGGCGGTTTCTGTAGCGATTGCGTTGTTTCCCCTCTTTTTCCGTACCTGAGACGACCGACTGGTGAGCTAGTAAACTTCGTTGACGTTGAAAAACCCATCGACACCACCGACCACATAGTAATTTAGGCATTGTTTCAACCTTGCGGCGGAGTGCCTCAAACGTTTATCAACCCCATCCAATAGCCATATGAACAATGTCGTATATATCAAGTGATTCACAACGGGAAACTCAGCGAAGCCTTTGAATCGAAAATCGATAATCACCGATAATATTCTTAATTTTAGTGGAATACATCATGCAACACATCCTGAGCAGCGAGAAGACAGGTATTCGTTGGATCGATAAAATGAGACTCTAGAAGATTTGGACTTTGAGGACGATTTCCGTCTTATGTCACGCTTACTCCAAGATCTACAGATGGAAACTAACAAATTGACAAAAGATACTGGCAGCAGTGACGACAACACTTCAAGTGAACTAAGAGAAGGCAGAAACGGTGAAGAAAACCAACCAACCAACCAACAACAACAAGCACTAATCAGTGTGAATGGATGAAATTTCAAAGAGATCACCACTTTCACTTATGTTTGGGCAGTATCGTATAGCAGGTGGAACGGATGAAGATGTCAGGATAAGGGAATCAAGAAGGGCGCTCATGAATCTCATATCAGTTTGAAAGTCTGCTGCAAACAGCCAGCATAAGGGACAAAATTCGGATTTTCAACACACTAATGTCAAACCAGGCAATGCTTCTATGCGGTTCAGAGACCTGGCACGTCACTAAAAGTATTTCCAACAATCTGCTGCAAACTTTTATCAACTGGCTGCATACTAGAGATCAGATGGCAGGCCAGAAACGATTAGTATCAAGGAATTCTGGAAACGAACCAACTAAGGACCTTTTCTCGAATAGATATGCATTTGAAAATGGAGATGAAACGGACATACGTTGTGGTGATCGTCGAAGGAATTCATGCGCCCGGCCCTCGAGTGGAAGGTGAGCTCGGCGTGTGTCCGATGGCAGTGATATGGAAAAGATCATGTGAGTAGGAGTTGAGAGCTTATAGGTAATCATCGAGTCAGTTAAAGAGGACTAGAGGAGAGAGAGAGATCCGTAGATGCCCTGTGGGATTCCTACATATATATATATATATATATATATATTGAGCAAGTCTTAGGTTTCATTTTTGATCAGTCTACTAAGCAAATAACCTTAAGGTAATTCTAATTTAATTGGTGGATGGTGGCTATCAGTGGAATCCAAGATGCACATTTCGCCCTATTTGAGACTCATCATCTGGATGTACCTGCAGTCCCCAGTCAGTGAGTGATGATATTCCCACTGAAGCTTGAACCCAATGCCCATAGTTTCAAACGCCAAAGCGTTATCCAGTAGACCACTTGGGCCACGAGAGCTGGCCACCTTTTCTGCAACGGGTCATATCAATTATTCAATTGAAGTTTAGATTTTCCTGTCGATTGATTGAGGCGAAGTGCTCGGTCTCAGGTTGACATGTCGGCTTCTTGTGCAAATACTTCGACGATGTCTGAGCGTGCAATCCGAATTTACATCCAGATGACGAGTCCTAAATAGGACGAAATGCGCATCCACCAATTGAATTCAAATACATGCTCAGACATCGTCGAAGCATGTGCTCAAGAAGCCGACATGTCAACCTGAGACTGAGCACTTCGGTCCAATCAATCGACGGGAAAATCTAAAATTCAATTGAATAACCTTAAGGTAAGATTAAAGTCAGTGTTTTTGCTTCTATTCTGGATTGTTTTGGAATCAAAACTGACACTAACTCATGAAATATTTTGCTACTGTTTGGCATTAGTCAGAGAAGTACTTATTACTTGACTGTAGTTCACAAGATGCTAAGGTTCACAATTCCTAGACACTCTCTTACTGTGAAGTGATCGATGATTGTGTCACATGATGCAAATATGTTCATTGTTTATTATCTTCACTAATCTTCATCTAATAACTTTCTGTCATACTCTCACATGTTTGTTGATTCTATACTGTTCTCTACGTTGATGAGTTTTTTTTTCTGCCTTGTGGCAACACCTATGTACAAAGCGCTATGCTGGCAGTCAGCATTGTTTTTGAGGTTGTGTCGTACCAGTTCAACTTTACAGTTTATATGAAGTCTTATATGTCAGTTGTATGCTTGTCTTGTATGAGAATTAATTAAGTATACTTTCAAGACTGAGCAAATTCATGAAGTCACTTAGATTCTAATCTCTAGAACATTCAAGTGATGATTTTCACTTATTCAAGTGTTGGTTTTAAGGAATTTGATTGGTTTCAGGATTTCATCATGAACTGACACCGGTTGTAGGACGAGTGGAAAAACCAGTAGGAAGTACTGAACAGCTGTTCCCTCCGTCCTAGTTTAAGACTTTTCAATATTACGCACCCAATGCCAGGGGTTGAACCTAGGACCTTCTGATTACAAGGCGAGCTCGTGGGCCATTCAGCAGCCATTGGGACCAGATCCAGTGGCCCATGAATTCCAACTTCTACCAATTCATGATATGGCACAACCACTAGCGAATGTCATCGCTGGCGAGTATTTGTCCTCACACTCGACCGACCTACTTTGTACCGCACTGGTCACGATTTCCCACTAGAACCCAGGTAACTATCTGCCTGACTTTCAGTGAATTGAAGAAGAGACCAATTGTCTGAGTACCACCTGTCGATTGGTTGACAAATCATCGTCATAGTGAACGAGCGCGAAAAGAACTGATCACTAGTACTTTTAGTTGATAATATGAAACAACCAGTTATGTATGTATAATAAAATAATTTGAAACAAAGAAATAAGTATGACTATAAGTTATTTATTCTGTTCTCAATAAATTGTGAATCAGGCGAAATCGACTAACAGGTATGTATAAAGGTTGTTAGTTCGAATCCTGTTGGCAACTAGATTTTCACTTCACTTCCAGTTATTATCATCAGTTCACATAATATACTACACTCATGTCCTTGAATTACATTGACTTCCAGTCCATGTTATAGACAGTATTAGTTTGAGTGTGGAACAGAGTAATCATTCCATCCCGTTAAATATTAAATAGGTAGGAGATATTCATTGTTTCCAATGTCTTCAGGATTTTTCAGAAACTTCAAATATATTGAACCGCTATGTTTACTTATTCGCTAATTTATTTTCATGTTTATTTTCTAGGAGTTAATTGAGTGTAGTCAGTCTATTGTAATTGGTTTACGTGGTTTAACACGTTTACTTATGGATACTTCATTGAAACCTCAACCTGGAGATACATTGTACTCTCGATTACGTCATCATTCTCGTCTTGGTACACCACATTTCTCTCACACAAAGTAAGCGATATTTATATATATATATATATATATATATATATATATAGAGAGAGAGAGAGAGATTCCTACTGCCAGACAATGAATTCATATGAACCACTCCTAATTCAACACTGTTATCTCTGGATTTAAGAAATACACCTAAAATGTTACCATTATGTCTCAAAATTCTCATAGAATTGCATTTTGTCCTGATCTTTATTTATTAAGTTTGTAACTAGGATACTCTCCAAGTTAATCTTTACATTGTTGTTAATTGATTTTATTTGGTGGATAATTGAAGAACGGAACCACATTTGCAACAAAGTTAGCTGAAATCGAGTGGAATCCCGATGGGAAGTGACGAGTGGGTTGTCGGTGCGACGATGACATAGAGGAGATCGTTTGGGGGAGGAAGAGATGAGAGATGGTGGGTAATCGTGAACGCAGCTGAAGAGGACGGCATAAAACAGAACAAAGTGGAGATGTGTTGTTGAAGCCAGCCCTATGTTCCACTTGGAACGTAAGGGAATAATATATAATAGCTGAAAATAAGGAAAATGAATATTCAGTTAGTATAATGCACAGATAACTTAGATGACAGCTTACTATCGGCTCTGAAATCTTACTTGTTGTTCTAGTAATGATAACTACTCCTTTGAGTGTTATCAATAATCTACTCAGATATTTTATATTTAATAGAGAGACAGAGAGAGAGTTAAATGTAGCCTACAAATAATTTATTCTAAGCAAATGTATGAGGATGTGTGCACAAGAAAGTGCACACATGAGATTCACACTTACATTATTTAATGAAAATCTTTATCGACGATAGAGTATAACAGATAAAGTTAATCTGATGAAAGTCAAAAGTGCATATAAAAATGAATAAGATTTCCAATTAGATGATTGGAGGCAATCAACAGCAACCCCCCCCCCCTTCTGAACACTACCCATCACTCACACCAGTCAGCAAATCGTATCGACAATCTTCAAAGAACTCATGTCTCCTCTGAGTTTTCAAATTGTGCTAGGATGCACATACTACTGACTAAGTGATACTTACAATTACTACGCCTTTGTTACTTTTTAGTTTTATAAAATAATTCTTCAGATAACTACACATATCAATTTATTTATGAATAAAGAAAATAAAAATTTACTCAGTGAAAGAATGTTCCCTTTTAGTGCCGTCATTTTCAATCTATCTAACTGTGTTTAAATTACGTAAGATAGTTGATATCATGAAAACTGCCTAGTAAATAATAATAATAATATTATTATTATTATCAATGATAATTATAATAATAACACCTTTATTCCAGACAGTATGTTAACACATAGTGTAACTGTAGAAGGCAAGGTATATTTCAAGTGATCAAACCGCTGCTTATATATCTGCAGTTTATGTTCGTTAACCAATCACTGAGCGTGTGATTTTGGTTTACACTAAACGATATGAAATAGAATGTTCAAATGCATATATAGTTTTCTGCTGCTAATGCAGTATTGAACTGTGAAAATATATGAGAATCATATTCCGCTGGAACACACTGTCTGTATCACACCACCACAACAGTACAGAATTCTCAGCGTATTTAAATTACAAAATATTCGTATGACACCACTCAATGAAATCCACAACAGTTAGCTGAAGCCACGTAGGAAGGTGTAAACTTCTTGGTTGGGGTCCTGGGAACGGTAAAAACCAATGAAGTCTGGAGACATTTTGTAATATGGCTGAAAATCGTTTTCAATGAATAGCACAGATACATCCACTGCTTGTGACTTATAATACCCAATAGAACTATATTGATCTTCGATATTACTATTCTTTTTGTCTCATATCCCTGTCTATTATTGGTGCAAAGTTCCATGTCTAAAACAGACAGACAGGCAGGCAAATTATTCACTCTTTGTATAGGATCTTCAAGTGAAAATAGTACTCAGTAGTACATCATATAACGTTATGATATTCTATCTGAGACAGTCAATATTCAATCGATTCGATTCCTCATTCCCACTGAAAGTGATCTGAATTACGTTGATAGTATAATGTGTTCGAGTTCATGTAGTGTTGAAAAATAAATATAATTAGATGATTAAAAAAAACAATTAGAAATTCAGAAGAGTTAATGCATTAGTAGTTGTAGATTGAAAGTGAATGAAATACAATACAGGAAAAGTTATTCGATAGATGAATTTGTTGTGGTGTGATAAAGACAATGTGTGCCACCGGAATATTATTCTCATATATATTCCCACAGTTCAATAGTGCATTAACAACAGAATACAATGTATATTTGAACATTCTATTTTATGTCGTTTTATGTAAACCGAAAATGCAAGCTCAGTGATTGATAAACGAATATAAACTGTAGATATATAAACAGCGGGAAGCGGTGAGTTAGTAGTCAATGCGAGGGTGACATGGAGGAGGTGATGTGAAGAGGAGATGAAAGCATATGGGGAGATGTGGAGCCAGGTGGAAACGTTAGCAGAGAACCGAACGCAACGGAGACATGTGGCTGAAGCCCTATGTTCTTCTAAGAACTAAAGGAAACATTAATAATACCTTGGCTCCCGTATCTTGCCTTCTGTTGTTACAAATCGATATCAAGAGATATAAAGTCAATCAAATGCTATACTGATAACAATGATGACCGAGGAGATGAATGGTAATTAATCAGAAAGAACATCACTAGGACTAATATGAAGAAAGAGAAGACATTTAGAAATATTGTGAATGCAGAGTTTACGTTTCTGTTCATGTATGGCTAATGCTTCAGAATACACAAGTTATGAGAGTGTAGGCTTCTGTAGTGGTTAGATTTAGCTATGTAGATAACTTCAAATTGGTAGGTAAGTGGCATTAATTGAGAAATTGTTCTCAAGTAGACTGACTGACTGACTGACTGACTAACTGACTGACTGACTGACTGACTGACTGACTGACTGACTGACTGACTGACTGACTGACTGACTGACTGACTGACTGACTGACTGACTGACTGACTGACTGACTGACTGACTGACTGACTGACTGACTGACTGACTGACTGACTGACTGACTGACTGACTGACTGACTGACTGACTGGTTTCAACACAGAACTTTGCGCAGATGTGCACCACTTCGAGTCGCCACACTCCACGTAACACACAAAGCAAGAGAAAAAGTAGAAGAAACGCATAATACAGACAGTAGACAGGGATATGAGACAAAAGGAATAATAATAACGAAGAACAATGTAGTTTAATTGGTTATTATAAGTCACAGCTAGCCATTGAGAACGGTTTTGAGCCATATCACCGATTGTTTCCAGCCTTCATTGGTTTTTACCGTCGCGAGTACTTCAACCAAGAAGTCTACACCTTCCTACATGGAGTAAACTAACTGTTTTGGATTTCATTGACTGATGAGGCTATGTTTTGGTCTGACCACCACTGGCACTTTTCCAACCTGACTCTATGTCAGCCGACATTTCCCGTCTAGGAAGGCGATGGCTAAGCATGCATGCGTAACAGATGTCGTAGCCATCTCAATCGATGTAACTTCACAGTCTCGTCGATTGATTTCCCTTCCTCCTTCGCTACCTAGCACTCGACACCTAACCTCAAATAGAAAATATGGCAAAGTTGAAGTATCATAGCTAAAATCAAGGTCTATCAAAGTTGACCTTGAAGGGCCTGTCATGAATTAGCAACAAGAAACTCTGTCTGTCAACAAACCAATCAAGAGCCAATCGCTCAATAAACATATAGCAGAAAGTTGACATGGATTGTGCATACATTGAGGAGGCCTTCGGATAACACTGTGCGTCAGGCCATCACTGGAGTGGAATCCCGACGGAACGTGACGAGTTGGCAGTCGGTGCGAGGCTGATATGGAGGAGATGAGAGACTATGGGCAACCGTGTGGGTAGCCAGATGGAGAGGACAATGGAAAATTGGACGAAGTGGAGATGTGTTGTTGAAGCCGTATAGTCCACTCGGAACCCAAGGAAATAATAATAATAATAAGGATGTATTATACTTACCTGAATATCTTATTGTTGTAATTGTTTCCATAACTTTTTCGTCCTTTAATGTTCTACCCTTTAGTAATAGTGTAACAACAGAAGATAAGGGCCAGGCAACAGGTCATCTACATGCTAACTGTATCCGCCTACCCAAAGCCTTTCTTCTCATTTTTCTCACGACCAATATTGGAGATATAAACATTGACGTAAATTGCTGTCTACCAACTTTGGCTAGCAGCCAGCTCGCACCACAGTAGTATTATGAGTAACCCTGCTAAATGTTGAATTGTATATGGCATGATATATGATAGGAAGTATCTACCTAGCCAACCTACCTGGTCTGGAGTTCGATCCCCGGCCGACTCACCCCTTTACCTCGGTTAGGCCAGTAATAAGACTGAAAAAGAGGGAAGGTTGGACATGAGGCTAGCAACCCCATCCCGTAAAAACAAAAACCGCTGCTGCCGAAATTTCAAGCCTCTAGCTTGAAGCTCTATGTTCCACCGGGAACGCAAACGAACAAGAAAATAATTAAAAAGAATTTTTTTCGAAAATTATACCAGTTGGCTAGTGGAAATGAAGACAGACCCTGCTTAATGGAGCTCCGATCTGATAACTATAAAACCACTGCTGATTTGATTCAATCTTACCAATAAATTAGGCTTTCCTTCAAAGTCATTCATCTATCCTATTTAGTTAATCAATGTTGTAGTTTATTTCTAGACATTTTTCATCTCTTTTTTTTAACACGAAAGTTTATTTACTTTTGCTTTATCTATCAATATAAAGGCTTGGTCGAAAGCTGATCTCATTGTTATCCTTTATTGAACGAGAACGGGATTACTTAAACAAGTCTAGTGAATATGCTACAGTTAAAAATTCAATACATTCTGAATACAGTATGAATAAATTCAATGAAACAGAAGACTTAGAAATGATCAATTTGGAACGTTTAACTGATTCATGCATTACAGATGGTCCGAGTCAATTTGCAGTGGATTGGTCAATTCGACGTTTAAATATGCGAGAAACTATGAATTCCAGTACAACAATACGCCGGCCTTTATCAAATGAATACATTCGGGAAAATGATAAAAGTCATTCTACACTGAAATCACCGAGTAAGTTTATGGCTTTCAAGTTATTTGCATAGTTACTACATCATTGGTATTCGTAACTCTGAATGAGTGGAACTGCCTTTCTGATGGTTGTATCACCTTGATATTTCTGTTTAGTAATACTATTCAATTCGACTGATCACAATCGATACTATATATGTCGTACAATTTCAGCTACTTTCTCCTGTATATTATGATAAAACGTGGACTGAATTATTTTGGAGTTGAAATTGTGTAGCCGTTGTTGTAAGAGACACACTGCATGTTCTGCTTCGAATAAAATACATTCGTTTGACATACTGATTAGCCACTGTGGAGTAACCAATGCCATATTGTAACAACAAAAGATAAAGGCTAGGAAATAGATCCTTTATTAAGGAAATCAACACATATTTATATATTTTCATGTACATTATTATAGATTATTGTTAGCAAAAAAACACCGTCTTCTAATTGGTGGTTTCTCGCTGAAAGTTAATCTTTCATCTCTGTGGCTGTTTCTTGAATGTCAGATCATCTATATGCCAACTGTATCCCCCTACGCAAAGTCTTTATTCTCATTTTTCCCACGACCAATATTAAGGACATAAACATTGACGTAAATTACTGTCCATCAATTTTGACTAATAGCCAGCTCTCATCACAATATCATCTAGCCATTATTTCTGGCCGAGTGCTGCCAGTCGGCTTTATAATGTAGTTACAAATCTAGATAACTCATCGTCGCAGTGCATTTCTAACCGGTGTTGGATTCTTTTATGCGGTCATCAGGAAGCTCTGGTCAACGATTAGGACTGGACAACATAATACTATGCAATATCTAGTGGCCAGTGGCCAGTCAATATATTCACCAACACGATCTTGCAACAGTTTGACCGCTACCCGAATAAATCCGTAGCATTGTCTCTGACTAAAGTTTTGAGTGAAACGCGCTCAAATCTTCGAAAGGACATTCATCTTATCGTTCTTGCAGATATTGCTTACTGATGAGTAACAATAAACATGAAACTTGGGTCCAGGATGCTTCATAAACTTCCTCATTTACAGAAGTTTTCGTTGGTAGTCTTGTTCCAAGATGAAAATAGACCCGTCTAAGTAGACGCGATATCCGGCTGTCGACCAAAGGACATGTATACTGCTCATTAGTTCACTCCATCCTCCTTTATAGCTGAAAGTGGAAAACATGAAAAGTCTGACTAGCTGTCTTTGGTCATAGATGTCTCAGTTAAATCTCCCATATTATTTGGTATAATAGGGTGAGTAATTTTGAGGTTAAGCTTCGGTTAAGTGGTAGGTAAGGAGGGGAAATCAATCAATGAGGTTGTTAAGTTACGTCATCAGTCGATAAAATTCACAACAGTTAGTTTGAGCCAACCACATAGAGTCCTCGGAATGACAAAAACCATTAGCTGGAAATAATTAGTGATACGATTGAAAATCTTTCTCAATGGATGGCGCAGATGCATTCACTCACCCCCTTTGTGATTTATCGTATCCAATAGGACTCTGTTGTTTTCCACATTACTCTTCTCTTTTCCTCACACTTCTGTTTATTATCTGTCTCTCTTTTGAATATCTGTTAACTCTCTTCTCTTGTTGACACTTTGTCAAACAGAAGCATGATTCACAAACCATCGGATTTTTAACAGTCGATGTTGTAAAATTCATATAATTCCAAAATATTTACGCATTCGTACTCCAATTACTTCAAGAAAAATAACATCAGTAGCTGAACATGTCAGTAGATTATGTCTAAGAGCACTACATCGAATTACTGTGAAACTAAATAATATACGAAATGAAATCGAAAAACTCAAATGTATGATCGACGACAAAGATTATGTAATTGTTATTCAAACATCCAAAAAAGTTTAGAGATTCAGCATTAAGAAAATCAAAAATCACGCAAATCAAAAAATTCAACAAACTAATTGAAAAAAAAGAACACAACAAATGAAATTGATGCCAACGCTTCATCCTCTATCGACACAACAAAGTGGGTGATCAACCTTTCATGATGAAGGGAACTAATCTATAGTCAGATAGAAGTACTTGAGAAAGGACTAACAGTTAATAAATTAAAACCAGAGGGTGTCATTCCTAACATAGAAGTAGCCACTAAGTTCAGTAGATAAGATGACACCAGAAGAGGTTCGAGTACAGTGTGTATTAACCCTGAAAAAATAAAAAAAAGAAGGCAAAATCCTAATTTAACAAAATCAGAAAGAGAAGCTTTAATTAGTCTAAAACACAGGATAAAAACATTGTCATCGCGAAAGCTGACAAAGGAAACTCTTCTCTTGTTTTGTGTGTTACAAGAAGTCAGTGTGGCAGCTCAAACTGGTAGGCATCTTTGCAAAGTTCTATGTTGAAATCAGTCAGTCAGACGCCTAAGTATTTGCCTAGTCCACCTCAAATCATTTCCAAGTATAAGTAAGATGGGATGGAACAATAGTCCTCCACAAACGTTAGAACTTTAAATTCCTGCCACAATTTTCTTTTCTTCTTCTTCTTCTTCTCCTATTCCTTTGTTTCGTTGACAAAAGTTCATTCTTGACTTTTTATAATTTCATGAACTTTCATATGATCTTATAAGCCTAGATTCTATTACCTTAGGTTTAAGTAGTGTTTTTTTAACTTGTTATCGTATTTACAAAATTACAAAATCATTTACTAATAGTACTTTTAAGTTTACACCACACAATCATTATTATTATCGTTAGTCGCAACCATTCGTTGGTTTATTTCCATATTGTCTCACACACTCTGAATGCACTCACTCTCGGAACCTGTATTCTCTGTTGACGATATATATATATATATATATTCCTCCCCTCCCCGTTTTCGTTGACTGCAATTTTCCAAATATTCATTATAAGCGTTAGGTCATTTCGATTACACATTTTCTGTTTTTGGTGTTGAGTCATTGAACAAACATTTGGCTTAAAGATAAGAAAAATAGTATAATTTACTAAATACTATGTTATGACTGTAAAGTAAGTTATATTAAGGTCAAAATACCAGATCGGAATCAATTGGATTACTGGAACGGAAGAATTTACCTACACAGCCATAATGATCCTGCTAAGTTAAATAATCTCGAAGAAAAACCAAGTAATTCCATATTAGTTTGTTTATTAGATGTATCACACAGTGAAACAGTATTACTGTTTACTGGATGACGAAGCTTCGAACACAATCTATTATTGTTCATAATCATATCATCAATTATAGTCACACGACTTTGAAACTTCAGTTTTATAGTTTCCTTTGTTCTCTCCTATTTGTCGTCGTTGGGGTACTGGAATTTTCCAGATATCCTACTGGACAGGTGTTGAATCATTCCTATTACTCGCGTTTGCAGTTGATTCGATAAACAAAGTTTCTGTTATGAATCTCTCCCTCCACCCTGTGACATTAGATTTTAAAACTGTCATCCTATCCCATCCAACTTATTGTGTGGTTGTGTGTAATAGCATGTAGTGCTATCTACGGCTAAACTATTCTATAGATTTCTTTTCTTATTCGGGTCAACTAATCTAGATTTTGCTGATAGGTTTTTATGCTCGGTTAGTCTGACTGACTGCCCCTGTTCTACTACTTTGACCTATGTATTTGACCTGACAATCATTGCGGACAGAGTAATAGATAAACTAAATTGTTTGCTTCGTTGGTTCCACTGGCGGGATCCTCTAACCGACAAAGCTTGTTTCTAATTGAGTTTGTGGGTTTCAATACCAGCCAGTTATATACCTGCCTTGTTAAGAATTCTGCGTAAGGTGGTTTCCGAGGTGCCTTCCTAGTATGGGATTACTACTTATGATTCACATTCCCTTTTGTTGGTGTGTTGCCGAAGTCGTGTGATTATAACTGATGATATGATTATAAACAATAAATTGTGTTCGAAACGTCATCCAGTAAACAGTAATACTGTTTCACTGTGTGATACATCCAATAAACAAACTAATATGGAATTACTTACTACCACAGGGCCCAAGTTTTACACATATATAAATCAAATCATTTTCTGTTCAACTACTCATCTCTAAAAGACGTGTGCCATAATCCAGTTTTGGAATAGAAGCTAGTTTATTGTTTGTTTTTTTGTATGTGTGTAAGTCAACATTTCTCCAAATCCATTTCAATGTTTATCAACAAAGCAGACTATCAGCTTTCTTCAATCAACAATTTTTTCTAAATAAAAATAACCTACATTTTCAGGTTTAACCGGACTAAGTATCCAATTATAATGTATATGTATATATATGGTGTATTTTACCTTTGATTGATAAGATTGCTATAAATTATAATACATAGGCAACGCTCGCTTATGCATCGTTTTTATCCACTGTGACCTTGACACATATTGAAAAACATGTAAAACATTGAACCCTGAATTTTTGCTTCTCACTTCTTTATTGTTTGTTTTTTTATCCGTGGAAGAAATGTTTCCTTTCTTTTGTCTTTGTCTAACATGAAATTGATAAAGCAATGAAGAGATAGGGCGGGAGAGAGAGAAATACAGACATATGGATGGATGACTAATAAACTCTTGTTTGTTTATTTGCTTCAATTTGCGATTGCCTTCACTGAAAGAGACATTCTATAGTTTTGTGGGAGTTTTCTGCCTTTCTTCTTTATTTTATTTTTGTCTTCTTTTGCTAACTTTCCTTGTTGTTGTTGTTGTTGTTTCCGCTGTCTTATTTACTATGTTGTTGTCTGTGTATTGTCGGACAATTGTTTGTTAAAACAAAAATAATAATAATAGTAGTAGTAATAAAGTATTTTTTTTAATACATGATTCACATGGAGTTGTTTATGCGTATTAAATCGTATATAGACGAAATAGGACGACTATGGATGTGATGCTGCTGATGATGATAAGTTATTTACTATTATTTATTTATTATCCTAGGCGAGTTTGTTTGTCTACTGGTATGAAAACAAAATTAATGCTTAAGGAAGACTTTGCCTTGCTGAGAAGGGCACTAAAAGCCGTTAGTAGGGCAAGTGGGATATCGTTAAACCAACTGGTTAACACTATTGTGGATAGACATATAATGTCATGTAAGAAACTAGCGAATACAATATTGTCAGACCCCGAGCATCCTCTCTATACGCAGCTCTCTCCTTGCATTTCATCTGGTAGAACTAGAAGCAGCTATAGGAGGCTATATGCTAGGACTACCAAATACACAAACTCCACAATACCATATCTGGCACAGCTGTTATGTGATGAGAAATCCATTGGGTATGACACGATAAACTTACAGCGGCACTCTAACAAATAGTTCCATTAGTTTTTGTTTTCCTTTCCTCGTTACTATTACACTGTTGTTCTTATCTTCTATTACACACCAATTTTATACTTCATATCCTGTGGTGTATTGTTTAAAATGTAAACGCAACGCTGTTCTTTTTATTTATCTTTTTTTGGGTGTTGCTTTTTGATTTTAAAATCTTATAAAATTTATGAGGTATTTAGATGCAATATATTGTAATGCACGTTGAAAATTCCATACCTGTACTACAAATACTGTTTGGAATAAAGCTGTTATTATTATTATTAAAAACTTGACTGTTCATTCTAAAAAACAAAAAGAAAAAGAGAGAGGAAAAATCGATGGAGAACTCGGGGTACTCAGACGAATCCTCACTGAAAATGGACATCCTTCAAGATTCATCGAGAAAAACATGAAAGTAAAGCAAAAAAAAAGAAAAATCCAAAAGAACCCAGATGGTGTGTTGAAGAAACTTCTAATTCTATGAATGTTGAATTTAGAAGTGATACTGCGGCTGAGATTCTGAAGAATCGCTTATCCAGATCATTGAGAAAAGCCCTCTTTTCGGATCAATTTCTAGTGCTGACAAGTGATCAATGGATGTGTGAAGGATAAACTGCCACTTTGGACAGGCCACTTCATTGTGTGTTTATAAGTTCACCTGCTCCTGTGAAGCTAGTTATATTGGTCGCACAAAGCGACTGCACACTTTCCAAACGCATCTCTGAACATTATTCGGCGTTCTTAGCAAAACGATAATGCAAGACAATTACTAGCTCAATTCTCGAGCACTTGATGAACTCAAGCCACGTAGCTCCACTAGAGTCGTCTTTCAAGATCATCTACAAGGTGAGGCCAAATGGTACAAAGGGCGTCAGGTTTCAGAATTTGTGTATGGCAGAGGCATTGGCAATTCGTCAATGCAACACTGAACTCTGTATACAGAAAAAGTTTTTCCAGTCTCTTATTCTACCTTGATCTTAACGTCTTCACTAGTAGTTCCCTGTAAAAAAAATTTAGTTTTTTTAAACTGTCAATTTTACTCTAAGTTTGCTTTTACTCTAATAATTAATTCACTATTATCACTCTCATATGTTCTTTTTGTACATTTTCACACCCCCTTCACAATTGTTAAATTGACATTCAACTACCTTTCTTCTCACTCAATAGCAATTTTAACCTTATCAAATTTCTAACTTTGTGCCATTGAGTACCACGTAATTTACAATTTTAATTTTTTTTTTACTTCTAAAGCCACTTCCAAGTAATTATATCAATTATGTCATCCCCTATTACTCACTAATAGACTACTATACATTTTTGGTAAATATAAATACTACTGTACAGCCTCTAAAGATGATTTCGTCGATAAAGAAAATTTTCTTCGCTGAATTTGTTTTTTATCATACTCTCTGTAACATGAATTTTTTTAAGTGAACAACATTCTCAGCATTGATCGATCGCCACCAGATTACTTGTTTTTGCCTAGTACTTTCTTTATGCTGAACAAGATGCATAATTTTCTTTGTTGGTATTAGGTAGTTAGAGGCAATCGGCCACAGGAAGCCTTGGACCTAGGTTTCGTTTTGGTTGGCACTCATCAACAAGGCGCATCTGCAACCCTGAAGGAACTCATGTCCCTCCTTCTGAGATTCGAACCCGCGTCACTCAGTGCAGCCTGCAGTCAGAGACGTTACCACTCGGCTATTCAGGCTCGCGATGCACAGTGCACCATTATGGCGAGCCACCTAGCATGGTGGCCACATTGCAAACTTGACAGATAGAATTCAGTCTGCACCGAAGATAGGACTAGACACATTACACTAGTTACTGACTGTTGTCCAATCGAAAATAATTTGCTTTATTTTACTAATGAAATAATAACAGTAATAATGATTAATCTATTTATCATACAATTATTTTTCTGTCTAATACATCTCTAGTTTCAAAATTGAACCATCGAACAGTGAACAATTTAACACTACAAAGTTATGAAGATCCATTATTCTCATGTCTACAATCCTTACAATTATTTTATCATTCATGCCTGAAACCAGAACCATTCCCTACACGACCTAATAATGAAGATATGCATAGTCTATTATTGGGTACTTCAAAACTTGTTGATCTACTTACATCAAATCCAAATGTTATTTCATCTTCTGTGTTGAATAAAGCGTCAACAGCTAAACAAGCTAAACAAATTAATGCAGCACCATCGATAAAAGGACCTGCTTTTGATGTATGGCAGTCAATTCTTCAATCAGCTATTATTTTATCGGATTTGTTTACCACACAAGAACAGTTCATCTGGTTAAATGATCATTTGCAAGATGGTAAGGCGTATGTCTTTTCATCATCATCTTTTTTCATGAGTACCGACCATGCATATGGTCCGAGGTTCGATCCCCTGCCGACGCACACCTGATATCTATGGTTGGCCTGCGAAATTTGGGCTACCGATATCCATGCTGAAAATTCCATACTTGTACCGAAAATACAGTGCGGAATCAAGCTGTAATCAAAAATAAAAAACAAAAATAAATTTTTAAAAAATGAGTTTCTTTTCCGCCCAGTATAATGGTAGGTATCGGTAACTAGAAACGAATCATACCCTGCCTCATCTGTGGCCATCGAAGTCAGTAAAACTTAATGACACCTTTGTGTTTCAAATACCCCTCTGTCTAAAAGGTGTACACATATGACATCATCGCCATTATACTTTTCGAAAAGAAAAGGAAAGAAGACTAAGGAGAATAACATGTTTTTTTCCTGGTTTTGTTAAATTTATAATGATTGCTAAAAAATCTCAATATTGCATTATTGTCTTAACTTATTATAATATTATTCCCTTAGGTTCCGAATGGAACATAAGGGGCTTCATCTCCATTTCATCCTGTCTTCTGAAGTCGTATTTGGCTGGCTACTCTACTGACCATAAGCTCTCAACTCCTCCGTACACGATCTACTCCATGTCACCCTCGAACCTACACTCAACTAGTCGTTTCCGATTCGGGTCCCACTCGAGTAATGGCCTGGCCTGTGATGTCATTCAACGATCTCCTCGGAGTGTGCCCCATCCATCTCCACATTTCTCGTCATATTAGTTGAGTGATTGATTCTTGGTTGGTTGGTTGCCAGAGTATTTGTCGCCTATACTTTCAAACCAGTCATTTGATATTGAGTGTGAAGCCATTGAAGACAGCTGCTGATGGAAGTGTGCAGAAGATTGTTGGAAACAGTTTTAGTGATGCTCACGCCACTTCTCAGAACCACGGAATATACGCATTGGATCATAGGAATTATTAAAAAAACGGTTTCAGCGAAGAAAATTTTCTTTTCGACGAAGTTATCAACTAGGCTGTACATTAGTTTAAATATAATAAACGGATAAGAAAGTTCCAGAATAGTTTCCACTCAAGGGTCAAATTAACAAAATTACAACTAGGAATTAAAATGCCATAGTAAACAGGGGGACGGATAAAACTCAAACAAAGTAGCATCATAATTACTGAGAACCACATGGAAGCACTATTCGACTTGACTTGAGATCAGTGCTGAAAATCCTAACCTTATTCTTTTTGGTTATTAGACTAGATTTGTAGACTGATTTGAAGTGTGTGCTACCTTTTCTATCCTGGCTGGCTGGTTGGTTGGCTTTGAAATGTTCATCCATTCTGCCTGTAGTGGATAGGAAGCTGTCTGGATAAGTGAAGGAAGTGACCTCGTCCAGATTTCTCTCGTTGTTAGTGATCGGTTATTGTTTGTTTGTTTTTTTTCGGCTGTTTTCGGTGAAGTATCTTCGTCACCTCTGTCTCCTCTATATCCTGTCTTCACCTCCTGCCTCTGCAACCAACTTACAGATTTTCGAGTTGGTGTGACAGTGGACATATACCCTCCGCGAAGTTCAGATCTTCTAGAGTCTTGTTGTTGATCTAATTTCCTCTTGTCTTCTCCCCCCTCCCCCAACAACCTGCATGCATGATCCTGTCCATCATAGCCAGGAATGTAATCGGCGATAGTATACAGCCTTTTATTACTCCCGTCTTCACTTCTAAGGTCGTGTGTTAGGGGATTATAAGTGAACTAGAACAATGGCATAATTGTCACAAAGTATTCTGAATGGCTGAACAACATACAGCATAGTTCGACCCCTAACCAATGTCTTCGGTGAGTATTTCTCCTCACACCTGACCTGCTGCACCCTACTGATCACGACTTCTCACTAGAACCCCAGGTAACTACCTACCTGAATCGAACTCCTTTGGGTGCATACTGATGAAGAGTCCCAAACTAGGACGAAACAGCTGTCCAGTACTCTCAGGTTTTCCAATCGTTCTTTAACTAATGTCAACTCATGATGAAATCCTGTAACCAATCAACCAAATCCCTACAAACTAACACTTGAATACAGCACAGTGTCTAATCCCTCTTAAACAGACGTATCTTATAAGTAATTAGTCAGGGACATACTTTTTTTATACTAGTTTTTGTTGTGTTCAGTAAACATTCTTTTTAAGAGCTAACCATTATTTAATTTCATGTGTTCTCTCTTTTTTTCGTTATTACATTTCATCATATGATAAAAATAGCCGTGAAACAATTGCCAACATGGAGTGAATTCCAATGCCCGATTCATGCATGGTTAGCATTAGGTATTGCAAAATGTACTGCAGTCTTAGAATTACTTAATAGTTCACCGAATAATTCACATGTTCTACAATCGAATTCACTTGAACCAGCTGTGAAACAAACATTGAATACAATTAATTCTAGTTTATTAACTGTACAAAATGCTGGTTTGCATAGTTCTATGTATTTATTACATGCTGCCTTATTGATTAGAACACAACCACATCAACAACAATTACAACAGCATAGTCCACCAACTGGTTCACCTTTGTTAAATGATCTTTATACACAGGTGAGTTTATTTTTTAAGAATTTTCCGATTGGTAGTTTCCTGCAAATTATAAAATTTTGTTGGTTGCCCCTGAGGAAAATAACCTTGGATGGAGTGCGTTTGCTAACCTGATCATCATTTCACTGAAATCATCACGAGTTCTGTCCATCTATCATACAGATGAGTGATTCGTAACTGTCCATTTCCACGGTATCTACCCCCCAACTATTTTTTCTCTTGGCGATTCTCATTTGCACTGATTTAGGTAAGCAGTAGTAAATTGGAAATGTGTCTTCATTGGTTCAGACACTCGACTATCGGTCAATAAGTACTGTGCTCAAATCATACTCCAGCCACTGCACGCAATATGTATTGAGTCATAGCCTGATGTATGGAAAATGCGTTTCGGGTATAAAGGAGTTTTAATGGAGCAGTAGTTTGCAGGCTGATCATTCGGAACTCGCCATAATTGTGGTTTTCATTTTATCTTCAATCACCGTTGATTATATCATAATCAATCTGCCAAACCAAGGCTATCTCATAATTTCACAATTTATTATTATTATTATCACCTCGATTGTCATCAATTAATTCACACCTCACATTCTATATTTTTTTAACCATATTAATTCAAGCGTTGGTGTGCGAGCGGGAGAGTGCTCGCTGACCACGCCTCAGGTGGTCCGGGGTTCGACCCCCGGCCGGCGCACTTCTTTACCTCACTCAGCCAGAAGTAAAGCTAAATGAAGAGGAAAGGTTTGGCATGAGGCTAGCAATCCCATCCTATAAAAATAATCACCACTGCTACAGAAACTTCAAGCCTCTAGCTTAAAGCCCTATGTTCCACTGGGAACGTAAAGTGAAGTGAAGGTGCCTCACTAACCTGAAAAATAGTATTAACTGTAGTAGGGGAGTAAGATTGTAACAACAGAAGACAAGGGCCAGGCAACAGATCGTTTTATTATGAAAATCAACACGTATTTATACATATTTCACATACATTATTACAGCTTATGCAAGTAGACAAGCGCAGTCATCTGATTGGTTGTTTATCAGAAGTTAGGCAGACAAACGCAGGCTTCTGATTGGTTGTTTCGGGATTACTCGACAAATAGAGTTCTCTATCTGCGAATCATATTTTGCCACGTTCACTTTGCTGTGATTGGTTGTTGAATCAGCCTTGCTCATATTTTCTCACGGCCAGCTCTCACCACACTCGTCCCCCCGTCAAATACGTGCGACTGAAGTCGGCTTGATCTACTTGGTGCAGGCGTCATCGTTGGCTTCTCTCGCTGTATCCATTTCTGGAGCTCGCTGACGTTCACGCGCCACTCATTGTTCGCCATTGCGATTGTGTCTGCGTAATCCCATCTCGAAGTGACCATATGTGGTCCTTCCCACTTTGGAAACTGTTTGCCTGACCCTGTCGAACATTCGTCGGTATTTCGTCTCACACTTTCATATGCTGCTTTCACCCGACCTCCCAGCAGCGTCCCAAGTAGCAGCTCCATCGCTGACAGATCTTGAACGCCACTCAACTGCGCAGAAGCCTTGACGTCCTGCCCGAAGATCCATATATCTCCATCAAAAACAGCAGGGCATAGGTTTTCCATTTGTCGGTAGGCAGCGACACCAAATGTAACAACAGAAGACAAGGGCCAGGCAACAGATCGTTTTATTATGAAAATTAACACGTATTTATACATATTTCACATACATTATTACAGCTTATGCAAGTAGACAAGCGCAGTTATCTGATTGGTTGTTTATCAGAAGTTAGGCAGACAAACGCAGGCTTCTGATTGGTTGTTTCGGGATTACTCGACAAATAGAGTTCTCTATCTGCGAATCATATTCTGCCACGTTAACTTTGCTGTGATTGGTTGTTGAATCAGCCTTGCTCATATTTTCTCACGGCCAGCTCTCACCACAAGATGATGAAGGTGATGTGGGCAGAGGAGAATGATGCTCAGGAAAGCTTCGTGTGCTTTTGGAAATGTGTGGGTGGTTGTTACTTCCCGGCTGCCCACACCGTGAAAGTTGATTGATTCCTCAGGTACCTGAAACAGAAAGAGGGTTAGTGTTGCGTGACCACAGAGTGCAGGGGACAGCTGCTCGAGGCCGGTCATACACGGCCTGTATGAACTGTTTTCTTGGTTTGGTTCCGTATTAGTAAACTTATCGCCAGTTACGGACCACCGCAGGTTAAGTCGGGATGTACAATTTTTGGGGTCGACCTTTTCTAACACTCTCTCTCTCTCCGGAGTGGAGAGACAGCGTAGCTGGCATGCTGGTCATCTGAGGGGAAGACCTTACTGTTGTTACATCCTTGTTCCCCAGCAGTACGGCTTCGCCCTCAGACCCCCAGGATAGTGTAAGAAAGATTCTTACACAATGCCCGTAACTGCTTTTAGTCTAATCGCTATCCTAACAACCTTCCTGGCATGGTAGGACCTACAGGAACATTGGTTCCAGCTGTTAAGTTTGAAATTTGGTCACCATGCTCAGACGGCTCATCATCCCGGTGAACTCTGTATTGTTTTTATTACATCGTTAGTGGCAATCGGCAGGATGCCATGTCTGAACTAGATTGCCTTTCTTTATCAACAGTCTTGATGGAACTCATGTCCCTTTTGAGATTCGGACTTGGGTCACCCAATGCTGCAGTCAGGGATGTTACCAGCGAGCTATTTATGTTCGCGACTGACCTCCTGTAGGACTGTGATAGGTATTGGTTGCAGTGCTGGGTTATCTTGATTCAAATCTCAGTGACATGAGTTCCTTCAAGATAGCACAATACGCCTTGCTGACGAGTGCTGACAAGCACGAAACCTAGGTGAAGTAAGGTTTCCTGCCGATAGCCTCCAACCATTTGACAACAGTGAATACCTACTGGGTTTTATAAAACTGAATTGATAACTGTGCGAACCTTGTAGCATTCATATCAGTGTCGAACTTTACTCAATTGAACATGCAATAAGGAGTTTACTAATTCAGTCTGTGTGTTGCATAAACACCTCATATCTCGTGATTCCCTGAAAGGGCTTTAGAAGTTCATCTTTTTAGTCGGTAAAACTCAACGCTTTCTTTAATTTAATGTATTTATTCAAAAGTACTGAAATCATCTTCTCTTGAAAATTAATCCTTCGTTTTGGTTAGAAAAATGGAAAGCAGTCTCATCAATCTAGTCTGGATCGTTATTCATACCTACTTATAAAAATTCTCTTGTGATAAACAAAGAGGAATTATATTAGCTAACACTGACTCAGATCCTAGGGTCAATAAGGATTAAACTCTTCTTACTGTTGGTTGGGAATCACAGTCATAAGGGACTCAGTTGGAGTTCAACTCCCAGATGACCGTGTATTCATCAAATCTTCCCTCTTTCTCAGGTTTCAGTCAATGAAACACGTTGGATGTATATTTAGTTATTTACACTTATTCAATGAAACACAAACTTTGTAGGTTATGGCCACCAAGATACTCGACACACAATATCCTATAGTTTTCGCGAGGGTTGGGATACTGTCCGGATGCCCAAAAAGAAGCACTAGGTTGTCTCAGGGGGCCAACCTCTCCTCCGAGCAGTGGCTTGAAGCCTGGTCCACAAGTCAATGGAGCTGCGTTGCCATGACTGCCGGTGACTAAAACAAATTCATACATCATTCGATTCGTTCGGATTCTGGAGCTCGTAAGTTTGGAATCAGGGTTTTCCAGCTCCTCTCCTAGGTAAATCTACACTTTCACTAGTCCACCTGTAAATGTTAGATATTTGAAGTGTCCGTTTCGCTTATGCGAGAAAAATCCCTACCGCATGAAGGCAGTGAATGGGACTAATCTAGCAGAGGTAATGAACTTGTGACCACATGAGAGCATTTCACGAGGAAAGCAGAAGTCAACTCCCCCTTGACCGTGCCAGATCGTTTATGACTGTATGTTCGCAGATAAATATTGCGTCTCCTTTATATCTAATCATATTTTTTCTATTTTGTTTGATATCATACTAGTAATGAAATAATTAAAGTAAGATATAAGACATAACTATCTATGGATTTTTAATAGTGTTACGAGTAACACTGGAAAATCTGTATTCATTTTAAAAAACACCTAAGTCATCATATCTTCACACATATTATCATTTATCATCATTTCCACAGTTTTCTCTTTTGAATTGGTGGATAGTGACTAGCAGTGGAATCCAGGATGCGCATTTCGTCCTATTTGGGACTCGTCAGTTGGACGTACTTGCATTCCTCAGTGAGTGATGATGTTCCCACTGAGGCTCGAACCCAGTGCCCATAGTTTCAAACACCAAAGCGTTATCCACTAAATCACTTGGGCCACAAGAGCCACCTCTAATTACATGCCCAGACATTGTTGAAGCATCTGCACAAGAAACCGACATGTCAACCTGAGACCGAGCACTTCGGTCCAATCAATCGATGGGAAAATTTAAAATTCAATTAAATAGTTTTCTCTTCTGGCCTATATTTGTTTTGTTTTGTTTTTGTGCTGTTTCTTTTCATTTCCTAATATATTTCAATTCTTCAAAATTATAGCTATGCAGTTATTTGGAAAAGAAGCTCAGTACTATATTTTGCACGTCAACAACAACAACCAATACAACTAATTTATTAAGCAATGAAACATCAGTTAACCAAGAATTGTCGCTTTCATTGATGACTGGATCATCTGGTATGAAAAAACTTATGCAAGCAGTACTTCATCCAGGTGCAGCTAGTAAAATTTCTATGAATTCACACATGGAAAGAGGATGTAAGTACTTTTCTTTAATATATGTGTAAAACTTTGGCACTGTGGTAGTAAGTGATTCCATATTGGTTTGTTTATTAGACGTATCACACAGTGAAACAGTATTACTGTTTACTGGATGACAGTTTTTTGTTCATAATCATATCATCAATTATAATCACACGACTTTGAAACTTGAGTTTTATAGTTTTCTTTGTTCTCTCCTATCTGTCGTCGTTGGGGTAGTAGAATTTTCCAGAATTCTGGATGGACGGGTGTTGAATCATTCCTATTACACGTATTCATTCCATACTTGTACCAAAAATACAGTGTGGAATCAAGCTGTAATCAAAAATCAAAAAAAATCTCAGTTGATTCGATAAACAAAGTTCCTGTTATCAATCTTTCCTTCCACCCGGTTGTTAAGTTAGATTTTAAAACTGTCATCTTATTCCATCCAACCTATTGCATGGTTGTTTGCAATTGCATGTAGTGAGTGCTATCTACGGCTGAACTATTCCCTGAATTTCTCATCTTATTTTACCTCCAACTGTGTAAAAATTGTGAATTTATTTGCCAGTTGAGAATTTGATTTGTGATGTTATCAATTTGCCCAAGTGGGTATTCTGAAATTGGGTAGTTCGAACTGATTGGGCTTTCTGAACTGAGTCAAACCGTGTACGCGGCTCATCACCTCTGCCATAAACGAACGAAACGACCATCCAGTGTTAAGGTGACTTCGATGTGGCTAGAATGTACTACTGGTTTATGTTAGCGTTATGCCACTACTCGCTTTAGTCAATCAGTAGTACATAGTGTTATGCAAATTAATATTAGCTAGTGATCAGTTATTATTATTGCCTTGGGTTCCGTATGGAATATAGGGTGTGAACAACACACCTCCATTTCGTTCTATTTTTCACTGTCCTCTTCAACTGGCTAACCACACGATTGCCTATAATCTCTCATGTCCTCCTCCAACGCACACTATCTTCTCCATGCCACCCTCACACCGACCACCCACTCGTCATTTCCCATGAGATTCCACTCGAGTGATGGCTAGCATTGAGCGCGATGTCATTCGGCGGCCTCCTCATCGTATACCCTATTCGTCTCAATTTTCTCCGGCATATTTGAGCGGTCGGCTCTTGGTTGGTTTGTTCCACTGCAGAGTTTCTTGTTGCTAATTCTTCCTGGCCCGTCGGCCATTTGATCTTCAATATGGAGCCAGACAACGAAAGGGGGCAGCTGCTGATAAAAGTCTGTAACTTGTTAGAAATCCTTTTCGTGACTCACTGGTCAATTTTCTGACCCCTATGGAAGTGGGTGACTGACTGACTGACTTAACATTTGTGTTGAAAATCCGAATCTTCTTCTTTAAGCTGAGGCGAAGTGCGGAAGATTTCCAAACTGATTTCAAAATGATGAAGGTGTATCCTGCCTTCCCGATCTGGCTTTTGTTGACATCTTCATCCGTTCCGATGCTTCCTAGATAATTGAAGGAAGTAATCTCTGTCAAATCTCTCTCGTTGATGGTGATTGGTAGATAGTAATCAGTAGTATATTATAATTATAACGATAGGATAATTACAGACTGATTTCATTTAGAGGAACTTTGAAAACCAGGGAGTACTGGAAGGCCGTTTAGTCCTTTTCTGAAACTCTTCAATAGTACACACCCGTGACCCCTCTAGGGGTCGGACCAGGGATGTTCTGGTTACCAAGCGAGCTAGTTAACTAGTGGGATGGAATTCAATGACCCAGCACTTCTTACCTCCACCAGTTCTCGAAGTCGTGACCAGCCCAGCGGGTTCACAATCGATGGGCCATTGGATTCTGTCCCAATATGCTCTCCCTGTAACCTGAAGGCCTTGAGTTGTATCCCTGGTGGCGTTATCTCGGTGCGTACACTGATGACAGAGAGTCCTAGAGTGGGACGGAATTGCTATCCAATACTCCTTGATTTCCTGACTGAAGTCATTTTCCAATCAATGTTCAAATTAATCTAATCCCTGCAAACCAACCAACACTGGAATAATAATTACAATTGATTACAGGATTTCATCATGAGGTGACATTTAGAGAAACATTAGAAAACCTGGAAGTACTGTACAGCTGTTTCATCATGGTTTTGGACTCTTCGGTAGCACACACACGCACCGGGGTTCCAACCCCAGGACCTTCTGGTTACAAGGCAGAAGTTGGGATTCATAGGCTAGCCATTAGATCGGGTCTTAGTGGCTGCCTAATGGTCTACGAGTACACCTTGTAACCAGAAGGTCCTGGGTTCGAACTCCTTTAGTGGGTAGGTACTGTTCAAGAATCCCAGACCAGGATGAAACAGCTGTACAGTGCTCCCTAGTGGTTTCCTAACGGTTCTCTAGTCGATGTCAGCTCATCGTGAAACCCTGTAACCAATTCATCCAATCCTTACAAACCAATACTTGAATTACAATTGTCATTGAAATGTTTGACTGTTTAGCAAGCACTCTAATTTAAATATCATCATTACATATATATAAATTTTTTATTTTATTTTATTTAAACGCATAAAAAAAACTTGGTACAATATGGCACCAAGAAAGATGCGCCACACAATAAATAGTATTCAAGTAAATAATTTATTATTAGTATTATTATCATTGTTGTTTATTTTTAGCCTCTATGATTCACGTATCAAATGTTGATTTAACAGATCACCTGGAAAATCATCAATTGATTGTCCTATCAACTGCTTTCTTTTTAACTGAACACTTTTCTAGTCCACCAGTCTATCCTATTGTAACAGATTCAAGTTTAGGCATTACAGAAATGCTGTCTGGTCTGACAGCTAATCTCTTTCGATTAGCACCATCTATGCTTGGTGATACACCTGTAGTGAGTCAATCAAAAAGTCCTGGATATACAGTAAGTGTAGAAATGTTGAATAAAATTATTTTCTTTCTTTTTTTTTAATTCTCAGTAATTATTCTTAGTCTAGCTATCATCAGTCAAGTGGATAAGTGTAAAAATAACAAGTGTAGCTGAGTAATATAATGAATGCATGTATCCGTCTATCTATCTCATGGTTCCTTCTTCGTCTACAATACCTCCTTAAGCCCTGTAGATCAGGGTAATACTGTCTACTTTATATTTCACTTATCATCTTCAAGCATTTAACAGCCTATCATTGTCTGAGTTTTGGCTTTCTCCCTCATTACTTTATATTTGACTAGTTAACTGAAATCGAAGACATTTTAGTAGAGTTCATCATGTCACCAAAGTACTATGACTTTATTCCCACTGATTTGATGATTTGTGGTTTATTCATAGTGTTTCCAACATAAGTAGATTGTATATTAATTATTTCACATGCACTTTATACTCCCTATATCTCAGTTAGTACTTTCCTGTCCAGTGAGTAAGAGCGTGTTTTAAGGATTTTATTATCATGAGCTGACATCGGTTAGAGAACTATTGGAAAACCAGCCACAGGGAATACTGCACAGCTGTTTCGCCCTAGTCTAGGATTCTTGAACAGTACATATCCACCGAAGGGGTTCGAACCCAGGTGTACTCATAAGACCATTAGGCAGTCACTGGGACCCGATCTAATGGCTAGTCCATGAATTCCAGCTTCTGCCAATTCACGATATAGCGCCATCAGATCGAGTCCCAAACTAGGAAGAAACATCCTGAAACCAATGAAATCCCTGCAAAGCAACACTTGAGAATAAGAATGTGTTTGTTTAATTTTCTTCTGACAATAACCGTCACTTTAAACTAATCTGTTTTGGTATGTTTATGCGTTGATAAAAATCGTCTGTAGAACTTATTTTTAATTAACAAATGAACAGTTAGATATCAATTTAGATTGCTGACAGCAGGTGAAGAGAAATTATCAAATTAATTAAATCAATTTTTTGTTGTTGTCATAATTACTATACAATTGTACTTTTTTACTGTTCAAGTGTACAACAAACTGAGAAAAGCCGTAGGAAATTGATTTCATTTCATGAGCATTTTGGATAGGCTTCAGACTCTTATGAACAACTGCCTTCTTTGGCTCCATACTCATCAAGATCAGATAGCCAGAAGGCATTAACATTAAGGAATTCTGGCTGACAACGAACCAACCAATAAATATGATGAAGAAAATGGAGATGAACTGGACACATTGTGTGGAATCTTCGCGCCCAGATCGTCGTCTCATGGAGAACCCGAATGGGAAAAGACGAGTTGGACATCCGAGGTTGACATCCAGGAAGTAGTAGTGTGACTAGGTGATGAGTGTTTATGGGTAATCGTTGAGCCAGCTAAAGAAGAGTGTAGAGAAGTGGATGAAATGGGGATATGCTGTTGAAGCTCTGTATTCCCCCTCAGAACCTAAGGGAATAATAATATTACCTCTATTTCGCGGTTGCATCATAACAGACACTGGGTGCTTTAAATAAATCGTATATAATACCGAGTTTTGGGTGTTTTAGACACTTCGATTAGTATCAACGTAGATTTCATCATGAATCAATATCATTTAGAGAATCACTGAAAACCATGGAGAACTTGACAACTGTGTCTTCCTAATTCGGGACTCTTCTTCAATTACTGGAGGGGGTGAAATCTACGCTGAGATAACACCGATTGATTAAATATGGCCAATAAATGTCAGTTATTGTCAAGCTTAATTAGTGTTCCTAATAAACTAATGTTAGTCAGAGAAAATTCAAACAATTAGTCCCTTTGATAAATTTGAATAGGGCATTAAGAAGTAAAAATTCCGCGAGATGATATCCTCATTTCGTAGTGTCTTGACAACCGTTTTGCAAATAACTTGGTTCACAATAATGATAAAATAAGATGCAAGACAATCACTGAGTTATATAAAACAAAAGTATGTACTAATGACCAACCATATTTAAATAAGTCCCGTAGTCCATAGTAGGCGAATTTGAAGTCTATTGTTTTGAGTGTACACACAGTTTAGGCTGTATGTGATTAATCCCCCAAAGTGCTTCCATCACCTTTAATCACCAACCTTGAATTAGAGTTATGTGAAATAATTGTGAAACAGTCATTAATATTGATTGATTTTGTGACCTGACATTAATAAGTGCTTTGCAATGGATGATGATGATGATGGATTCCTATTCAGATTAATAGTATTGGGATTTTCTATATGATTTAGTAGTCACTTTGGAACATGTTCTTTTCGACGACATTGGAAGATATAGGTGTCACCGCAGCTGCAGGTGAACTTGTAGATACAGTTTGAAGTAGAATCCATCGTATTTCGCCCTTTAATCGTAGGTACAGGGGTCGAAAATGTTCGGCGAATGAGAAAAAGACATGTGGCGTAGAATGTGCTTTTGATGGTTGACCAAAGTCTTTGAGCTGTCCACTGCATAATCCGGTCGCCCTTGAATGATAGGATAATAAAGATAGCTTTCTTTGGTACAGAAACTGTCTTTTCGAGATGTGGTTTTTCTTTACTGTGACAAGTGATAAAGTTCTCCGGATAACTATTAGCTAATAAAACTGTATGTATATGTCGAAACTCATTCATCAATGTGTCACTCATGCATATTTTTCGGGCCCTTGAGAACAAATATTTCACTCGGGAACGTTTATACTGGATAGGAACAAAACTGGTAAAATGAAGATATTGTCCACTCCATGTCTGTTTACGAAAAATCTATCTCTGAATCGTTTCATCATATCTCGTGGTCATTGTAATACATGACCTATCTAAATATGATTGGTCATTAGTATGTACTTTTGTTGTGTTTTTTAACTGAGTAATTGTCATGAACTTTATTTTATCATTGTTGACTAACGATGTTAGTTGTAAAGCGGTTGTCAAGATACTACGAAATGATGATATCATCTCGGGAAATTTGTCTTCTAAATGCCTTATTCTAATTTTAGTTATAAGATTTGATAGTGTGAAATATTCCCATATTATGAATTAAAAGTCAATCTGAACGAAGAATATCCTTTTCAATAATTTCTCCTTTTCAGGTTCTTACAACTATAAAATATAATATTTTTGGTCGTTACAATAAAGGCCAGTTATGCGGCGGATACATTTTTAACGCCCCATACTAGACATGTCTCTTTCACCTTATCACAAAACGGCAAAGTGGCTGGTACAGCTACTGCAACCCTTGCATGACGAGTTAGTAAAGCACAGCGTCAAGAATACCTTTCAATTTGTTGATAAGATCAAAAACGTGAACGAGACTGGCAAATATATGGCATCACTTGATGTTTCATCTCTATTCATTAATGTGCCTCTAGTAGAAACGATCGATTATATCTGCGAACACATTATAGAAAAGAAATTGTGCACTGATATTCCTCTCAGTAATCTGAAACAACTACTTGTTAAATGTACAACGAATGTTCAGTTCCTGTTTAATAATTAAATATACAGACAGGTTGATGGAGTAGCCATGGGATCCCCACTGGGACCTATTTTCGCGAATATATTTTTAACAAAACTAGAAAATAGTCCGTTAAAAGAGGAAATAGCAAAAATGGTAATGTATTGCCGTTACATGGATGACACTTTTGTAGTGTACGATGAAGGGTTAAATGGTGATTTGATTTTGAACAGCTTCAATAATGCTCACCCAGCGGTCCATTTCACCCACGAAGGAGAACACAACGACTCTCTACACTTCCTCGACGTCCTACTAACGAGAAGAGAGGATGGTTCAGTCAAAAGAACCATATTTAGAAAGCTAGAGACCAAAGCTCAGTATACACACTTCCTGAGCTTCGTACCAATGAAATACAAACGTAATCTAATCAGGTGCTTAGCACTTAGAGCGAAGTCTATTTGTTCCGGAGATTGAGTAGAGAAAGAACTCCAGGTCATCCGAGACATTCTAAGCGAGAACGGATATCCGGAGAAGTTCATTAAAGCCAACATAGGTTACGAAAGTCGTAAACATGAACTGGCAACTGTGGAGAAAGAGCCTTTGTTTTTACGTCTCCAATGCAAGGAAGATACTCCTGTGGAGATTCTATCCCAACGTTTAACCAGGGCGATGAAGAAAACTTTCTACTCTGCACGTCTGTGTCTGTCCTTCACTAGCCGTCCAATGTTCACCCAGCAACTCAAAGATGTCTTACCTAACCTTAGCTTTTCTTCATGCATATACCATTTCAACTGTTCCTGTGGTTCAAGTTATATAGGGCGCACGATTAGGCAGGTTCGTCTACGGGTTCGAGAACACTTACCAGCTTGGTTCAGCAGGGGGGAAATTAAATGCATAAAAAGCTCGATCCTGCGCACTTGGTCGATACTGAACATCGCATTGATGTCAACACAGCTTTCAGGGTTATGTACCGAATTCCGAAGTCGTTATCACGTACAGTTCGCTTACGTCTCCTACACATAGCTGAAACTGTTGCAATAAGATCGACTAAACCGGAACTTTGTATCCGAAATGAACACGTCCAGATGCTGTTCCTACCGTGGCCAACCTTGGATTGAAGATTTTTCTTCTCACCAAGAGTGCTCCTTCCCCTTAACCCTCTTGGTTTTTTTTCGGTTTTTTTACTTTGCTTATTGTTTCAAATATTACTATTACAGTTATTATTATTATTCGTCATAATTTATGCCCTTCATGCAAACATTCCCTCAATACTATCGAATTTTTCATTTATACGGACTTATTATTAGTGATATTATCTGTTTTCTCAATATATGCCTCCACCTGTTTCATTTCACATATTCGTTATCTCATTATGAACCTCTCATTCCAGTCTTACTATCTCCTGTTTAACACAGACCACTTTGTACTAGCCACTCACTCACCTGACTCCTTTTATAACCTTGAACTGACTTGTCAATTTTCCTACCCCACACTCTACAAATCTATTATGATTAATTGCCACCATTGTCTCCAGTTTCACAATATTTTCTAATCGATTTCAGCCTAGCACGATGTTTGTCACACAAATACGACTATTTATTTTGACATCCCATAACTAATCTGTTATTCTACGTTAAAAATGTATCTACCGCATAACTGGCCTTTATTGTAGCGACAACAAATATTATATTTTATAATTGTAAGAACCTGAAGAGGAGAAATTATTGAAAAGGATATTCTTCGTTCAGATTGACTTTTAATTCATAATGTTAGTTAGTAAAATACTAAGAACCAAAGAGTTTTGAACCACACCAATTTGATAATACACATTATTTTGTATGAAATTAAATCCAGAAATTCCCATTTCTTCTAGCGAACACAATCAATACTCATCTGACATAAATCAACTGTGAATTCTATTTGATCACTTCTACTATAGAACCTTCTATTACTAAATGTTTCAGTAATGAAATGTCATTTGTTTTCTGTCATCATTGTATTTAGACACAATTCACTATCACATAATCTAGTAAAAAAAATACGTTTCAAAATGAATAATGTTTCACCTGACAGTAGTCCGCTTGAAACCTCCAATCAATCAATATGTCGCATGTATAATTTCTCTTATATTCAGTTTGTTTAAATCTGGTAAAATATTGACCTCTAATAAGGTATTGTTTAGTTTGACGAGAATTTAAAACGTTTACAGTCTGCTGATTGGCTAGTAGTAGTAGTTCTATGAAAGATGTGAAAAAGTATTTATTATCCTCGACAGCAGCAGCTTATCCCCTAATACATGAGATATTACTGTTACTGAGCGTGCACTAAATGTACTCCTGAACTTTTTTTTAATTGGCATTCATCAACAAAATGCCGTCGTGTATATCTCGAAGGCAACAGCACCCAGCATCAAAAATAAGATCCGGATTTTCAACTCCAATGTGAAGTCAGTGCTATTATACGGATGGATCAGAGACTTGGCGAGTCATAAAGAGCATCTCAAACAAACTTCAGACCTTCATTAACAGTTGTCTTTGCTCAATACTCAAGATCAGATGGCTGGCCAGAAAAGATCAGCAACAAAGATCACTGGCAATGAGAGAACCAACCAGGAACCGATTATGCAACAAATAAGCAGGAAGAAATGGAGATGGATTGGTCATATGCTGAGAAAACCATCAAGCGACATCACTAGACAAGCCATTGCTCGAGTGGAACCCGAAAGGGAAGCGGTGAGTTGGTGGTCAGTGCGAGGGTGGGGTGACTTGAAGTAGGTGATGTGAAGAGGAGATGAAAGCATGTGGGTAGACTTGGAGTGGGGTGAAAAAGTTGGCAGAAAACCGAAGGCAATGGAGATGCGTGGCTGAAGCCCTATGTTCCTCTAGGAATTAAAGGATATAATAATAATAATAATAATATCTCGAAGGAGAAAAACAGAAGAGATATCACAATGGTGGATTGAATGAACTGTGTCACACGATCTACTGTCAGTCAATTATTCTTTTATTTGAAGGATCCTGGACGACGAAGAGAAAATATCATGCAATAAACTCTAGTGAAAATTCTGTACATTATATAAACATTGTTCAGAATAAAGCTATTATTATTATTACTTATCAGTAAATTCTTTGTGCGTTGGTGGCACAGCAGTAGAATGCTCGCCAACCAGGCATGGGTTTCGGAGTTCAATCCTCGGCCACCGACTCACTCACTAACCTCGCTAAGCCAGTGATAAGAATTGCAAAGAGGAAAGGTTGGACATGAGGCTAGCAATCGCATCCCGTAAAAATAAACACCACTGATATCGAAACTTCAAGCCTTCTAGCTTGAAGCCCTATGTTCCACTGGGAACGTAAAGGATTCATTCATTTCTTCATCTAATTTCCACTCACTCAAGTTGTCATACAAATAAATATGAACAGGATGCGATATGAAATAATCCATACATCACTCTTAATAGTTGAAGTTGAGTAAAACACAAATGTTCGATCTTGGTGATCCAGTTAGTCAATTTTTCTACTGACTTGTGTTTTAAACACAGTTTCAAGAATTATTTTCTGTTTTCCAGGGATTTTGTCTGATTAGTTGGAGGATTTCATCATGAGCTGGCATTAGTTAGCGAACCATTGGAAAACCAGCTATCGGTATTGGACAGCTGTTTCGTCAGCCTAGTTTTCGGACTTTTCATCAATACACATCGAAACTAGGACGGGGGAAACAGCTGTCCAGTACACTCCCAGATGGTTTTCCAATGGTTCGTTAACTGATGTCAGCTCATGATAAAAATTCTCCATCCAATTATTTTCTGTATTTTTTATCTACCTTTATTTAAACAAGTGTATTAGCATTTCTCAGATGATATACACAACTCTTTAACTAATAAATATAAGTGGGCTTTATACTGCATGGGGGTGACTAGTTCAATTTATAACAACAGAAGACAAGGGCCAGGAAACAGATCCTTTATTAAGGAAATCAACACATTTATGGATTTTCATGTACATATTATAGATTGTTGTAAGCAAACAAACACCGTCTTCTGATTGGTTGTTTCTCACTGAACGTTAATCTTTCATCTCTTTGTGACCGTTTCTTGAAGTTCAGATTGTCTATCTGCAAATTGTATCCGCCTACGCAAAGTCTGATGTCGTTGGTTGTTAAATCAGTCTTTGTTCTTATTTTTCTCACGACCAATTTTGGGGACGTAAACATTGACGTAAATTACTGTCTACCAATTTGGCTAGCAGCCAGCTCTCACCACAACTGATTTCTTTATAAGGTTTATTCTTTTAGTCAGTAATATTGTAATCATGTTATGATTTAACTTTTTTTATTTTTACTTTTATACTTTAGCAATGTTCTTCTTTGAGTACAGGAACTACAGTGGATTTAAGTTATTCACTTTCTGTTCATATGGCATGGTGTCAAGGTATTGAACGACTTATTCAAACTGGACGTCTTGGAAAAGGTGCTATTGGGGTACGTATTACTCTACTTGTTGTTGTTGCTGTTGTTGTTTTCATTAGCTTTATCGGTCTATTCTATTATACACTAACTCTAAATTTTATGTGCAATTTTGAAGTGTTGATTTGCAAAGAGAGATCTGATTGATTTCAACTGTGATCACGTCACACACTGACTTCATTTGGCGAACTATCACTCCAGTGGGAAGTTGTAATCAATGCAGTCCGCCAAGTTGAGCATGAGAACAGATACTTACTAATGACATTGGAAGATAGTCACGCTATATTGCCAGTTGATAGAAGTTAGAACTGATGGACCAGTGGATTCCATCCCAGTGGCATTGGTTGAATGATATACGAGTTCACCTTGTAACCGGAACGTGCCGAGTTCACTCCCTGGTGGTGAGTCTTAAACTAGGATAAAATAGGTATCCACCACAAATTAAGTAAGGAACAAATAGAACTTGAGAGGTTTCCCCTCCTCCCCCACCCCCTTAAATTACTGCTCTTAGCTGCCTAAAAAAACCTTTTGTTCAGGGACTACTAGCCTACTGTTTAGAACTCAGTTACATAGAACAGGTCTTTCGTGTCCCAGTCCACATGGGCCACAACTATTGTGTTTAGCCTGCGTTTACCCAGGTTGAAGTATGTGTATTGAAACTCGAATCCTGGTGGATTCAGTAAGTCGTATCTTCTATTTGGTGTATGCTGACTAGCAGTGGAATCCAGGAAGCGCATTCTCATGATTGAAGAATTCATAAATAAACTTCATGATAATAGAAGGATAATAGTACTAATGATATTTTGTAAAGATTTGACTGATTGATTTAACTTCTCGGCTTAAAACGAACTTAGACGAGCACACTCTCTGATAAGAGATGAGAAAGAAAAAGGCGAAGAAATATCAAACATTACTGAAACTCTCAAGCAAAACAACTACCCGAAAAACTTCATCAACAAAATCAACACAAACATTAGGTATGGCCGAAAACGCATTCCGAAAACATGGACATCAACAGTCATTCCATATAGAGCAGAGACGTCAGACGATATCAGCTCGACATTAGAGTTTTCTTCAAAACATCAGACACACTTCAAAACAACCTTGTCCATATAAAAGACCAAATCCCTTAAGATTCTCTATCTAATTGTGTCTATAAAATAAAATGCTTGGAATGTGATGCGATATACATCGGACAAACATCACCAAAGAGAAATCAAAATCAAAAGAAATGAACACCGTTGAGCATTTCTTCGAACACCAAGAAATCCAGTTGAACTAGAAAAACTTGAAAAATCATCGGCCATAGGTCTACACGCTATAAAATCAGACTAGAAAATTGATTTTGACAGTATTGAAATAATCCAGAAAAAGCATTTCAGAAATCACAAAGAACGTCTAATATCATCAGAAGCACTTCATATCAAGTGGAATCCAAATTGCCTGAATAGGAATGATAGACTAAAACAGAATCTGACCTGGTTACAACACCTCCCTCCCCAACGAGTGACAAAATCGACACGAATGTGATAATCAAGTTCACTATGTAAACACACACTACTTTTATAAGTTTACACACTGATCAAATCCAACAATCTACACTTGATTTTGTTAACTTTACCAATTGACCAACTTGACAACGAAAAACGACCCCAGACAGACGAACGATGATCAAGTTAGTAAACTTTATTTTGATATCATAACAGACGTACCGTTACCTTTGTTATTTGGTTTAGTGATCTTCGTTGCTATTTTGACTTTCAATATGTCCCTTTAACTTGACCTAAGTCTATTTTCTCACCCCTTAATTCTTTGTTCTATATATGCTGAGATTTTGTAAATTCCGGTTTAATAATACTTTGATAAAGCTATTAGCATTAAATGGCAAAACGTCAGTAAAAACAATAAAGTTTTGTTTTTTATTCATTGGGAAATACAAAAACCTTAATTATAATGGATTAAAACGAACTTGTTCGTGGGTTCGAATACCCTTACAACATACTGAGATTTAGTCAGTCAAATGGTGTATCACATCATCTGTCAAATGATAGATAGATGTGGTTCATTGCAGAGAGTGATGCGTCGTATACATGCAACATAGTTGTTGAATAATGTTTTTTTCTTGTTTGTGTTGCCATTGTGTCATAATCATTAAAAAAAGAAAGATTGATGTAAGAATAGGATTGGGATACTGGTAGAATACAGTTCCACAATGTAATACCTTTATTTCATATGTCACGCTGATATAGTAGTATGATTTAATTCCTGATGACTTTTCGAAAACAACCATATCATCTGGAGTCTGTCACTATAGGTCTCTGTTTCCACAGAGATTATGGTCAGTCACTGACATTCCTCTGTATAATCCGAATCATCAGTCATGGTGTCTTAGTTTGATCACCCTTCGTGTAAAGTGTACAACCAATGTATTAAACTGTGGAATTTTATACTGTTGACAGTCAACTCTTTCCGTGATACCTTACATCTCTATCCTACCTCATTCATATAGTGAATCTATCACATATGAGTAATTTTAAAAGTTAACCATGGTCAAACACCTGAAGTCTTCTCAGATCTACTGTCCATTGTAATTTCATATTGGATAAGTTTATTTTAATTATCACACAGTGATGCAGTCAGTATTAACAACGGGATGGATGACGTGCTCCAATGATCTAGTTGACTTCTTTCAGCTAGTTTGACTCACCTATGCAATTGATCTCACTCACAGTCGTCAACATTACACGGTATCTGGTAAATTATATTATTTTTCCTAATTGGATCTATTGTGTCCTTAAGCCGATAAAGTTTACCTCTGAGAGAGTTGGTTGGTTGGTTGGTTGGGTTAAATGCCACCCTAATTCCAGCGTCATTGAAAATTCTACATAAGGCCTCTGACGTCCCTTCTGTATACACGGTAGTGCTACAGAGGCTTTGAATTCTACATTATTTTCGTTACTTTTGACACTGATATTGCTAGTTTCAGTTTTTCAATGGTTCTTTATATATTTCTCAATAAATTCTGTTGGGTAGTAGCAGGCCAGAAGATTTGAATAACGAAATCAAACAAATAAAGCAAATATTAGTAGTGAATAACTACCCAACAGAATTTATTGGGATATATCAATGAAGAACCATTGAAAAACTAAAACTAGCAATATCAGTGTCAAAAGTAACGAAAATAATGTAGAATTCAAAGCCTCTATAACACTACCGTGTATACAGAAGAGACGTCAGAGGCCTTATGTAGAATTTTCAATGACGCTGGAATTAGGGTGGCATTTAACCCAACCAACCAACCAACCAACTCTCTCAGAGGTAAACTTTATCGGCTTAAGGACACAATAGATCCAATTAGGAAAAATAATATAATTTACCAGATACCGTGTAATGTTGACGACTGTGAGTGAGATCAATTACATAGGTGAGTCAAACTAGCTGAAAGAAGTCAACTAGATCATTGGAACACGTCATCCATCCCGTTGTTAATACTGACTGCATCACTGTGTGATAATTAAAATAATTGGACGAAACGCGCATCCTGGATTCCACTGATAGTTAACATCCACCAATTAACTTCTAATTACATGCCCAGACATCGTTGAAGCATCTGAACAAGAAGCCGACATGTCAACCCGAGACCGAACACTTCGGTCCAATCAATCGAGGGGAAAATCTAAAATTGAATTAAATAATTTTAACTATTGTTTGACAAACCAAAATGTACACACATAAACATAATTATAATTATAACTGCGACCGTACAGCTGAGTGAATGAATTCACTGAAAAGGGACGCTTCTTATTTCCAAATCTGAAAACTGTTCATTTTAGCGAAAGGTATTTACGTTGCGTTAAAGTTGATGATATTTCTGTTGGAGAGATAATTTTCTGCTGACAGTAAATCCCTTCATACAATTTGTGTTAAATTTATAAGTTTTGTATCTCTTCACTTCTCCAAGCATCATATGTGTATAGCATTTTCGTTAAACCCTGCTAGCCAGAGTGCATAAGATTGCCGTAAGTGATCTGGGGAATCCCATCCTATAGAAATAATTAAACGCTTTTAAGATAATCTTTTTTTTAAGCAGATTGTATTCACTTGAACAGCAGTGAATATTTATTTCCCACTAATATATCAGAAGCCTCTACCAAATAATTTCTGTTCACTGTCTTCATTCGGTAGGCATATTCCTCACAAAAGTGAAACGCAGATTTTGAACGTTTGACGGATTAACCTAAGGGAAGGGGTTTGGAAAACCCTGATTCCAAACTTACGAGTTCCATGATCCGAACGAATCGAATGACGCTTGAAATTGTTTTGATCACTGGCAGTCATGGGAACTCAACTCCACTGTCTTGTGAACCAGGCTTCAAGCCAACCCTTGTGGCCCCTTAAGACAGCCACTTGCTTCTTTTTGAGCGTCAAGACAATATCCCAACCCTCGCAAAAACTATAGGATATTGTGATGCCCATGATGTACCAAGTCTGTACGATAATACTGATAATGGTAATAGTAATATCAGAGTTCATCTCTCTGTTTGAGTACCTTGAACTGCTTGATTCGTTCTTTTTGAAACTTTTAAACACGCAATTTTCAATTTTCTTCATCAGTATGATGAAATATTACCTTAGTTCAAGTGTTGGTTTGTAGGGATCTGATTGGTTGCAGGATTTCATCATGAGCTGAAATTAGTTAGAGAACCACTTGGAAACCTGGGAGTACTGGACAGCTGTTTCGTCCCAGTTTGGGACTCTTCATCAGTACGTACCTACACCGTGGAATTCGAACTCAGGACCTTCTGGTTACAAGGAGAGCTCGTATATCATTTAGTCACTGGGACCCGATACAATGTCCATCCCATGAATTCTAACTTCTGCCAATTCACGACTTGTCTTTTACAACAATGCATTTATGAAATTAATTAATTGTGGTATAATCAGCTCACTTTTACTGTTTTCTTTCTCTTTTTTTTTCAATTCGTATTCTAAAGAGTCTACAAAAAATGTGTATCAATCGAATCCGTACATGTCGATCACCGCATATAAGTTATCTTGCTATTCGTTTACTACTGACTTGTATGTATGCAAATTTGGGACGATTAAATGATCGTATTCAGCATTATCGACGCATTCATAATACACAATCTGTTCAGATATCAAATAATAATGATGATGATAATAATACTAATCGTAATGGTAGTAATTCACAAGACTATGAAACGAAAACTTTCCAAGTGACAACATTAAATGAAAGTAAGTTTGAATTAGAATAATTTATGCTTATCCGATTATTAGTTATTGTCCTACTGTCACACCACCTATATGTGTGTGTTAAGGTTTCCAATCAAAGAAGCTCAGCTGACAGAATAAGCGGGGGGGATATGCTAATGGGCTACTATGGCAGCTAACACTGCTTGTCGAAGAAGGTGATGACTAGGCATACGTAACAAACATCCTAACCATCTCAGTCGATGTAACATCACAGCCTCGTCGACTGATTCCCCCTCCTTACCTAGCACTTGACCGAAGCCTAACCTCAATATTGCTCATCCTATTATACCACTTCACACGGGAGATAGAACGCAGGCATATATGTACAGTTAGTGCAGCATTTTGTTTTAATGACTATCGCTTCACTTAAAGTGTCATATGAACAATTACTCTGTATTTTTCTTACCTGAATATAGATACTACAGGATCAATAGCAAAAAGTGAATCTAAAACAGATGATCCTAATTTACTGGAATCACTTCCTTCATCACTTCTTCAAGATTCAGAAAATATTGCTGCTCTTACACAAGAATCACTTAATTGTCTATGGGAAAGATTTCGTGGTGGGATATCATTGATTAATTCACCTGTTCAGTCTACGCATGGATTACAAATCCCTTGGACAATGAGTGCTTGGACAAGTGCTGTTGAAGCTCGATTAATTGCAAGATTATTACCATTGATCAGTACTGATATCACTCAAACTGTTGTCGGTTTATTAACTAAACCAGAGACAGTAAATAAACAATTTAGTCTTTCATCAGCAATAATTGGTTGTGATTCATTGCCGAATATTGTTTTAAATAAGGCATTAGCTGAATTCGCTCGTGCTGATCATGCCTTTCCTAATTTAGCAGCTTCAAATTTAACTGAGGTAATTATGAAGAGTGTTTTTTGCCTTCTTTAATATTATTATTATTATTATTGTTCAAGAAGGTGTAAAGATGACATATTCGGATGGCTCTAAACTATAGCAGGCCAAAACCACACTACTTAATAAACAACTTGACGACCCCCCCCCCCATCGACCTAATCAGGTACGTTCGTATTAGAAGTGCGTAATTTAAAAAAAAACGTTTATATAAAAGTAAGGCATTGTCATAGAGTAGTTACATAGGATAATGTCCTTACATATGTTCCAAAAAACCTCCCAGTTTCTCATAGGAGTCCGCATAGTTAGATTAAACCAATTTCTTTGCATAAATTCGTCGAGATTACTGCAAACCATCGTGCTTCTTGACTTATCCACCTCCTTTGATCCTGTTTTTTTAGGTGATTCTAGAAACTTTCAAAGGAATTTGTGTGATGAGTCCCATCGTAAGGATTAACGAAATCATCCCTATGACTGACCAGATTGTGAATATATATAGCCCAGGGATGAAAGTTGGCTACACGTTTCCTCCCTTCCAATGAGTCTGTTGTCTAAGTAGTACTTAAATATCAGATTTGCATGAAGTTGACTACGTAATTCGTGTAAAGAATCCATCATTTCCTCTGTATACTACGGACTCATCTGACCAGTAGCAGTTCAAGGTCATTAATCCGTTCATTAGGTAGTTTCGTTTTGGGCTGCAGTCATTTCGAGTCACGTCAGTTAGCATACAACTTACTTATAAACTTTTCAAATCAATTTGTAGAACAATTTTCAAGCATTGAATTCTGACCGAGTGACAAAACAGTCAGGTGTTGTCTTTGTAGCCGAAAACTCCTGGATTCTATCCCTGACTGAGGTCATTTTTACGTCCTGGTAAAGAGCTGTGGACCAGGACGAAGCAGCTTACCAGCATTCCCTAGTTTTGGAAAGTTCTCTAACTAGGAGTATGCGTTCTCAACAAAGCTCACATTGAAACCTGTCTAAAGTTACTCTTCAGGGTGCCCCCCTGAATACAATAATCAAGATATTATTGATCCCGCTGTAACGATTAGGTTATACAGCAGTTTATCACCAGAATCTTGATCATGGTGTCTAGTCTTGATTAATTCCTGGATGAGAGAAGTATCTGTAATGACAGTGGATTGGCTGACTGAAATTGGTGTAATAGGTAATGAATTAATTGAAATTAAAGTAAAAACCTGTGTAGTATGGTGGTAGTGGGATTCGAACTAGGGGACTCTATATTACTAGCCCACTGATCTGTTGGGTATACTATCTGGATCTCGTAGCTTAGTTCGTAGATCGTTGAGTTATTATTAATGCCAAATCCACGGGTTGTGTTTTGTTTAAAAATCTAGTTTCATCTAAGGTTCATTATGGTTTTGTGTGATACAAGCACAGGCGTTATTTTAACCATACCTTTTTCTCACTTTGAATTTCTTATCTTTTAGTTGTTTGAAAGATTTATGCAAAATGAAAATGGACAAAATTTAATACGCCAATGGATACTTCTTTCATTTCCTACACTTTTGAGTCGTCAACCGCCTGATTTGGCTATATGGGCCTGTACTGTCTGTCTGTTGGCTGCAGCTACTGATCAAAAACTGCGAGCAGCGTATCCTTTTTTGTATATATTGGACTTTTTTTTTATTTCCATGACTTACTTGTAAATTAGTTGATTGTTGGATATATTCCTCCTTCAAAAGTTTTAATGGCATTGTTAGCATTAAAACTTCACTAATTGTGATAACATTGCCAACTTGACTGGTAGAATTCAGTCAGAATCAATAACAGGGCCTGGAATATGACATTGGTGACACCCCAGTGACCAACTGATGTGTGTATATCCATTGCATTCATATTAGACGTCAGTCGTGGGTCCAAATAACCCAATGGGTGACAAACCTCCGAAGGGTGCAGATATGCCTTACTGACGAGTGCCAGCAGTCGTGAAATCTAAGTTTAGAGCTTCCTACCGATTTCCTCCAACTATCCCACTGTGTGTTGTCAATTGTTCAACAGAATTATATTACTCATGCTAGTAGTACAGACTGGATTCATACAACAAGATGATTCATTGAAATAAACCAATCTCGTATTTTTTCTTTAAATAGTATTGTTAAGCAGAAAAAACCAATGAGGCTCGAAGTCAACGTCGAAGCGCATTGTAGGCACATAAAGTTGGTATACTTTGGTATCTTTAAGTCTTTATTTCCACATCATTTTCAAACTGACTGAATATCACCACATTTGATAGCTTGTTGGATTCTGTACAGCAGTGTTGTAACCTTCTTCTTGCAGTTGTCTTCTTCGATCGCTTTTTCCAGTGTCCCAAAACATATTGTTGCTTTTCTGAATTCGTTTACTGATATACTACTTATATCTGATTGTGAGTAGCACCCACCAAAGTATTACTGTTTTTTATTAAGAGGCATGTAAGCTGTTTACAGCACAGTTACTATAAATTACTCAATTGTCAGTCAAGGATGATAAAAAATATTCACTAGGTTGGTAGTTAATGGATTATTAACCAATATAATTCCATAATATAGATAAGTTATTCTAAATAACACATAACATCATTGATAACTGGATGATGTTTCGAGCACAATTCATTGCTCATGATCTCATATCAGTAAGCAGTCACACGGATTCCTAATTTGCTTTAAATGTCTATATTCCTCTCCCTCTTGTTGTTGATTTTTTTAAATTTCCTTCACGTTCCCATTGGAACATAGGGCCTCAAGCTAGTGGCTTGAAGTTTCTGTAGGAGTGTTTATTTTTACAGGATGAGGTTGCTAGCCTCATGCCCAACCTTACCTCTTTACCAGCATTATTTCTGGTTTAGCGAGGTAAAGGAGTGCATCGGCCGGAGATCGAACCCCGGACCATGTGCATGGTTGGCGAGCGTCTTAACCGTTGTCCCACCGACGCTCTTGTTGTTGATTGCAATTTTCCAAATATTTGATGTAAGCGTTGAGTCATTTCGAGTGTGTACGTGTTTGGATGTTGATTCAGTGAAACAAAGCTTCGATGGTTAACCCTGTCCCCCATCCCAATGTATGATTGATAACGTGGAATTGAATGTATTGCAATGACTTAGTTTTTCATATCAATATATGTATAAAACTTGGGCAGTCTGGTGGTAAGTAATTCCATATTTGTTTGTTTATTAGATGTATCACACAGTGAAACAGTATTACTGTTTACTGGATGACGAGGTCTCGAACACAATTTACTGTTCATAATTATATCAATTATAAACACACGGCTTCGACAACACACCAACAATAGGGAATCTAAATCATCAGTAGTAATCTCATACAAGGAAGGAAACCCAGAAATCTTACGCAGAATTCTTAACAAGGCTGGGATATAAGTGGCTGGCATTCAAACCAACCACAAACTCAATTAGAAACAAGCTTTGTCGGTTAAAGGATCAATTCTGTGGAGCCAACGAAACAAAACAATTTAGTTTATCTATTACTCTGTCCGCAATGATTGTCAGGTCAAATACATAGGTCAAACTAGTAGAACAGGGGCAGTCAGTCTGACTAGCCGAGCATAAAAACCTACCAAAATCTAGATTGGTTGACCCAAATAAGAAAAGAAATCTAGAGAATAGTTCAGCCATAGCACTCACTGCATGCAATTACACACAACCATACAATAGGATATATGGGATAAAATGACACTTCTAAAATCTAATGTAACAACCGGGTGTAGGGAGAGAGTGATAACTGACTGAGGCTTTATTTATCGAATCAACTGCAAACCAACACGTGTAAAAGGAATGATTCAACAACTGTCCACCCAGACATCTGAAAAATTCTCCTACCCCAACGACGACAAATGGGAGAGAACAAAGAAACACAACTATAAAACTCAGGTCTCGAAGTCGTGTGACTATAATTGATGATATGATTATGAACAATAATAGATTGTGTTCGAAGGTTCGTCATCCAGTAAACAGTAATACTGTTTCACTGTGTGATACATCTAATAAACAAACCAATATGGAATAACTTGGTTTTTCTTCGAGATTATTTAACTTAACAGGATCATTATAGCTGTGTAGCTAAACTCTTCCGTTCCAGTAATCCAATTGATTCCGATCTGGTATTTTGATCTTAATATAACTTACTTTACAGTCATAACATAGTATTTAGTAAATTATACTATTTTTCTGATCTTTAAGCCAAATGTTTGTTCAACGACTCAACACCAAAAACAAGAAACGTGTAGTCGAAATGACCTAACGATTATACCGAATATTTGGAAAATTGCAATCAAAGGGGGAAGAGGAATATATATATATACATATATAGTAAATTAAGAATCCGTGTGAATACTTTTTTTCCTTCACGTTTCCAGTGGGACATAGGGCCTCAAGCTAGTGGCTTGAAGTTTCTGTAGGAGTGTTTATTTTTACAGGATGGGGTTGTCAGCCTCATGCCCAGCATTATATCTGACTTACCGAGGTAAGGGAGGGCGTCGGTTGGGTATCGAACCCCGGACCATGTGCATGGTCGGCGAGCGACATAACCGCTGTGTCACCGACGTGTGACTACTACTTACTGATAACGAGATCATGAGCAATGAATTTTGCTCAAAACATCATCCAATTATTAATACTGTATCACTATGTGTTATGTATCAAATAAACTTATCTTATATGGAATTCAGAACAAAATAGTTCTAGCGAACAATTATAGTTTCAATGAATTCTTCTTCAGGCTCTACAATTATAAATCCATTAATATAAGCATACAATGCCCAGCCAGGCAGTAAAGGCAAATTAGAATCACATCAGAAAGTGTATTGTGGAACAAGTATAAGATGGGATGGGATGAAAATATAGTCAGTTTTTCATTATGCATGGTCAATGAGAACATGCGATAAAATGAGATGAAGTAATTTAATTTAATGATGTATGTGCATATATATTCATATATAGTCAACAAAATACAGGTTTCGAGAGTGAGTGTAATCAGGATGTGTGAAACAATATGAAAATAAACCAACGAATGTGGCGGAATAGACATAAATTCAAGGTTGCAAATAACGACAATAATAATGATTGTAAAATGATAATAATAACGATGATGTGGTGTAATCTTAAAAGTACTAGCGGTAAATGATTGTCAAATAATAATAATAATAATACTAATAATAGTGAATTGTGAATTTAGCGAAGTAAATACGATAACAAGTTAGAAAAGCACTATTTGAACGTAGACTAATAAGATCATAAGAAAGGTCACGAAATCATAAAAAGTCAAAAATGAACTTTTGTCAATGAAACAAAGGAATAGGAGAAGAAGAAGAAGAAAAGAAAATTGTGGTAGGAATTTAAAGTCCAAACGTCTGTGGAGGACTATTGTTCCATGCCATCTTACTTATACACTTTCTGATATGATTCTAATTTGCCTTTACTGCCTGGCTGGGCATTGTATGCTTAAATTAATGGATTTATAATTGTAGAGCCTGAAGAAGACAGATTTATTGAAACCACAATTGTTCGCTCTAAGTATTTGTTCTGAATAAATTATGGGAATATTCAAGTTACTAATATGGAATTGTATTCTACCACAGTGTCTAGATTTGCACTCTTACATTTATCAGTGTAATGTTGAATTTCCCTTCTCTATGGTATAATATTTCCCAGTAACCTAATGGTCTACAAGATCGTCTTGTAACCGAAGGGTCCTGAGTTCAAATCTCGGTAGGTGCGTACTCTTGAAGAGTCCCAAACTAGGACGAAACAACTGTTTTCTGAATAAGTTAAAAGTTTTCGTCAACCGATGAAAATTTCTCATGATATCAATAAATTGACGATTAGAATCAAATAAATCCAGAAAAGAAAAAAGAGTTATTATAATGCACTTTACACAAATGTCTGCAGTTACTATTATAAATCGTGAAGCCAGTAAGAATAACACCTTCGTCATACTTTGGGACTCTTCAGCTGACATATGTTACAATTCATAAATCTACTGGAATTCATCCTAATGACAGAATAATATGTGTTTTTGTTTTTTATAAGCCAGTGAAACTGTGAACACATACAGCTAAAGAGCCTTAAATCAGAACAAAACAACTGTCCATTACTTTATTCTTCTCAGGGATTCTCTAACTGATCACATTAAATTTCTACCGAATTCAACAAGATAGATATTTCAGCATACTTGCTGTAAGGTGATATCACCTAGTCTATGCAATAGTGTCATGTCACCTACACTTTAGAATTGATTCGTTTTTGTTTTTCTTTAAATAATCTATCATTATATTTCCTTAACCAACTTTCGGTTAGATTGCATTTATGCTATACATATAAATTATCCAATTCTGAGTCAACTAATTCATGGTATACAACAAATACTGATAGATCTCTGCATTGTAATCCGACAACAAATGTATGCTTAAATGATCTTTTATGCATATCAGCTTATCATTTTGTTACTGATGGCCTGTTGAAACCTTTACCGGTGTTGGAATCAGAAAGTCTAGCAGCTCAACGTCAAGCTGAACGGAATCATTTCCTGGCTATGCTTAAAGATCATTGTGATGCAGCAACACTCGATGATAGCTGTGATACTACTAACAATCATCATAATAATAATAATAGTACAGAACACTTTGATAAAAATTATTCTATATTTCATCAATTGTATACAATAGTTAAACAACAAGTTGCTATAACAACAGTAGTCAAGTAATCTATGATGATGATGATGCAATAAAACACATGGCTGTGCTCTTCATATTTTTTCCTCTAGACAAAGACACCCACACACACACACGTATACAACTGAATCTCTCTTCTCTGCTTTCTTTTCTTTTTTCTCCATTGGACATTATTTTCGTATATTTTTATTGATACAATTTTATACATGCATATATCGGCGTGGCGGTTGTATCATCTTCTACACACCCTCAGAAGTAATAATAATAATAATGCTTTCTTTCAGATAATATGTGAACACATAATACAGAAATCACTGGCTTTCCAAAATATTTCATCTTCAGACACGATTTACATGTAAAGTAATCATCTGAGGTGTGTCACACAACACAATGCTGTACCCTATGAACACAGAGCCAATTCTGTACATTTTTTTCGCCTTCATTTCCTTCAAGAATTGCTCAGTTTTTCGTTGAAAGTTAACTAAATATGCGCGCGAGTTTATTGATATGTAGCGCATGATTAAAAATAAACAATATAAAATACTGAAAGGGAGATTGTTTTTTATGCATTTTCTTTATGGATGGAAATTTTTGGTTATCTCACTCAGCGACTGATGATTTAAGCAGGCCGTCATACCCCTTTGCTCATGATGACTGACTATATGTATGCGATATGTGATGATATTGTTCGCTGTGGTTAATTACAATCTCTGCCTGTCTCTCTCCCTCTTTCCATCCATCTATCTATCTCTTAATGTGCGTATTATGTATTTGTGTATATCAATACATTCTTGTTATTGTTGTTGCTGTTGTTAATGTTGTCAATTTCTCCTTTCTTTTTTTCATTACCTTCATATTTATTTTCTATTAAGTGATTTTTACACTATTTGAAAATGTTGATTTTTCTTAGTTTGTTTGTTTGTTTACTTTTTTGTTGTTGCTTTGTTCATTCATTGGTCATTCATTTCAGATTTAATCTTTATATTATTGATTATTTTAGTTTTGTTTGTTATACTTTGTTCATGATCTTGTTATGCATTTAACAGTGATTATTTTCCTGTTTGTTTGTCTGCGTGTGTGTGTGTTTGCGTGTGTATTTTTGATAACCAATTCTCTACCTGGTTAATTAATTATTTAATTCCTAAACTCATTTTCAGTGATGAATAAAATGGAATGAATCATTTGAACTTAGGTGTTATTTTAAACTGGTTGAATGGTCAAAATGTGGCCTGGGCTACTGATAGGATTTATCAGTAATATGTATATATATGTAAAGAGATTTTCATCGAAACAAGCAATATAGGTTAATAAAGCAGGACTTAATGAATTCATCAAATTTCGGTAGAACTCGTCATCTGAATACTCTACATACACGGATATATATACTTTTAAAATTACATTAGGGGATATAAGACTATAAGAAAAGGCACAAACAGCGAAGAAAATTTTCTTTTCGACGATTCATTTTCATGAGCTGTACAATCGTAATTATAATTAAACACATAAGTTTTTGACCAATCAGATACTGGTAAACTTTGTCCTTGAAAATTCTACTACATAGTGTTAGGTGTAAGAAGCGATGACTAATTGTAAGTTAGAAAGGAGACAGAAGTTGGCATGACCTAATAAGTGTGAGATAATCGATAAGCTAGTGTAGAGTGGACAGGAACAGTAATAATAATAATAATAATAATAATAATAATAATAATAATAATAATAGTGAACTTACATATTAAAAGAGAGGAGAAAAATTATAGTAAGAAATTTACTCTGGCCATGGTAGGGCTAGAGAATGTATGTATCGTTTTTGTATGCATAGGTCCGGTTTTATGTCACGAATAGCTAATGCCTCAGCTATGTACAGATGTCGTATCCGGAGTCCTTTTGTACGATATTGAGGGACTCTGTGTACCACTGTGAAGCATTCGTGTGGGGGTGCTCGATGTCCGGAGATAACAAGGTGTTCGAGGATTGAGCTGTTACTATTCTTCTTTTCTCCTCTGGCTAACCAAGCTGGGCAGTGTTCCAGGATACGTTTGTGGACTTGACGTTGCGTACGGCCGATATACTTTGCTCCACACGAGCAAGTGAATTGATAAATACACATTGAAGTGGCCAAAGGCGGTATCTTGTCCTTAACGTTAGACTGGATTAACTGTCTGCAGGAGAATGTTATACGTAGAGTGGCTGTTGGGAATGTCTTCTTCAGACTTTTTGAAAGGCGGTTTCTGAGAATTTCCGCTGCGATGTCACCTTTGAATTCTAGGTTCATGAAGAGAGTCTTCTTAGGAACCGTTGTGATATTTGGCACCGGGGGCTTCTCCTTCATGTTTTTGTCGATGAATCTTGGCGGATACCCATTCTCTAGTAGGGTTTCACGCAATAAATTTAATTCTTTCTCCACCGTGTCTTCCGAGCAGATTTTTCTAATCCTTGAGCACAATGTACGTACCAAGTTTCTCTTTCGGGTCAGTGGAACAAAGCTCTGGAAGTTGATAAACTGTCCAGTCCATGTTGGCTTACGGTATATCGATCTTTGGATCGTACAGTCGTCTCTTCTGGTGAGTAATACATCGAGGAATGGAAATGCGTTGTTCGATTCGCGTTCTAAGGTGAATCTTATTGAAGGTTTTCAGGAGAGAATCTAAATCACATTTTCCTTCACAGATTATAAACGTATCATCTACGTATCTCTTGTATAAGTGCAGTTTACTTATCAAGGGATCAAGGATGTTGTTTTCAAGACTCGCCATGAAACAGTCAGCTAGGAGTGGACCGAGAGGAGACCCCATGGCTACTCCATCTTTCTGTACATAGAACTGTTCATTGAATTTGAACTGGATATTGAACGTGCATCTGAGAAGAAGTTCCTTCAGGTAGTTTATGGGGAGAGGAACTTCTATGTTGTTGGTTTCTATGTAATTACAAATGAAGCATATTGTCTCAGTCAGGGGGATACTTGTGAATAGAGAGGCGACATCTAGTGAGATCATTTGTCTTTCATACACGTTGACATCCTTCACTGAGTCGATGAAGTCAAATGTATCTTTGAGGCTATATTTTGTCATATGTCTTTTAACTGGTTCGAGGATATCAGCTAGCCACTTCGCGATTTGGTGATACGGCGAGTTAACTGATAAGTAAACAAACTACATTGAATTAGTCATACAAAATGACACGTGTGAATGTTTTTCACGTCATGTTCAAATAGATAAGGGGAGAGAGAGTATGTGAGATCAAAATTAAGACAAATCGCATTACGCTTCAATTACATCACTTAGATAAACAATTAGACATTAGAGAGTATAAAAAGAATTGCAAGCAGAGTAATATCAATAGTAATAGTTATAATAACAATAATAGTTATAGTGTCGAAGTGAGCTAAGATAATCCTACTGATAAAGTATAGTTTTAAATGAATCAAGAATAATAATAAGAGGTAGAATAATGAGTAAAACATATTACCATGGTAGATTCAGAATGATGATCATCTCCTCTTGAACACAGAGACCTGGTTTATAAACTCGAATTGCACAAGCCTCCTCCACAATTGCAAGCATCTTGTTTCTTTGTCTGCTGACAATACTGAATGACTTGACCGCGTCGATATCATGTCCGTAATCCACAAGATGTTTTGTTATTGAGGATTTTGGCACTTTGCACTCAGCTGTTTTCAACCATTTTGGCAAATGCACCATCATGTGAGTAGACAATCGCCTTTCCGTACGACCTATGTATTTGCTGCCACAAACACACTCAAATTGATATACGCAGTTTGAAGTGTAAAGGATTGGCGAGTGGTCTTTCTCAGATTGTTGAAGCGCTCGCTTGGTGGTGTTAAGGATAACAAGTTTTGCAGCATAACAAGCTCTCTTGACGAGTCTTCGTTTGACTACTTTCTATACATCATCTGCTTTGAACGGCAAACTGATATAGACAGGTCTCTTCGGAACTGTTTGGATTGTTTTGTAGGGGCTAATTTCTTTATAGTATTTATTAATGAACTTCTCAGGATATCCATTTTTAGATAAAATATCCTTCAGAGATTTTATTTCATGTTCAATAGTACTGTCAGAACAAATTTTTCATGCTCTCTTGAACAGTGTTCTGACTAAGTTCTTTTTATACTGGATTGGAACAAAGCTCTTGAAATGCATGTGCTGTCCTGTCCATGAAAACTTTCTAAATATAGATCTTTCGATTGTGCCATCATTCATTTTGGCTAGAGAAACGTCTAGGAATTTAATAGTATCGTTTTCCTCGTGTTCTACTGTGAAATTGAGATTTGGATGGCTTGAGTTGAATTTTATCAACATGTCTTCGGCTTTTGATCTGTTTCCACAGACAAAACAATGTCATCAACATATCTTAGGTATACATCCGTTTCTTTTATATGTTGCTGCAAGGTACCGGTTTCTAGGCCTGACAAGAATAAGTCTGCGAAAAGTGGTCCCAAAGGGCTTCCCACTGCGACACCATCAACTTGACGGAATAGACGCCCGTCGAATTGGAATTGGATATTTTTAGTACATAAAAGTAATAATTTCCTCAATTCCGATGTTGGAATGGGTATGTCTTCAGCTTCTTTACATATGAAGTCGATAGTCTCAACGACTAGCACATTTGTGAAGAGGGAGGTAACATTGAAAGAGACCAAATGTTTATCAGATACATTGAAATCTTTGATCTGCTTGACAAACTGAAATGAATCAGAAACTATATACGTTCCGTAGCGTTTCCGCAATGGCTGCAACAGTTCACATAGCCACTGAGCTAATTTGTGTTATGGTGAGTTTATCATCGAGAGTATAGGTCTTAATGGCGCTCCTGGTTTGTGTATTTTAACGCTTCCGTATAGTTTTGGGATTTGTGACCCAATCAGTTTGATATTCCTATATGTGTTTTCGTCGATGTATTTATTTTTGAAGAGTTGTTGTAGATGTTGCACAATTTTCCTTTCGGTTGAAAACGTTTGGTCTTTTGCATAATTTTCCAATTTGAATTTAGATTCATCAAAGAGAATTTGATGCAT